CCTGATCGACATGTTTTACCATTTTATAGACCAAAAAATCCCAATAATTGATAGAAAAAATGGATAGCTGCAGCCATGATCTCATTTCATTTGGTTTAAGTGTTGCTTTTCCTTCCTTATGCCTTCCAGTTGTTGATGTGTATTCCAGCAAACCCAACCTGCAGTACATTAACTTACTGCATAGCTACTATATTTATTTGTAAAATAACTGCACAGATATAAAACATGTTTCAGTCACCATTCATGTTTCACCATAACACTTTCTCCTGGAAAATGTATCAAAACTCACATTGAACAAATATAAATTGATGTATGCATATTTAAACATTCCTACTAATGACCCAAGCCCTAAACATACCTGTCAATGTTTGCAACGTTGAAACAGAATGCTAATCTCTTGTGGTCCAGGTTCTTAGGCGTTGATGAGTAAACCATGCCGAGCACAAAATCGCAGCCTCGACAGAATAGATCTACGACGAGACTGAAGAGGAGATACAAAAAGACAGTGGGACAGGTTTAATCCAACAAGTAGTCAGGTTGCATTTAAAAACACCACATTTCCTTAAAGGTCTCCTATTATCAGTGTTGTAGTCAAGTCACCAATTCACGAGTCCATGTCACTCTCGAGTCACCACTCTTCGAGTCCAAGTCCGAGTCACCTAGGGAGAGTCGTAGTCGAGTCCAAGTGACCCAAGGAGTGTCCGAGTCGAGTCCGAGTCATCATTAGCTGTGTTCGAGTCCGAGTCATCATTACCTGTGTTCGAGTCCGAGTCATCATTACCTGTGTTCGAGTCCGAGTCACCCAAGAAGAGTCCAAGTCACCCAAGGAGTGTCCGAGTCGAGTCATCATTACCTGAGTTCGAGTCCGAGTCACCCAAGAAGAGTCCGAGTCACCCAAGGAGTGTCCGAGTCGAGTCATCATTACCTGAGTTCGAGTCCGAGTCACCCAAGAAGAGTCCAAGTCACCCAAGGAGTGTCCGAGTCGAGTCATCATTACCTGAGTTCGAGTCCGAGTCACCCAAGAAGAGTCCAAGTCACCCAAGGAGTGTCCGAGTCGAGTCATCATTACCTGAGTTCGAGTCCGAGTCACCCAAGAAGAGTCCAAGTCACCCAAGGAGTGTCCGAGTCGAGTCATCATTACCTGTGTTCGAGTCCGAGTTACCCAAGAAGAGTCCAAGTCACCCAAGGAGTGTCCGAGTCGAGTCATCATTACCTGAGTTCGAGTCCGAGTCACCCAAGAAGAGTCCAAGTCACCCAAGGAGTGTCCGAGTCGAGTCATCATTACCTGAGTTCGAGGCCAAGTCACCCAAGAAGAGTCCAAGTCACCCAAGGAGTGTCCGAGTCGAGTCATCATTACCTGTGTTCGAGTCCGAGTTACCCAAGAAGAGTCCAAGTCACCCAAGGAGTGTCCGAGTCGAGTCATCATTACCTGAGTTCGAGTCCGAGTCACCCAAGAAGAGTCCAAGTCACCCAAGGAGTGTCCGAGTCGAGTCATCATTATCTGTGTTCGAGTCCGAGTCACCCAAGAAGAGTCCAAGTCACCCAAGGAGTGTCCGAGTCGAGTCATCATTACCTGAGTTCGAGTCCGAGTTACCCAAGAAGAGTCCAAGTCACCCAAGGAGTGTCCGAGTCGAGTCATCATTACCTGAGTTCGAGTCCGAGTCACCCAAGAAGAGTCCAAGTCACCCAAGGAGTGTCCGAGTCGAGTCATCATTACCTGTGTTCGAGTCCGAGTTACCCAAGAAGAGTCCAAGTCACCCAAGGAGTGTCCGAGTCGAGTCATCATTACCTGAGTTCGAGTCCGAGTCACCCAAGAAGAGTCCAAGTCACCCAAGGAGTGTCCGAGTCGAGTCATCATTACCTGTGTTCGAGTCCGAGTTACCCAAGAAGAGTCCAAGTCAAGTCTGAGTCACAAGTTTTCATGTATTAATCTTCGTGGATATATGTGTTGAAATGTAGCTGCTCCTCTACATTGCTTTTATCCTGTCATGTTATACTAAGCTGTCTATTGAACTGCTGTGAAGCGAGTTTGGCTACAATTCTTGTAATAGGTGCTATACAATTATAGAGCTTATTACTAATATTAATATTATTGTAAATGACCTTTAATATGTGTAACTATATTTACAATGAGTTACCTTTTAGAGAAGTGATTATATTTGTATGCCAATATTTTTCTTATGGTAAAGTTTTCGTCTTGCACTTTTATTTTGATAGTAATAAGATCGTGACTCTTATTTTGAAGGAACTTTTACCGTAAATCAATGGACAACGGAGCAGTGTAAACACACATACGTATAATGACGATAGATGACAATACATTAACATACTAAATAGTTACATTGGGTTTTTAGCACCTGGCTGATAAGGGCACAAGCTCTTACGTTGGTAATGATTGTATAAAAGCAAGGGTGATCAATAAATAGATACCATCGGTTAGAGAGTCTGACCATCATTCAGCCGGGGACGCTACAATTATTATAGTGAATGTTTCAATTCTATAAAGATTAAGCCCCAGAAAGCACATGGCTACTTAGCATGCAAAATGACATGTTAAGTAGCCATGTGCTTTGGTGTTATAGGCTGAATCTTTATTCATTGATTAGATCACGTTATTCGGATGATAGTGTTCAAGACAGCCTATATGTCTGAAGTCGATCCTTAGAGTAATGTGTTACGGAGCCTTCGCTTCAATCTTTTTTCCACATAATGAGCATTTTGTGTCTAAGACATCTTTAGACTGGAATAGCGGGGCCCAGTACGTGAACTCGCCTCGCAGGTGCACACGGCAGGATAGAGGACATCAGGCTCAAGAGAAAACTTGCTCGAGTCCGAGTCCAAGTCGAAGTGTCAATGTACAAGTCGAGTCCGAGTCATCGTGGGGGGGAACATTCACGAGTCCGAGTCCAAGTCATCGTACGGGAGAATTCCCGAGTCCAAGTCATCGTGCGCGAGAATTCACGAGTCCAAGTCCGAGTCCAAGTCATCGTGCGCGAGAATTCACGAGTCCAAGTCCGAGTCCAAGTCATCGTGCGCGAGAATTCATGAGTCCAAGTCCGAGTCCAAGTCCGAGTCCAAGTCATCGTGCGCGAGAATTCACGAGTCCGAGTCGAGTCACGAAAATCGGCACTCGAGTACTCCATCTCTGCCTATTATACTGTTTTTCATCAATATATTATAGGTCTCAGATATATACAAACATGTCTCTGAAGTGTTCCAATCACCAAACAGATCATTGCAGCATCCCATAATCCCCTCTGTTTCAGCCCTGTTTCTAAAGTGCTGATTCTCTGTCGGTTACTTTAGATGAAAATAAGGAGCCACTCCCCACACATCTCTGAGAGATATTTGGTTAAAAATAACACAATGGTGCTCTAGGAGGAGATTCAGGTGATAAGGTGGGGGGGGGGTTACCTTGGTTGGTGATTGGCTAATGGTTACACAAGCCAAAAAGTCGTTATGACATCATAAAGTGGCCAACATTTTTACAGGTTTTTATATAAATGGATCAGGAGAAAAAGAGAATATTTTTTCCTGAAACTTTCTGAATCTCTTTAAACAGAGGGGGACACATGTTTATGTATAAAATACAAGAAAATGTGGATTTTGCATAATAGGTGTCCTTTCCATTTTGTAACCCTATTATAAAAAGGTATGTTTGAACTGCTAACACTATATGATTATGGGCCACGAAGTATTTTGGTTGTGGGAAGGTAACATTGACGAGTTATTTTGAATCATCCTCCAAAAACAAGTCTCCCTTATTGTTTTCTGGACGAGGATAGACAAAGCTTTTTAAATGTTTATTTTGTATTTACTTTATTCCTTCTTACCAGAGGGACCTTTTGCTCACTTCATGCAGGCGAGTGTCTTCTCCAACCACGACGTTGTCAGTGACCCCTAGGACCAAAACATCACAAACATGTCAGCACAAAACGCAGCATTGTATTCATAATGTCAAATCGATATGTTTATTTTCCCAACCTTAACAACTGCATTTGAACGCAGCATTCTAATAGACTTCATAAAACTGCACCAACTAGCTTGCTAACAGTTGAAGTGATGGATAAGATGTTACGTACGTATATGTTGTTTGGGCAGTTTGAAAAGCCTTTCACCCGAATATTTAGTTGGTTAACTGTAACGTTATAATGTGAACTAATACAAAAAGGAATACAAATAAGCAGGCTAACCCGATACTCACGCTTCAATCTTATCTGGTGTTGTCCTTCTTCTTCTTCAGACGCTTCAGACCCATCCCAGGACATTGAATCCCCGACAGGCATCTTGCACTTCCCGCAGATGAAGACCACAGGTCCGTCGTCTTCCTCCTCTGAATGGCCAAACAACTTTTCCTCGACGGCAGTGGAGTCTATACTGGACTCAAATGTTGTATTTATAAATGTATGACGTTGTTTATACGAATTCACTTTTGACGCCATGTCTAATATATACTCAAAATGAAGCTGTTTTGAACTTACGCGGTAACGTGGTTGAAAAAAAGTGGAGAGCGACGATCCTTTATCGCGAGATGATAACTTGTGTGTACTTCCGCGTTCGTCTGATAGTGACGAACCAATCTTGACGAATTGTGCTTTTGGAAAGCTAACAATCTGAAAGTGTGCCCAGTGTTTCCTGGTGTTGTCCGTACTGGCTAATAAAAACATTTTTCCAAATTGTTTTGATATATTTGTACGAAGATATTTGTCAGTGTGATAATCCCTACATGGAGCTTTTCCATTTCAGGAGAACCGACGTTACCCATCTTGATATGCTTCTTATCTTTGGGAAACGTGAACCGGAACAACTTTGCCAGGAGCGAAAACATGATTGTTTTGTATTAACCCTGTTCATCATATTTTTGCTTTTATTTATTCAACTTGTCAATCTTTAATATTCCTTTAAAAAGTGTGAATCATTATTGTCACCAAAAGTAGCTAGGGCATTTGATCAAATTCTCATTGGCTGGTGAACCGGAAGTTATTCGGACGGTTGACCGGGCGCGAAAGCTGAAACTGTTGTTTTAAAGCTGCATTTTTTTTTTACGTTTTATGAAACGAACAAGTTCATGTGGTCACCCTTTCATTCGTCATGTGTGAAAAGATCAGTAAGGTAGTGTTCAGTGTATTCCTACCATGAGCAAGTTAACTTAGTGATGTTTTGTTTACCATTGTGTGTCACGTTTCATGTCTGTCCTCAGGTGAACAGCTGGCTCAGCGAGGTGTTTGGAGATCAGCCGGTGCCTCACTTTGAGGTGAACACCAGGACCGTGGACATCCTGTTCCAGCTGGCTCAGTCCAGTGAAGCCCGGTGCAGAGACACAGCTCTCCTCTCAGAAGACCTCAAACAGAAAGCATCAGAGTATCAGGCTGAAGGTGAGGAACAGACACAGCTGAATTAATAACAGTGACATTTAGCTTTTTTGGCACATGTTGTTACCTAGATCTCAGCAATTATTGTAGTGATTACTTCTTATTACAAAGATTAATGGCCACAGCCAAAAGACCCAACTTGTAACGAACCTTTAATTGATGTGTTAAATAGCTACTTAAAAAAATAAAATGTTATTGTCATTTGCACATTAGCTACAGTGTAGATATGACAAACTTAGGTCACAGGCTCCTCCAAATGTGCAACATATATATAGGATATAGAACAAATAAAACCGATAAAATAGTGCAAGAAGTATGTACTTATCTGTTTTGTTTTCTACCTATTGTGTTTTTTATTATTTATAACGTGTGCCTACTTTGGTATTTTTTAATATGTATGTTGATACTCTTTACTTTATCTGTCCGTTACTTCTGCTGTTATAATAACTTAAATGTCCCCGTTGAGGGACAAATGAAGGAATTCTAATAGTGAAACATGCTTCCCTTTGACTGTATGCAGGTTAGATGGTCCATTAATTAACAGCACAAGGACTCCACGTCATTATTTTCACAGATCTCAACTGTGTTTCCTCCTCCCAGGTGCTCATATCCGTGATGTTCTTCTACAAGGCGTAGGTCTGTCCTGTTCAAACGTCTCAAAGCCCGCTTCTGACTACTTGTCTGCTTTAGTGGACAATGCCATGGTGCTTGGAGTCAGAGACACATCACTGGGAAGGTGAAATGGGTTTTTTTGCGCAGTAGTTTTTCAGATGAAAGAGAGAAAATAGAAGAGAGATTTAACAGTTTGTATTTTATGTCTTTTCTAGCTTCATGCCAGCTGTAAACAACCTCACCAATGAACTGCTGGAAGAAGAGAAGTCCAACAGGAGACTTGAGAGGGAACTCAGAGCCCTCAGGAAGAGACTGGGGACCACTCTGGTGCTGCGGAGCAACCTGCAAGAGTAAGAAAAGATAGAACTTTATTCATCCCGAAGGAAATTGTTGTGCCAGAGTTACAAAAATAGCAGCAGCACAATAATAATAAAACTGTAAAAAGAGCAATTCAATAACTACAGGAAACATAGACGGTCACACAATGGTCACATCATTCATGTAAATATTCTAGTAGTGCAAAAACCGTAGTGGTAGTTACGTAATTGCACGTTATTTATCGAACATTATTAATAATAATAATATTGCACATGTTGTATAGCAGAGTGTCTTGTAATGATGGTAATGGTATTTATATTGCACATAGTGGTGGTGCTGAAGGGTGAAGAAGGTTTAAGAACTAAATACAGAGGATATTCATACTAAAAACAAACACACAGACATTGCTGCTGTATGTCATTGTAATCTGTGTTTTTAATTGTCTTCAGGGATGTCAACAAAACGATCAAATGCCAGTCAGTGGAGAGCGCCAAAGCAGAGGAAAGAATGCTCAACATGGATTTTGTGAGGGCAAAGGCTAAAGAGCTCAGCAGCAGACGGGAGAGGGCAGAGGTACGCTGTGGGGTTCAATCATATATATACATGCATGAGCTGCATAATGCTTTGTGGTGCTAAGTCAACGAACAGTATACTACTATTTAAAATGATAAGATAGATAGATAGATACTTTATTGGTAAATCATTTCGTGTGTTCAGACTTTATAATACAATACTTAAAATACTGGGGGGAGAAAAGTAGAAAATGCAAATAATTCAAAAAATACATAAGAGTTTTTACATTTCTAGCTGTTTTGCTTCAAATCTTAATTCCTAAGTGGAAGGTTTGCTCTGGTTAAGCCAATGTGTACTGATGCAAACTTGCTATTAGGGTTGCAAAGGGGTGGAACATTTCTGGTACATTTCCATGGGAAGTTAAGTTAGGGAATTTTGGAAATATTCCATATTGAAAACCTTTCATGGGAATGAACTTGGAATTGAGGGTGATGTAATCTAATTGCATCATATCCAAGCATAAATATAAAGTTTATAAATGGGGCGGTTTTGGCGCAGTGGTTAGAGCGTTGATCATCAAATTAAGGGGCGTTGGTGAACTCCAGTTCGAAACCCGCCACTGCGTCCGGCCGTTGTGCCCTTGGGCAAGACACTCTACCCGCATTTGCTCCTATGGGTAATGTCCACAGTATTGACATTTACATGTCTAATATGTGTAATATGCAATTGTAAAGCGCTTTGAGCACCTGTAAAAGCGCTCTAATGAAATGTAATCCATTATTATTATTATAAACATTTAGTTTTGTCATAAGAAGACATCCATGCAAAATGATACAATTAAACAAAAAAACATGACATGTCAACAGATTGATTTGTAAGTAGAACAGAACACGTTTTTATTATTTTATTGAACAATCATTTGTTTCATTGAAGAACAAAAACATGAATGTCGAGTTAAAACGGACTCTTCCCCCCCAACACCACTCATTCAAATGCACCCCCCATCCAAAAATCCCCACAAGAAATAATGTGTGCATGTGATGGAGGAATGCACAGTGCCTGTAGGGCAGGCATGGGCAAACTAAGGCCCGCGGGCCATATACGGCCCGTTGGGCTTTTTAATCCGGCCCGCCGAATATTGGTACAAAATTGTCAAAATTATAGTAAAGACCGCATTCATTTTTGCCTTTTTCCTGCAATACCCGGTATTTCAGTTGATCCCACTAGATGGCGCACTCTAAACACAAATGACCTTTGCTGGAGTCGGCAACCCGGCAAGATCTAAGAACCAAATATGTCACGCTTACATTGGAGGGGGTCAAGATTAACCTGAGCAATAACAGTTCACGGTTAGTACAGTACAGCGGATACAAGTTGTAACAAGCAGTAGCGCTGAGCAAAGTGACTAGAACGCGACCACACACTTATAAAAAACACTTATATAAAGTCAGGCAACACTAACCAGCTTAGTGTGATTCTGTTTATTTTGTGTAGAAAACGGTTTATGCCACAATATATGATACAAGAGTCTGATTAGCTTTGGTTGCTATGCTAACATCACCTGTAGAATGCCAGAGAAACTTTCATATCAGCGTTGTGATGCCAAACAGCGTCAATTCATACTGAAACACGTTCACTGATGAGGATGGGGGATATTTATCAGCTGCTTGTGTGACAGTCAGACAGTGAAAACTTTACAGCGGTCGCTGCCGCGAGTTAACGGGAGAATAAACTCCGGTGGACGAGCAGCACTGCAGCGGGCAGTAATGCCGCTGAACCACATTAATAAACAATGCACAACGGCACTCTGGAGAAAGGTATAAGGTTGCAGAAGTAGTTCTTTAATTTAATCTGGCTTCGTATGATTGAAAACTACCAGACGCAGTCCTCTATTGATGTTGTTGTGAGCGATGTTGTGGAGAAACTCAGCGACGTAAAACGCTGTGTGGGTCATAAGAAGGCACGTCAACGGTTACGTCATGACTCAAACAATGACGCAATAATTCACCTTTGAACCTGCATCTGTAACAATGAGTGGACCAAAGAAAAGAAAAGTCGACATTGAGAGCAGATGAGGAGTTTAATGAGGAGTGGACAGCTACATATTTTTTCACCGGATCTGTTACTGGCCCGGCCCGTCTGTCACATTTTAAAACTCATAGTGGCCCCCGAGCCAAAAAGTTTGCCCACCCCTGCTGTAGGGGGTGTGGTCTCAATAGCCATGCAGTAAGCAGTGTGCTATGTGCATGTGATTGAGGAATGCCATGGATATTCAAGTGTACTTGAATGGTATCTGTTTGTTTTAGTCAAGATTATGCTAAAATATACTTTCCCCAACTATATTTAAGTTTAACCTTCAATTTAGAAAATTCCCAGTTTATTCCCATGGAAAGTTTCCATCTTTGAAAATTCCTTGAAAAGGTTTAAATGAGTTGTCTCCTTAGAGAAAATGACAATTAACTCAAGCCAATTGAATTCCAATGAGAACATGTAGAGTGATGAAAGGGCATTTTGAAAACTCTCTTCCGGTATCTAGCATTGGGAGAGCAGTAAACTTTAGGATGCTAAAAATGGAATGTCATAGTGTTCATCTATACTCAACCAGTGGGCCTTACAGCGCCATCTAGTGGGCAATAGAGATCAATAAATGGCCAGATGGTATGATAGAATACTTTTTTAATGAAATGTGCTCAAAAGAAAAGAAAAGAAAAACTCATTTATATTACCAGTTACATTTGAACATCAACATGCCAGCTTTTTTTGTTACAATCACGAGTGGGCCTTCATCTGCAAAAGGTTGAGAAACTGGTCATGGCATATTTTTATTTGTAGAATTATTGTTTCAAAGCTTAATCATGTTGCAAAATACCAAATGTGCCGAGTTGGCTGTTAACTCCCTGGCCCACACAGTCCTTTTCACTATTTTTGATAAAAATACCGACTGTAGTGTGACCCGGGTATAAAGAGGGCATCACGTTACTGCCTCTGGTTCAGAGCGCAGAGATGAAGCTGCGGACGAGTCCAACAGTTAACGCCCTCGGGATCATTGTCAGGAAACACCGGATGTTTTGAATATCGCAGCGGGGTGACGGAGCTCAGTGTGTGAGCCTGGCTGGATGTTTGATTCTCTTCTCTCCATCCTTCAGGCTCAGCTGGTATCCAGGAACATGAACAAGTCTCTCACCCACCAGGCTATTGTGCAGCTCTCTGAGGTAACTTCAGCTGTTACGCGTCAACACAGTGCAGCTCCATGGTGATGAGAACCTAAAACCTTCTGCTTTCCGGGGTTGTAATGCGTCGTCTTATCTTTGTCTCTGTAGGAAGCCACAGCACTGAAACAAGAAATAAACCCCTTGAAGAACAAACTGAAGCCGTACATGGACTTAAGCCCGGTAAAAAAGCCTGGTGTTTTTCTTGTTACAGTTCAACAAATAGATATATCGAAACAACTTGATTGTCTGTATTTAACTGTATGTTCTTACCCTTCTAATCCACAACAGAGCCCATCTCTTGCTCAAGTGAAAATAGAAGAAGCAAAAAGAGAATTGGTGAGTATCGTAATAGTTTATTTAAAGATGGATGAGAGATGCTGGCTTTCTCTTTATTTTAATTCCAATGTGTTTCCTCAATTACAGGCTGCAATTGATTCCCAACTTCAGATGAATATTGATTTACAGTGATGATGTTTTTAATGTTAAAGGTTTTACTGTTTTGAGCTGTAGATGTACTGTGTTTAAAAAAAGAATAAAGTCATTGTTTCTACGTCTATGCTGTGTGCCTCTCTGTAATGTGTTTCACAATGTGTCTCAAGCTAATCACATGACTGTCTGCCTCTCTTGAAGGTTGTAAGTGAATAAAGCAACCTCCATAGACAGGAAATGTGGTTACTTTGAAGGAATTGTGCTTTAATAAAGAACTATATTTGGATGACACATTTAAGTCGAGAAAGTTTTAATTATGATTCCTCTTTTTTTCCGTTTGACCGATTTGGTTTCTCTCCCCCTCTTCCTGTTTATTACAAAACATCATTAACAATAATCAAATGTTTTGTCTTCATTTTCTACTATCTGATTTCTGATTGTGGCAGTGTGACTTAACATGGGAAACATTTTCTTTTATACAAGGTTGTTTGTAAGACAATTTATAAATCTCTTTGCCTAAACATATTTTTGTATTTCTTTATTGTGTTCAAATTAGCATTTTAAAGGAATTATATGTTTGCAATATGTTTTAGATTGTCTTCTATACCAATAACTTAATGTGCCTTATTGGTACACATCAAGACATGTTGTTTATTCAAAATGTAGATTGTTGTCATGATCCATACAATTGGACAAAACTCCATACGTTTTTCCGGGTTAACATTAGACTGCAAATTTCACGACTTTTTCACAAAAAGCACAAGACATGCATCTAATAATGATGTGCTGGATCTTGTCTTTAAAAACAAAGTGCAGGAAAGTTTTTTTTTTCAGTTTGACAGCAAATGTCCACAGGCTTTGGAGGGATAACAGCACATGAAAGGGGGTTTGGAGCCACTCCCTGGGTGCCTAAAGCTAAAGTAGAGAGAATGGGAGTGACTAGGGGGCCTGTTGTCCCGTTTGTATGCAAAATATCACCTCAGTTCCTCCCCCTGCCAGTCTTCCCCCTGAGGAGCTGAGCGTGGGGGCCAACGTCTCCGTCAGTTTGACTGTTGTAGGTCTGCGCCAGTCTGACATGTAGAGTGACCGGTTACCATGGTGGGGGTCATGGATGTGGGCCCGGGAGCAATTTACCCAGTAGGCCCCCTGCTTCATTCAAAAGGCACAACGGATAGGGCATCAATACTTTATAAAAGGAATCATAATGCAACTCCACTGAACTTAACTTGGGACACAGAGACAACGCATAATTAACAGTTTGACTTGTTTTTTATCAATGGCACTATTTTTGGATTAAAGGGTTGCCATCTTGCTGTAACAGTATTTCTTATTTCTCTTCCAGGAATACAACTATTTATATATATGACTGTTTATTCTTAAATATCCACAGCTTTTTGTTCATTAGCACATGTTAAAATCAAACAACGGTATTACATTATAAATAAATATGCATACAGACAGTTTTAAAAAAAGAGACCCAAATGGCTACATAATGACCTCCACCTAAATATAATTAACCAATGCACAAAGAAGTTGGCTGTATAGGCCTGTCAGTCTGTGAAAGAAGGGAAGGAAACACACACAATCCTCACAGAATGAAAGCACCATAATCCAGAAGGTAAACATGCCCCATGGGGGAAAAAAATAAAAAAGGTCTTTGTCAGTGCGTCATGGATTTTGTCGCGCCTCTTCCCTTTAAAATAGTTGTATCTGCCACGCCCACACCATAATTCCCACTCAGCTGCTACTGTAAATTCTCCCAGTTCCCACATGAGTCCATACACACAATGTGCGGGTCTGAACAGTAGCAGACTGGAGTATCACTACGCATCGGATTAACCCCACGTCACTATTGACCAACTTGTTGCGCAGCAGCTATTTCTAACCTCGCGCTGGGCTTCATTTTCTGTCCAGCAAGAGCCAAGACAGATGGAAGAAGCGGTGGCTTTCAAACCTTACGTTTTATAATGCGTATGCTACAAGAAGAGGACGCTTTTGTATGGATTGTAATGAAGTCCTGCAGCCCTCAGTGAATGTTTGAGTGTCTTTAATATGATCAGAGAGTCATGAGCCGCGGAGCAGACTGGAGCCTCAGCCTCTTCTACCTGACTCTGCTCCTGGGGACCAGACGCATGACGGGACTGGCTGACTTCTCAAGTAAGAGACGATGAGGAGGATGATGAGGATGGGGGTGCAGTGGAAGGGGGAAGAGCATACTTGAGGATATTGGTTAAAGACGGTGGTGTAAAGTAACTTAGTACATTGAATCAAGTACTGTACTAGAGGAATTTGTTGTTTACTTGAGTATTTTAATAATTGCTACTTTTTACTTCTTCCCCACTACATTTATTTAATACCTTTAGTTATTTTTGATTGATTTGATATGTTCAACACTCAAATAAGACTGTAGTTCTGCCTGGAATAACATTGAACATCTACCCTGCAGTAAAACTAGCTGCACCATCTTTGATAAACATATTCATATTCAAAAATATATATGAAATGTTGTACATGATCTGAGAACTTCTCCCAGAACTGTTTAAAGATCACATGAACCCTTCTGTTATAAAAAAGGCTACATTGATGTAGTGAAACATATTTGCACAATGTCATCGATAAGATAGTTTTAGTTGGTTTTCCCCATGTTTGCAAGTGTTTTTAAATAGCCTATACACTTTGTCCCAAAAATCCCACTTGAGATTTGGCATTGGACCGCACACATGTAAAAGAGACATTGACTCATTGGGAGGAGTAACGTTTTTTGTTGTTGTTAGAAACTGACAACAATGCTTGAGATCATCTATTCTCAGCAATGATCTATGCAGATAATGGTTTTCCAGCATTTGGTCTATCAACTTTCCGTCTAGTCCAGTTTTTCTCAAACTTTTTCATACCAAGGACCACTTAACCAATAAAAAAACACTCGCGGACCACCTAACTACACAAATATCAAAAAACACATCGTTTTTCTATACAGATTACAAATCGCCTGAAAATGGTACAAACAAGTGGCAACATGTGTGATGAAGGTGTTGCGCTGGGCTATATCATGCAATTTAAAGTGAAACTTAAGCTCGCTCTATTAGGGAGATATTCCCGCGAGAGTGCGGAAAACTTAAATTTATTTATTTATTTCAAATGTGAAATGTTACCAATATACTCGCGGACCACTAGGGGGCGCTCATGGACCACCAGTGGTCCGCGGACCACACTTTGAGAAGCACAGTCTAATTCAAGAATCATTTTCTCTGATAATGTAAAGATTTCAAGATTTGTGACTTTGAATACAAGGTAACTCAATCACATCTGCACAGAACAAAGGTGCGTCGTAGGTTGAATGCCAGTTGGCGTTGTTAGCCACCCAGGAGAAAAGATCTGGCAGTCAGCACTTTGATATGTGAGTTTTCAAAGTAACGTGAGACAACTAACAGAGCGCCAAAGAGGCCAAACAAACCGAGAAAAAAATGCAACAAACAAGAAAGTCTCTTGTATTGGCCAAGCTTCAAAATGTATGACACATCTTTTCCCTTTAAGTAAATATTTTTTCAAAGATATCTTCAAGTTATTATTAAGCTTCAGAAAGCTCTCTTCAGAGCCACAGAGTACGTTAAACCACTATTTCCACAAGCTGTAAGTAAATGGAACTTCATGGTGGAGGGTCCCCTTAATGCATGTTTCCATGTGCATTCCAGTCTAACCCATCTCTTTTGTGCGACAGATTACCTGTCCAGGATCATCACCAGTCATTCTGCCCAGGCATGTGACGGACAGCCACTGCGTCTCCACTGCCCTCGTCACTCCACCATCTCCATCCAGACTGCGTTCTACGGGAGTGGGGAAGCCAAGCTGTGTAGAGCAGACCCAGACCCCCCGCTCAGAGCCCACAACCACAGCTGTTCTGCTTTCACTGCTCTACAGGTGCATTTTATGTGTTGGATATACAGCCCTGTTTACCCTTAGTGGTTCAATCGTGTATAGGTGTTTTCTCAACGTATGTGTTTGATTTAGTAGTGGCTACCCTTAGATGAAAGGCCAGCCAACTATCTTCCATAGTCCATCAGCCACCATTGTTTTTGCATTGGATTTGGCACTGTGGATTGTAACATAAATCTGTTAAGTGCCCCGATAAACATTCCTGTTTGTCATCTTGCAATCTACTTATTTATATAAATAGTTATCACTGCAATAAACCATATTTAATTTAGTCTTAATGTACATTATTTAATTTAATATTCTGTTCTTGTACATATCATATTCTATTTACATGTATATAGACTTCTTGCACTATTTTTTATTTTTGTATTTTATTATATATGTTGCATTGTTGGAGGAGCTCAGGTCAGAACAAGCATTTCATTGCCATTTCTACACTGTAGCTTATGTGCATACGACAACAAAACCTTTGAGTTTAATTGAATTTGAATACATCCTGTGTGCTGGTAAATGCTGACTCTCCCTGGTGTATCCCGTGCAGAAGATGCTGTCGGAGTGTCAGAGCAACAGAGATTGCCATCTGCCTGTCAACCACCTGCTGTTTGGGAAGGACCCCTGCCCTGGCACTACCAAATACCTCCATGTGGACTACAAGTGTAAACCAAGTGAGTCCAGCAGCTCTATTCCCATTTTCCCAACCTTTTTGTTATCGTAAAATCACCTCCGAGTGAACTTTGAGTTTCTTTCATACATCTACGGGTGGATGAGCATGACATGGCTACACAGCTGTGCAAAAAAGGTTCACCCCTCCCTACCCTAACCTCTCCCCCTGCATTCACTGCCTTCAACTCTTCATCTTTGTTGTTTTCCCACTTGCTCAGCTGAACACAAAAGACACGTGGTGTGTGAGGGGGAGACCATGATCCTGCGCTGTAAGCGCCCAAAGGTTCTGATCGTCTATGCAGCTGTTTTTGGGAGAAGTCTGGGCCAGATTTACACCTGCCCTTCACACCTGACAAGACCACCCTCATTTGGTGAGTCAACGAGATACTCAGTGTTCTGATAGACATTTTTACAGTAGTAGGAAATCACAGGTGTTACATTAAAACTGGCTCTGTGTAAGAAGAGGTAAATAGAGTGTCCCTGTAAGCCTTATCAGTGTTGTGGCAGTGAGTAAACATGCACAATACCAGGGCCCTGAAACTAAAGCAGTCCAAAGGAATTCCACTATAATTTCATTGGACTATTTACAACTTTACCGACTGTGAAGTGCCGAGAAGTCTTCTGTGAAAAAGGTCCCTGGCAGACGGACACATGGGGAAAAGTCCCGTGGGAGAAATCAGCCCTAATCTGTTTACTTGCATTAAAAACAAAAAGTAGGGATCTTTGGATAATTAAAGAGAAATACAAGCCAAAATGTATAAAATGTCTGCTTTTTCACATCATACCGACATTCCATTGCAGAAAAAGCACAGGTGTTGATAATAAACTCAGTAATGATTGCATTGTTTGAGTGTGCCATTTTTATATTTATTTGTGCTTTCACTTGTAGCAATCATTGTCTGCTGTGAAAAAATACTCATGAGAGGATATGAGAGAAAGGCCAGATTTCATTGTCAATTGTTAGTTTTTCCAAACTATAAAAACTTTACACTGATATAAAACAATGCTTTGAGTACGTTTTCTGAACATTGGATGTTTTAGAATGAGCAAACTTAACATTTAACTATCATAGATTTATTGAGTGCACACACACACAGAAACTGTGTTCCTAAGTCAGTAACTTTCTCCCTAAATTCCTCTCTGCTGTTCCCTACAGAGTGTCTGAATCACGAGGCTGTGCACTCGGTGTCTACGTCCTGCTACAGCAAACACAAGTGTGCTGTTGTTGTCAGCAACCAGACCTTCAGGGACCCCTGCTTCCCCGGAACCAGGAAGTACCTCAGCGTGGTCTATTCCTGTGGTAGGACTCTTTCTACCTCCCCATTCACATGACACAATTGCAAGCCTGATGAGGAATTAGAGAGAGCTGTCAAAATATGAAAAGGCTTTTGTGATATGTTTCTATACATAGCTCAAGTCATGTCAGGACTTATTGACAGAATGTTGTAACTTCCTATTAAGGACCCTTATCTGCTGTTCTTATCAAATCACACCCAACAGCATAGTAGTGGGAATAGTACACTGTGAGCTCAGATGTGCGTGTTAAGGCTGGCATCCTGGTAAACTTCCTGCAATTGGCACAAATGACAGTGAGGTTATGCCGCAACATTGTTCGTATTAAAGTTGGAGATTTTTCAATTCAGCCTGGATGACAGAATTATTCTGCCTGGCTCCATGTAGCACAGAAGAACAATGTGTGTTAACCTTGTAGACCGGTTATCACCATGGTTCTCAGCCAGGTTTGTGCAAAGGTTTGGTTTTGGGAAGTGGAGTGCTGGTGTTTTTCTGTAGATTCACCCGTAACCTGCACAGTCACAGAATCTGCATCAATTTGTTCACAACAATATAAAACTCCTCTGTCTTTCCTTCCAGTAGTACCACAGACTTTACTAAGAGAGGCAGACCCTGACAGATTCAGCTCTACCTCAACTACTGTGGACACAGAAAAAGGTAGCCATATCATGCCATCTCTTGCAATTCTAGGTTTTTTAAAATCTGCTTTTATCTCACATTTTGATTATAATGATTACAACAGTTCCTCCTGGAGATCTGAGGAAGCCTTTTCCAAAAGAGTCAAGAAGGCCAGACAACTCAGGAGCCATTATGAGCAACTCTCTCCTGACCTACACTTACATCAAAGGTAAAGGTTACTCAGAAACCAGCATATCCTTAAAGGCATGGGCGTAATTTCCACTGGGGACAGGGGGGACATGTCCCCCCCACTTTTCCAAATCCCGTTTGTGTCCCCCCCACCGCTTGCGTAAAAAAAGAATAATAAACACATTTGAAAAGTGTTTATTATTATTGTTTTACGCAAGCGGTCATTGTCAAAGAGGAGCGTCTGTGTGTGTGTGGCAGGAGCACATTTTGTGTGTGAGAGAGAGAGAGAGAGAGAGAGAGAGAGAGAGAGAGAGAGAGAGAGAGGAGAGAGAGAGAGAGAGAGAGAGAGAGAGAGAGAGAGAGAGAGAGAGGAGGAGAGAGAGAGAGAGAGAGAGAGAGAGGAGAGGCCACCAAAGCTCCGGCTTCCACAACTACTGTTAGCATCTGGTGCTAGCTCGGAGCTAACGGAGATTTACTGAGAGAGATAACGTCAGCTCAGTGAGGTAAAGGACTCGCTGAGCAGTTAGATTGTAAACTTTAGTCTAAGTTATCTCAGTGGGTTTCAAACGGTTTGGTCATCTATGTAAACAAATATTTCCATCTATTTAATCTAGTTGTTCAAAATAAATTAAAAAATAATTCCAATGTCAGTAAAAAAAAGAACAGTTTAAAAGGGGAGTGATTAGTAAAATATTGGTTGTGAGCATATTCTAATGGTGTTTGGAGTATTGAAATATATACAGTTCTGTTTCATGAGTGTTGAGAGCTGTATCCATAAATCTCTTAATTTGTGAACCAGATTGATGCCTTTAACTTCAATTTAAAGAAAAAAATCTTCCCGGGTGCATGCCCCCGGACCCCCCTATAGCATGTGAGGTCATCACAAATAAAACAGGCTCACATGGAAAGGATGCTAGATAAGTTTGCGTACTCATTATATACACTACACATTTTTCTTGGATTAGTTAACACAATAGTCCCTAATATATATTTGTAGAAAGCCAGGAAATGGAATTAAATCGAGAACAATGTTTCATTGCGGAGGACCCCCTGTTTTGTGTCCGCCCCACTTCTCAAACCAAAGTTACACCCTTGCTTAAAGGTCTCCTATTATACTCTTTTTCATCAATATATTATAGTTCTCAGTTAAACATGTCTCTGAAGTGTTTGGCTCCAAACACCAAACAGATCATTGCAGCATCCCATAATCCCCTCTGTTTCAGCCCTGTTTCTAAAGTGCTGATTCTCTGTCTGTTACTTTAGATGAAAATAAGGAGCCACTCCCCACGCCCCTCTGAGAGATATTTGGTTAAAAAGAACACAATGGTGCTCTAGGAGGAGATTCAGGTGATAAGGGGGGGTTACCTTGGTTGGTGATTGGCTAATGGTTACACAAGGCAAAAAATTGTTATGACATCATAAAGTGGGCACAATGTGATCAGCTCATTTCAGACAGGTTTTTATATAAATGGATCAGGACAAAAAGAGAGAGAATATTTTTTCCTGAAACTTTCAGAATCTCTTTAGACAGAGTCATGTCATGTGTATGTATAAAATACATGAAAAAGTGGATTTTGCATAATAGGTGACCTTTAATTCTAAAGTACTACTACTACTAAATTCCCGTTACCATGTTTTATACATCTCCTTCCTTTATTCCCGCCACAGAGCATCCAGTAATGGCAGCGCTGCTCTTCACCTCCAGCGTGTGTGTGGGTCTTATTCTCACTCTGCTGGCTCTATCAGTGCGGGTGACCTGCGGAGTTCAGCGCTCCAGAGATCACAGAATCAAACCAAAGTCTGCTAGCCAGGTGGTCAAAAGCCAGGAGCAGGACGACGACGACGATGATGAAGAAGATGATGATGTCGAAGAGCGAACAGAAAGCTCTTTAATCTCAGCTGCAGACAGGAAGGCGATATGCGACTGGGAGGGAGTGATTTATGTGAGCGAGGAGGCCGAGCGGGCGGAGAGGATCGAGCGCAGGGAGATGGTCATCCAGGAGATACGGATGAACGCCTATCTCAATGGCAGCTCATGTTAATTTAGCAGGGAAACCAATGGATGCTGTTCAGCACCTTCCAGATATGTTCAGGATTCTCTGCAGCAGCTCCCAGCCGACACATCTTCTTCATTCATTGTACAGCAGTTTGTTTTGTGTTCGGACATTTTTGCAGGAGCACTCATTCAGTAAATAATGTAATGTTGGGTAAAATGCGATACGAGCCATTTTAAAAAAGCTCAACAGGATTTGATGCTGTAAAATGGGTGGTCACTCACATATATTATTTAGTTGTTTAAAAAAGTTTGATAAATTCAGAGTCACCACTGAAGCAACGAAAGAATGTCAGGGAGTGGGATTGTTCATAAAACCTCAGTTGTTCTCATCTCATAACTTTCTTCGTTTTTGAATGAAGCCTTTCCATCACAGACAAATCAAAAAAAGGCTCATAGTGTTTTCCCTACAGAATAACTACAATAGCGGTTGGTAAATGTGGCAGCTGTTAATAAACCCATAAACCCAGGGTATATGTTTCAATTTCACTTTCCAGAAAAACGGTTTATTTAAGGAGCCATCTGCAACCCACCACACCTCTCTGAATCACTGCATCCACTCCGTCAACAACTCAACGCAGTGGAATTAAACTCTCATTTTGAACTCTTCAATTTCCTCATCACTGCGGGGACAAGAGCTGGAACGACAAACCGCTGTGTGGCAACTTCCTGCCTCAGCACCGACGTTCATTAAAAGGTGTGTGTGAGACAAAGAGAGGAAAGGTGTAGCATCCTTGTCCCTGAGATGTAACACTGTGTTCTAATTGAATCACTACCTACTGAGCATGTGCGAAATGTCAACATGACGTTAATACCAAAATGGACAAACATGTTTATACACGGGCACATTTTGAAAAACAATTTATTAGATTTTTTCCACAACAACAATAATATAAAGAGAATATCTTAAATGCATCTCATCTGCACAGCTTCAATAAAAATGTAAAATTGAGGTTAAAAACAATCAGTAAGGGAATACAAGGATCAGATTGACCTTCAAATAAATCAGGTTTTTAATGACATCATTACCCGTCCTGTCAGGCAATGTCTCCAGATTTGAATTCAGATACAAATAAATACTAACATGTATTGAACTGATTTAAGGATAGTGAGAATAAGGTATCATAGTCGGTTGCACGTGGAGCTGTATGGGATCAGGGCAGCAGCTCCACGGTGGGAATCTGGGTGTTGGCATTTTTTCACCTGGGCCCCCATTTGATGTTAGAGAGGCCCTGAAACTGTTTTCTGAGAGCTTGTCTGTCTGTCCACTCCGAGTCCATGTGGCTATCATCGTCTCCCTCATCTAGTTTCTGAACATATTACAAGAGGAAGGTTAGAAAGGCACATTATGTACTAACAGGAACTTGGTTTTGCATGCGTGCCTATTTAGAAGTCCAGGAGGGTTTTGTGTCTTTGGCCTTTCCTCACCTTGAGCTCCTCCTGCCTCCTGTATTGACGCATCATCATCTGTTTCTGCTGCTCCTCAGTGATCACAGGCTCTCTCCCTGGGGCCCCCTGCCCTTTCTGAAGGGGAAGGCAAAATGGATTGCAGATATTCTCAAAACGGACAAGTATACTGTCTGTAAAATACCGTAAAAATACTCCCTTTAAGATGAAATGGCTCACCCTTTGGATTTTGACCACAAGCTTCGTCTTTTCATTTTTACCAATGTAGTCCTGCAGTTTTTTCCCCCTCTGCATCTCTTTGCCAGCCCACCATAGCTGGCACTCCTCCTCTGTGACCACCTGCAGAGAGGCCTGAGACAGACAGATGGAGAGGGTCGATGCAGAGGATTTGGGGGTAGAAAAAGGAATTATTAGGGAGAAGTTAAGATGGATTCACCTCCAGATGTACCAAACAATAGTGACATTAGAAACTTATGGTGTTGTTTACTATTTTTATGTTGACTCCAGTCAATTGCTGCAAGATAACTGTGAATATTGACAAAGGTGCAGCAGTTTACCTGTGTTCCTGAAAGGTCTTCCCTGTCTTCAAACTCCATCCTGATAGGGTCATGAGGAGGCAGCCCCATTGGGTAAACAATCATGACCGCACCCCTTAGTGGGTCTAGGGCGTCCTTTATCATCTCCATGGTGACACAAACATTAGCTTGGACTTGTTTCTGAAGAATGAGGAGAAAGACGTATTTAATTCAAAGTTTTGACCCTTGCTAAACAACACGATGTGAAATATTATAATAATAATATATAATATTATAATAATAATACTCACTTTGGAGATCAGTGCCTTCGCCTCTTCCACAGTTCTCATCAACACCTCTTTCATCTTATCATTTGGAGCTGGTAGAGGGGAAAGAGGGGGCATTTCAGCCTTTTTCATGCTTGAATTGGTATCACAACACATTTAAGCATTTAAAGAAAACTGATAGGCAACTTAACTTCTTCACAAGACAGTTTAAAAGTTTACTTTTTAAATTGCGTAGCCCAGTGTCTTACCCTGTCCGTTCCTCCTCCCCATCTCATCCCTCCTCAACACGGGCCCTCCACTGGGAACACACTTTTCTTCCCATTCATCGATCAGGTTCAGGTCCACGATCTGCTCCTCTGTCAGCCCCTGCATGTTGGGGGGCAGTGTGGTGCCATGGTCAGCCAGCTCTGGGATCTCTGAGGGTACATAAAAGAATGAACAAATTAATGTATCCAACAAGACTGAAAGATCTTATTTACAAGAGCCATTTGTGTGGAAATGTTGTTGAGACCTTGATCAGAATACTTATTCAGACATTCAGTTACTGATAATTAATAAAAACATAGTACATCTTAGTCCCTGATTTTTTTAATGATCAATTTAAGAGTATTTATCCTCCAACCCAGTGCAATCATTGGTTTGAGAGATGATGTGTTTGAGCATGCGCAGTGTGTGTTCTGCAGTTGTATTAAGGACTCGACAGTAATAAACGGAGGCGCTGTCTGTGATGCTCAAAAAGTACTAAAGTTCCTGAGTTTTTGTTACACAGAAGTATCTTTGAAGCCCCAACACCTCGGACGTTACACCAGTTTAAACAGTAGTGACGTGTGAATTCAGCCTACTGAAGCTTATTATCCATAAAGTGTTAAAAGTAAATATTCCTACTTTACCTGAACATATCCTGTCCACTTTGAGCCTCCCGTTGTAAATGGCTGTAATTTGCTGAATCACCGACTCCACAGGCGCGAGCACAGTGGTGTTGAAAAGAAACTGGCTTTCATCTCCACGCTTCACATGCAGCTGCACCATCTCGAATAGTAGCTTACCGTCTGTTTTACCACCTAAAAGAGACGTTTCAGGATATAAATAAATGCGACTTTTGTAGTTGAATATAGCCGGAACAACACGAATAGTTTGAGTGTGGAAACACAGTAGCCGGGGTCAGGGGGAAACAGTGTAACCATAGCAACAGTTGTGTCTACAAGTTAGCGTTCAAATAGCTAGCGAGTAAAGCTATTTACATTTTAAACGCTCAACTGTCAAAGGGTCATGTCATTATATAAACTGAAAATGGTAACACTTACCTGTGCAGTGAAACGACTGAGTTTAGAGTTTGTTTACAACACACCAGCGGTGAAAGTATTAGCTAAACGTGAATCCAACATGGATTGAATTCTTCTTCGTGTGAAAAACCAAGGGCAGGTTATAACAATCCAATCAGTATTACTGTCCTCTAGCGGTAACACATGGTAACACTGTGGCCAATAAGGTATGTTTTGGAACAATCTTTAATCACTGGCTTGTCCTACTACTATACCAGAAGAAAAGGATAATTAACCCACTTACCTCGGCTATGTTTACTTTCATTGACATTATATCACAGTGACTGACTATAACTGGATAACAGACTACTCTAGAAGTCATTTAACAAATTCAACAACTAAAATGACACAAAGATGATATGATAAAGGGTTTTTTGGTGAGTGTTTCTCCTTAAATGCTGCATGGGTCCAATGACAGAGGGTGGCGTATGCAGTACAGATTGTGAAGCCATCTGAAGCAAATTTGTAATATTGGTCTATACAAATAAAAAACACTTCACCCAAACATGTAATGCCTGTACAACTTTGATATTAAGTATAATAGGTGTATGATGTAACATTCTCTATATGATATGCAGACAGTTACATTCTGCAGTCAGAGACGAGTCGACACATGAACATATAGGGTCGACTTACATTTATTTTTGCATACATACAACATAAACAGCTTCATACATAAATGTGCAATCTCCTGTGCACTTAAAATATGGAACGTTGGATATTAACACGAATCGCAGCTTCATGTTTTCTCTTGAATACATACAGAATATGTTCAACAACACAGACTCTTCATTTACTATGGATTATAGCCATAAAAAGGGACACCAACCTCACAAAAAGAGCAATTTGTTTCCTATAAAATCTCATCTTGTACATGACATGACACAAAGCGCTGGCTAGTCACCTACAGAATCTACTGCACACATTTGGATAACACAATAAATGCATTTTAGTGATGACACCGACAAGTAAGCAAAGGCGACCTGATACACTTGCTTACATAGATAGCTACTGCATTCAGTGCAGAGAATGAAGATTATTTATATTTGTTTGACATTTGCAGAAGCGTTAGTTAGCTGGTACTTTCTTGTGTCATCTTCAAGGAGCCATCAAAATGATTATAGGACCACACTTTTACCGATACTTTTGCAAAAATACTTCTCATCATTGATGCTGACCTTTACAACTCAACAGCAGGTAGTACAGGGGAAAACACATCACCTCTGACAACACCACACGCACCCCATGGATGGTTACGAAATCAGCGAGGCTCAGTAACAATTACTCTCAACTGGAGGAAACAGCTATGGGTTAGATATTACAGGCGGACCTTCAAACGTCAAACCACACTACTGTCTGGAATGTGGGCCACTGCGCCTGGGAGGGACACAACAAACAGTCAGCTGGAAATGATAATCGGGCGATGCTTTTCAGATACAGTGTAGTTGAGTCTGTATATTCAGTCAAGGTGGTTGGTGCTTTGAGGAATAAGAGTCCTTTGTCTTTGTTAACATTGTTGCATACAGCGAGGCCCCTCCACAGCCCTTGGAGGCTATAGAGCGGAAATACAGTGACAGCCATGCGCTAGTGAATACAGTGGCTGTTAGTTCAGCAAATACACTGCGTCTTAAATGAGAAGGTGAAAAGCTCTGATCATTTCCACCCCTAACTCCGTACACACACACTCACATCCAAACACGGCAACAGACGATATGCACCTCAAACACGACACATTACTTCTCACCACAGATATTAACAATAGATATTTAGAGTAAATGTTCTGAGAAATTAAAAGCATGTCTTGTGCAATGAACAAAAGCTGAAGTAAAAAAATGTGCCCTCTTCTTATTAGGCATGGCTTGGCCGCCATGTTTACTGACCCGAATCATAGTACTTTGAGTAACGCACCGGCCACATTCTCTGAACTTACAATAGTGTGTTTAAATGCTTTGGATAAATCAGGAAGAATAAAAACACTGCAGAGGTGGAAAGGTCATCTGCTCAACCCGCTGGCTCTCATTTGTCATTCTGCCATCAGCAAGACTACAACCAAGAGAGCTCATGTCAGTGCATATCAGTAACATTGTGCAAACCACTGATACAGCCATCACAAACACAATATACACATATAGCGAATCGGTTCCATGTTGAAAACCTACATTTATACATAAATCACTATGTATAGGTTTTGATATAGAGCTCCAAAATATATTCAGCTAAGAGCAACAGCCCACGTACAAGGAATGATGAAGGAATAGAGAGAGGAAGAACATAACGTCTTACTATCAACTGGATGACAGTCAGTCCAGCGGCAGTGAACAGTTTGACTGGCTATGACACTTTCTTGCGGAGGAGGCAATGACAACCCAGTGCAACAAAAAGTACATTCAAGTTCAAAGCGAGCGCACAATATGCATTTTAAACGTGCACTCATTAGACACAAAATACCAGAACACACAGACTATTTTGGACTATGTAAAACCTTCAGTGCATAGCCTTCTACTTCCTGTAAACGGAGAAGGCAGAGGATTCCTCTCTACTTTAAGAAGCGTGCTCTGATGTCAGTCAAAAAGGTAACACTGAGCCTCGCAGCCGAATGCAGTTTGCTGCACGGCCACACATACATGTCTATATATTGCACAGGTGGCTAAACATATGATTTGTGCGTATAGATGTACTTTATATAGTTCTATAATGTAGACACAGGCACGAGTTTGCTGCCCTGAAGAAAAAAATGAACATCAGAACAATTCATATTCAAATAAATGTAAAGGGATAAGCAAACATCTCTGTGGGAAACGTAGCACACAGGCTCACACATGTTACTGCTGAAGATAACTATTACGTTCCTGTGAATCAGAAGGGGATTGGTCTATACCTTTTAAATACTCTATTTTGTACATACACACACATATACACATGTATCATAGATCTATACATATCTGGATATGCCCTTTATGTATTAAGAGTGATCCCAGCTTTCTGTTGGGAACGAGCAGTTGTCGCTCAGACCTTCTGGGAGGTTTGGGTTGCTGGGTACAGTTCTGGTCGGGATGGGAGGAGGGAGCGTTGGGAATACTGAAGGGACCGAGGATAACCAGTCGGGCTCCGAGTCAACACAGAGCGGGAGGGGAGAGTCTGTGTTTGTCCCACGAGGGAACTTGAAGGGAAGACGGGGGCCTGTGGCGTTTTGGTTGGATGTTGAAAATCCAAATCATCATCAAAAGTGACCCAACTCTTTGTGGGTTTACCTACTGAGGGGGGTGGCAGGCGACGAGGTGCGAGGACAGGGGGAATGGAGGAGGGAGGAGCCAGAGGCAAGGAGGGGACAGGAGACGGGGCGAGGGGGAGCAGAGGGTCAGCTGTGGGGTTGAAAGCCGGCGACGGTCCAAACAGGGACGTGGTCTTCTGGAGCTGGGAGGAGGGGGCCGCTGCTGTTGGAGCAGACATGGGGATGAGGGGCTGAGTGAACGCAGACATGGTCCTCTGAATGTTTGGCGTCGGGACGGAGCTGAAGTCCGGGGTGAGCGGGCGGCTGGGCTGATACCGCTGCGCCAGAGGGCCCGTGAAGGGGTTGGTGCTGCTGGGCCGGGCGGGGAGCGGGTCGGGAAGGAGGGGGCCGGGGGGGGGCCCACAGCGTCTCCTGAGAGCGGCTACGAGACGGGACCGGAGGAGGCGGGAGCAGGGAGGAGGAGAAAGGGGACGCGGTGGAAGAAGAGGAGGAGGAGGAAGAGTCGAGCGGCTGCAGGTCGGAGAGGGCGGAGGACTGGAGGGAGAAGGATAAAGGGAGAGTTTTGGAGGATACAGGAACAGAGGGGGGGGCACGCAGAGAGGCGCCTCTGTTCAGGGACTGGGTGGTGTGCCAGGGGGAGGAGGAGGGGAGTAAATCAGAGGTGAGTGGGTCGAAGGGGTCCGGCTTCCATTGTGCTTCTCTTTGGATTCCATTCAGTCCATTCGTCTAGGGAGGAACAAAACAAGAAACAGACATTCAGTGTAGGAACTAATGGTCTACAACTGAATGGATTGTATTATTTCTTTAGATAAGAACAACGATTAAAGATACCCCCTGGAACTTTCATTTGAACAAACAGTTATGATCTGTGTCTGACTTGATCAATAATGCCACTTCTCCATAGGGTACCTTTAATCTGTCCAACTTGAATACACTACAGCTAGCATTGATGCAAGTATCACAGTCCGCATACAATCACCAACTCTAAAACAAATGGATGTAAAGTCAAATCATATTATGAAGTCTTTGCATATGTGCTCACTCTTCACACCTTGAACACAGTGAGCAGATAGGAAAGGATCAGTGAAGGGGAACAACAAACATCTTTTTTCATGTCATGTATGGTTTGTTATGACAAAAAGAAGACAAAGGATGCTCCCTTTTGTGAGCCGAACACAAAACAATGCATGGACTTGCAGTGGTCTAATAACATCCAGGTTAAAACAACAATAATATAAATAGGAGGAGACGCAGGACTGTTTTTTACGAAATGAGGAAAGGACGAGGTTATTAGGTGTAATGTATGGGGGGGGAGGTAATAACAGAGCAGAGGACTGTTGTGCTATGGAGGATGAGACAAAGAGGTGGTGTAATTTAAAGTACCTGTTACCCTGAGGGCTTCTCCAGCTTGTGAGAGAGAGGCAAACGTATCAGAGAGACAAAAGCAGGAAGAATGACACAAAAACTAAGCCCATTGGATGTGAGACAAAGCAGCAGAAAGAGGCTAATTCTCCATCACCGACACTTACATCATTTATCATAAAATATCTTGTCTAATGAGCAGAATTTGAGCAAGCATCGGTAATACATCATTTAACAAGGAAAAAGGCAGGATGATCTTAGTGTTTTAAATACACAACACACTCAGTGTTCTCTGTACAGTTGCTGAAATTCTAATAATTTAATGAAAAGGAAGTTGGCACCAACCTGGGCAGCTGGGGCTGCTTCAGTCTTGGCAGCCTCAGGTGGCAGAGCTTGAGAGGAGCGGGAGCGTGGGGGGGGTTTGGGAGAGGCGAGGCCCTGCGGAGACCCTGCAGAGGCAGCGGCAGCAGAAGCAGAAGAAGCAGGGGGCCCGACTTTAGGAGCCTGCTGCGGCTGGAGTGGAGCTTGAAGGGTGGGCTGCATGGGGGCCTGCATGGGGGCCTGCATGGGGGCCTGCATGGGGGCCTGGATCTGGGGCTGAGCTGCAGGGGCCGCTGAGTGGGGCTGCATGGGGGCCTGCATGGGGGCCTGCATGGGGGCCTGCAGGGGGGGCGGAGCCTGGGGTCTCGCTATCTGGGGCTCTGCTGGAGGAATACCTGAGGGAGGAAACGGGACAGAGTTCAGGCTTCAGCGCATCTCATGGTCACCTATTATGCAAAATCCACTTTTCATGTCTCTTCTACATCAACATGTTTCCCCTCTGTGGAAAGAGACTCTGAAAGTTTCAGGAACAAAGATTCTCTCTATTTTTGTCCTGATCCATTTCTATAAAAACCTGTCTGAAAAAGCTGATCAGATTTTGGCCACTTTATGATGTCATAACGATTTTTTGGGTTGTGTAACCATTAGCCAATCAGCAACCAAGGTAACCCCCCCCCCTTATCACCTGAATCTCCTCCGAGAGCACCATTAGGCGCTTTCACACCAAGTACTTTGCCGTACTTAGTTCATCAGAACTCTTTAGTTCTGATGAACTAAAGAGCAGATCGCGTTCACACCGGAATAAGTCCCTGGGGTGGATTAGGCAAATGAAGCCGCTGACGTCACTTCTTCTTCTTCTGCTTTGGGTTTACTGGCAGGCCGCAAACAACATCACAGCGTATACTGCCACCCGAAGTCCCCGGCCGGAAGTCCCCCCCGAGTAAATCGCCAGACCGCCGACACCTCCTCATCTCCACCGCCCCCACGTTTTATTTTGTGTTGCCATAAGTTAGTCTCTCTGCGTTTCTGCGCTGGGCTAATGATAATGCTAATAATGCTAATGCGAGCAAATAAAATGGCGGCTTCACAAAACTTTTTGGGAGTTTTACGGGGCGTGGTTTGCAATCCGCCCAGCCAATCAGAAATGGGAACCTTTTTCTCCCATGAAAGTACCTGCTCTCTAGCAGGGACTGAAAAGGTTCATGAACTAAGTTCTAGTTCCGGATTTTTTTGGTGTGAACGCACATTTTCGGAACTATATCGGAACTATAGTGGGAAAAGTACTGCGGTGTGAACGCGCCTATTGTGTTGTTTTTAACCAAATGTCTCTCAGAGGGGCGTGGGGAGGGGCTCCTTATTTTCATCTAAAGTAACAGACAGAGAATTAGCCCTTTTGAAACAGGGCTGAATCAGAGGGGATTATGGGATGCTGCAATGATCTGTTTGGTGTTTGGAGCCAAACACTTCAGAGACATGTTTTGTATATATCTGAGACCTATAATATATTGATGGAAAACAGTGTAATAGGGGAGCTTTAATAACCATTCTAGCGTTGGTGATTGCCCTTTGGGAAAACACTTTTCCTTACCCAGAGGCAGGTCCGTGGGTTTGGCCAGAGCAGGTCGCGGGGCCCCGGGGTGGTTGTCTGGGATGGGTCGAGGGGCCCCAGGATGCACCTCTGTGATGGGCCTGGGGGCTCCAGGGTGAGAGGGAGGTTGTTGGCGAGACTGAGGGGGTATGCTGATCACCCCGGCTCGAGGAGGGATATTCTGGATGATGAAAAAAGGAATAGAGAATAGAAAGTATTGACAAATTGGGTAAAAATCCGTTAAAAATAGGATAATCTTTTGTATTCAGATGTATACTCACTGGTCTGGGAGCACCTGCAGGTCCAGTAGACCCCACTGCTACCTGGCCTCGCGCTGAAAGAGTACACAGACAAACAGGATACATGAGCCAAACATCTTACCATTTGATATTCATCAAGTAGGCTGTGTCCCCTGGAGAGAGATGTAAGGAATAGCAGTAGGAAGATGGGAGCAAATTAACAAAGATAACAGAATCACACACGAGTGCACTGAAAACCCCCCCTCAACCTATGACAGATCAAATTCCCCAGGGCTGACTTCATAATTAATGATGATTCAATCTTTCCCGAGCTGCAGGAGGTCTGGAGGAGAGGCAGGCCTTGTTCTGTGAGCCAACTGCTTACCACACACGCCTCCTCTTACAATATTCTCCCACTGAACCCCTCTCAGTGCCCGCGAACATGTTCCCACGCGACTAAGATGTCTGCTTCTGTGTAATACTTCACTGTAGGGTCAGTAAGCTAACCCTGCTAATTACACTGCTGTGAGGGTGGGATTCAGCTAACCTCACACACAAACTTCCCAACAAATCCACGTTGTTATTGTTTGTTTATGTTTTTTGTAATCATTTTTTCTCTTTGTACATACAATCAGTACAGACCATTGTCTCATTTGTATGCATATATTTTGCTTTCCCTTTCTAAATGACAAACATTACTTATGCATTGTCGAAACGCAATAAAAAGATTTTTGATCAGAAACTTCCCGATAAAGATGTTGTTTAATGGAAAGAATTCATACTTAAATATTAAACACCCTTTCTCTTCATCGAGAGCACATGTGTCAAACTCAAGGCCCGGGGGCCAAATCAGGCCCGTGGTGGATTTAATGTCGGCCCGCAGGATAATTTTTAATTACTATTAGATCTGGCCCGCCGGTATATTGCACGCACACCTTCACTCAATCCTGAGGGTCTCCTCCGCTCAGAGCCTGACCCCAAACATTGATGACCTTGCACCCAAGATGAGATGCCAAGTATCTGCTTGAACTAGCATCACAGGAGCAAACTGAGTTTAATGGATGTTTCCTTCTGCACTTTGTCTCTCACGACAACAGGGCGTGTTTGGTTTTCTCTTTGAGGGAAATAGTTTTGTTGAAGCTGTTGTTGGCCTGTGGAAAAATGTAATCATAAGAAATGACTCCGGAAAAGCAGCAGATAGAGCCATAAGAAATGAATGCAACTGATTATTTAATGTTTAATATTGTTTTTATAGGCAATAATTTAAGCTTTGTTAGTTCCAGGTTTAATATGTGCAATAAGTTCATTTCAATACGTTTTGCAATAAACATTGAACCAGTCCGGCCCTCCACTAGTACCCATTTTTTTATTTTGGCCCACTGTGTGTTTGAGTTTGACACCCCTGATCTAGACTAATGCTAATTGAGGCCGCATGGTGCTTTTTGCCGGCACTCACCTGTAGCGGCCTCAGGCCGAGGAAGAGCGGGGCTTTTTGGTCCTTTGCAGCACAAAGGAAACCAAACGACATTAGTGTTATACACAAAAGGGTAATACTGGTGATATGAAGCAGGGGTACCTAAGGACAACGCTGTACAAGAAGCACTAGGAGGAGCGTATGGTGGTAATACTGCAGCCGAGCAGTGAAGCCTGAGATGCTGGGAGTCTGAATATCTTTCTGCCGGATGAGGATTTCCTCACTAATCACAGTGGAGCGGAGCTGACATTAAAACAAGGGATTTTCCTTTACCCCATGTTATCTCCCCATGAAAAGACTAGGATCACCATATCTATACCCGTTTAGTGCATCATAAAGGGATTCAAACAGACTTGATCTGATGCACATCGTCCCTATTGCACAACTTTTAGACTCCAACTAAATTGTTACCAGCAACCGAAAACACCAAAGTATTACAGAGGGAAATGACTGCTCTACTTGTCTTTCCTTTTTGTAATCATAACAATAGTTCATATGGATATATTATAAGTATAAACACAACTCAAAATGAAGTTGAAAGAAAACAGTCAGATGTTTCCTACAGTGGTTGTTTCCCGATTTAAGCTCTATCGTTTTTTATTCCCAGTCTTTTTGCATTTAAGTAAGCCAAACATATTTGTACAACAGCCTACCAAACACATCTCTCTCTCTCTTGCAAACACACAAAGGCCTGATAAGGCCCAGAATAAATAATTAGTCAACAGTGAACCATCAATGTAATACAGGCATTGATGACTGGGTCAAGGACAACAGCAATCAGGGGACATTTAAAGCCTGTCCAGTTACCTTCACTTCTTCTCCTACCAAACGGTGAGCGAGGAACTTGGCAATAGTCTTAGATTAAAAGAGGTAAACAATACTTTAATATGAAAAAACATAAACATTGTGACTTACCAGCTAATCTATCTATCTACTCCTACGTTAAATACATTCGGAAGAGGCGGCAAAACCCACAAGAACACCTAGACTAGTAAATAACAACACTTGTATAGTACTCACAGATATATATCCACTAACATCAGAAATGACAGGGGAGTGAAATTAGACATGACTCAGCAACCACTTGGCCTATTTACACATCAAATTGTATTCTCCGATTTATTTGGGTGGATAGCTTTTGGAGCATTTAATTTAATAAGTTAGTACGCTTAAACTGAACCCAAGTACAGTTCCAATCAGGTGCATCCAGTCAGGTTTAAGAGAGGGTTCAAGTCATCTGGATGGTCCAGTGAATGTATAAACTGACAGCTTCCTAAATCAGGACTAATGCAATGTGCTTCTGTGGAGCGTCAGATGGAAAGTAGCAGCCGCTATGTTGAATGCTTCAGCAATGTAAGCACATAAGCACACAGTCTCACTCTAATCACTTTACCTCCAGAGTGCCTTCTAACTGGCAGAGGGCTCATGCCTCCTTCAGGTGTGAGGAGAAGCAGTGGGACAAAGTTGAAAACGTTAACACCTGCTTTAAGTGTCTTATACTGTAACACAGTGATGAGTTAAATATCCACACTTGCAATGGAGGATTTTATTTGTATTCTTCGACGAAGAGCATGCTTGTGTAATTTAACAGAGGGTTGAAACCTTACCTGAAGGTGGCGGTGGGCGTTGAGGGGGTGCTGGTCTGGCTGGGGGGGCGCCGGGCCGAGGGGGCGGAGGGCGTTTGGACTCCATAGATGTAGGGGCACCGGGCTGGAAGTCAACAGGAGGCCCTGGAAGGATTTAAGCAGTTCAGGGGGCGGTTTAACTGAGCAGCGTTTCACCATGTGCAATTGTTTCCAGAATTGTTTTGACTAGTTTACAAAATAATACTGTATTTTACATTTTTGTTTTATTATTTACATTTGTATTCTATTTGATCTTTATTTGTTTTATCTTGTGTGAATCCTGTTTTTCACTCTGACCCTGTTGCTGCTATAAACGCCTGAATTTCCCCACGGGATAAGTTAAGTCATCTTATCTTACATTCACACAATACAAACAAAATGGGTTTCCCCACCATGTCTACTACATTGAACATTGGAGGATGTCTTGGTGACTTAAAAGTAATGTTTATAATCCCATCATTTCCTGTGAGCAGATCACACTGGCCAATCACACTGTAAATCAAGCCTTAGAATAGAATAGTATGGTCACACATGCAGAGCACACAGCACACAATGAAATGTGTTCTCTGCTTTTAACCCATCCTAGTGCCAGGAGTCTAGTACGAGGAGCAGCTATTGTACAGCGCCCGGGGAGCAATGGGAGTGGGGGGGGGGGGGGGGGTTGTCCGGTGCCTTGCTCAAGGGCACCACGGCAGGGCCCAGGAGGTGAACTGGGACCTCTCCAAGTAGCAGTCCACACTCCATATTTAGGTCTGTTCGGGGACTTGAACCGGCGACCCTACGGCTCACAGTCCAAGCCCCTACTGACTGAGCCACTGCCTTATTTCTGTTAGTCTAAAGACAAACAAACACACGTCTTTTAAAGAGCACTACAGAAACTAGTTTCAAAAGGAAACTGGAAGACACACTACAAGCCCTCTAACACTACACAGATTAAATAATCACACGTTGAACTTTACCTGGAAACTCATCCCTTAATGATGGGGGGATTAAATCTGTTTCAGTGCGTTATAAACAGAACAGAATTAGAGTTTATATTCCACTGGAGCCTCAGCCGATTGTTGGATGATACCAGGTGTGTGTCATGCTGCACATCTAATATTTACCCTGTGTTGGTCGGGAGGGTCCTCCACGACTCGGCCTGCTGGGGCCGGGAGGTTCTCCGTGGGTGGGGGAGGGACAGGGACTGCCGCGGGGGGAGGGGAGGGGAGAGGACCCAGGGGCGGACCCTGCTCCAGGCTGAAGGTGCTGGGGAAGGATCTCCTCCACCTCATCGTCCACATCACCTGGGAAAAGACGGCAGGAATTCATCAATCCATGCCCGCTGATCGTCTTTGCTTGTCCTTATTTCTTTGTACTCCCCCCACCCCAACCCTCCCTTATGTTGCAAAGCAGTTTTGAGTCCCAGAAAAGCGCTATATCAATATAATGTATTACAGTGGTGGGAAGTAGTGGAGTACAAATACTTTGTTACTTAAGTACATTTCTCTGGTATCAGTATTTACTCCACTACTTATTTTTCTGACGACTTTCTACTTTGACTTCTTACATGTTGAACACAAATACCTGTACTCTCTACTTCTCTCATTTTCCAAACAGCTGGTTCCTTTAGTCTGAATGTGTGTTTGGTGGCGTGATCATTATTATTTAGAGTCATTGCGTGCCTATTGATTTGAACACGATCCGTGTATCCATCATTTCCTGGTCTTCTCTAAAGAAGAGGGACCAATGGAAACGTTGTCATGGTGCCGTTGTTCAGCATGGAAACATTCATTAGCTAACAATGACATTATTGTTCTATTAATATAAAGGGAGGTCAGGTACTCTTTAAAACAGCTGCTAGTTATGGGTACTTTTTACTGAAGTACATTTCAAAGCCCATAGTTCTTTACTTTTACTTGAGTAAAGACGTTTAGTCAGTACTTGTACTTTTACCAGAGTATTTTTAAACACGAATATCTGTACTTCTACTTGAGTAAAGGATGTGTGTACTTTTGCCATATCTGATGTATTATTATTATGTACTTGAAACTAGCTACGTTAATAGAATCCACATTTCTGAAGTAAATGATTGGTGTTGTTTAGCCATCGTCCCTCACCTTCCATATCGTAATCCTCATCGCCCATGTCCGTGTCTTCAGCGAGCAGCGTGGAGCTCGCTGAGGTGGGGATGCTTCCACAGATCCTCTCCACGCTCATCTCGTCCTCAAGATTCTTGATCCAGCCTGGACTCTTAAGACGGATGTCGATCATCTTGCCGAGGACCTATAATATAACCGAGGTAATAGATGAAAGAAGTAGAGATGGTTAGAATTGACAGGGGGCATTAAAACAATGTGTTTTTTGGTTTAAATGATAAAGATTGATACACATTTTATATTACTAATGCTAAGACTTAAAAATGAACTAATACAGTTGTGACGGCCGCACATTGATTTAAGGTGTTTCTTCTAAACTGTAGTAAGTAAGTAAAGTGTATTTATAAAGTGCTTTTCACAGACAAAGTCAAAGTGCTTGACAAAACAATAAAACGTCATCTTAGGAATCGTACACTTATAAATGAACACACAAAGCCACGTGTTAAGAAGTCATAAAAGCACCAAAACATAATAAAAACACAATAAAACACAATGAAAACAAAATAAAAACGTAGTATAAAATAGAATAAAATCAAGCACACCGGTTACCCAAACACCTGCCCAAACAGGAATGTCTTTAAATTAGCTTTAAAGGAGTCAACAGAGTCAGCAGACCGTAGATGAGCGGGCAGAGCGTTCCATAGCTTAGGAGCCACGGCTTCGAGCGCTCGATCACCGCGGGTCTTAAGGTGGGTACGTGGGACAGACAGTAAATTGTAGTGGCAGGGGGAAAGGTTTAAGGCATGCTGTTTATCATGAAATAAACTATGATACATGCATATTATCCACGCAACTGCAATTGTTAATGTCCATTGTTATGTACGGTTTGAGGGTGTGGGTCATTAAGCCTCATCTGCATATTCACCTGTCGCGGCGCGCCCAGAGGCTTTTTAGTGGCCGCGTCACCGGGACGCCAGGGGTTGGTTCTCACGGGAGGAGGAAGTGTGTGTGTGTGTGTGTGTGGCGAATGCGGGTATTCAGCGGGATATTTAAAGGTGGGGTAGGTAATTTTGGAGAAACCAGCTCGAGTGCGCTAGAATTTGAAAATACACAACCGGAAACAAATCTGCCACTTCCTCACAGAGCCCCTCCTCCAACACACACGTGACATGACATGACATGCACATGACCAATGAGGGCACGAGATAAGGTTGTGCACGAGATGGAAGGCTGACAGGCAGGTAGGCCATCCAGTTACTTTAGCCGGGCCGGCTCAGATGATTGGTCGTGCTTTTTACAGCGCCACGGCTTCCACTGATGACATTTTTTTATGTATTTATTGTCAAAGCACTTCAGATGTTCATTGCTATCGGGATGTTAAGAGCATTCCATGGATTATGACAAAAAGTGTATCTCGAGCCGGTTTCTCAAACTTACCTACCCCACCTTTAAGTTTCCTCAGCATATGTTAAAATGCAAAGGGGGAAGTAACTGAAAGTAACCGTATGTGGATATTGCATCGACTAACCTGGAAGCACGTCTCCGTGGAGAGGACACGCACAGATAGAGAGAGATTCTCTCCAACACAGGGTGAGATCGCTCCTTTGTGCCACGCCGATCATCGTGTTTTCCTTTTTTGTGGATTATAGCCTAAATAGGCCTACAAACATTTCCGTTTTTTGCTGCCGATGGGCGCAGGAGTCAGGAGGAACAGCTTTTTTTTTCAATTAACTATAGTGGCCTGGATTAGGCAGTAAAGACAATTTCGGTTTATCGCCGAGCTGACTTTTTGTTGAGTTTTGTTTGTGTTTTGCTTGGCTGGAAAACTGTGAATATAATTGAATAACGTATAAAACCTGTCTGTTTATTTTGTGAATGTGTGGATGTAGATAGTAGTAAATACACTCCGTGGGGAGTATTTTGTGGAAAGAGTAGATTTTCCGTTTACCAGTTTTATTTTGCCTTTATAATATTATTTCATATCAAGAACCCCTTGTGCGTGTATTTAACACAGCTATTTTTGATAGTTGATCGTTACACAGTGATGACTTACAGTGGAAGCGCTGAGAGAAAGAGCAGCAAGAGCAGAGTAACCTTCCAGGAAAGTCACCCACATCTTCTCCTCCACAAACCTGCATAAACAAGGACATGGTCAATGCAGTCTGAGCGTCTGAAGGTGATGCGTGTCTGTCTGTGTCGGGATGTAAGCCTCACCTGATGAGGATGACGTCCCCAAAGTTAGTAAACTTGTCCAGCAGCTCGTCTATGAGCTCATCGCTGAAGTAATCGTCGGGGCCGGAGGCGCAGAGTGACACCAGGATGGTCCCGTCTGGTGGCCCCTGCAGGGCGATGACCTCTTTGTAGACCTGGTGCCGCGCCTCGGGGTCCACCTCCAGGATGTCCACGTCTATGATCGACACCACAGGCCTAAAGAAGGACAGGAGGATAGTGATGTTTAATTAAAGACTAAATGACACTTCAGAGGATATGGGATTAGTTGGATCCACTTTACACGACATAGATGTGACATAAGAAGGAAATGCAGCAAATGATATTGCTAAAGGTGAAACGGTTATACACAGTCAGGTCCATAAATATGTGGACATTGACACCATTTTCATCATTTTGGATCTGTACACCACTACAATTAACTTGAGATTAAACACTCAATATGTGCTTTAAGTGCCGACTTTCAGCTTTAAATTGAGGGTATTTACATCCAAATATCTATGGACCTGACTGTATATGTATTTTACCTGTGGTCTGAGGTCTTAAGCTCAGCCCTGTTGTAGAACTTCAGCGTCCCAGGGTTCCAGGGGTTGTCCGGATCGTCCTCGTTCTCCCCAGACGTAGTACTGGCTCCTACTACATTCATCTCCTCAGCTGCAAAACACACACAAATTCAAAAATATGACTAAAACATATTTTTGCCAGTGTTGAAATGTTGTCATGAGTTCTGAAATAGAAGGGTACGAGATTATTTAGAAATATCTGAAGAGGCTCTGCACCTGTTTTGTCGAAGTTCCACTTCCTCCTCTTCCAGAGTATGCGGTCGGTCCAGGCCGGTGTGCGGCACTTCTCACTGGTGTCATAGTCCTCTGAGAAGAGGTCATACTTATAGGTGGGAGCAAAATCTAACTTGCCCTCGATAAAACCACGGAAAACCTGTGGAAGACATTTCTGTATTAGTATGTGTATGTCTCAATTCCGTGGTACAAACGTTTCTGTTCTGAGGAAATGAAGGTTATTAGTGATGTGAGCATGCAGGTGTACAGTAGGTCATACCAAACCAGCATTTTTCTGGTCAAACAACTGATCCCCAGCTGTCAAGGCATCCCAGTTCTGCTGTTTGATGAGCTCTTTCACTTCCTCATTGGGCAGGCCGATTCGATAGTTGAAGTCTCCGCACCAGAAAACGTAGTCATGCGAGTACAGCAGACGACCCTGGCAAAACGGGACGGATGTGGTTTAGTAATGTTACGGGAAAATGTGCTTTTAAATCACTTGTTGACAGGAAAATTACCATGGGGAAAGTCAGCCTGCGCGTGATCTCATTGTAGTCGTCATTTCTCTCCTTGACCTGTGACTGGCCAGCAGCAAAGTGGGAGCAGACGACGCAGATGCTGGTGGTGTGGAAGAGCATGCGGATGGCCACACCTCCTTTATTCCCTGTAGCCCCGCCCATCCCAGTTTTTACAGTATCCACAGCAACATCCCTGGAAGAAATATTGAATGATGAGGTTATATCTGATCCTAGAACTGGGATCTTCTCTCATGAGAGTGTATACAGTTCTTACCTGATGTAGGGTGCGTGCTGTGGGCGGATGAAAACAAACAGACAGACTCCCACCAGCTGCTCTGAAGCCAGCAACACATACTTGTGGTCCCGTGATAAGTTTTTTTGTAGCTCAGCTGCCCAGAGTTTCTGGTTTGTAGTGCTAAGACAAAAAAACAACATATTTTTATATTGCAGAAACCACAGAAAGACAAGGCAAAAACATAGTGTGAGTAAGGTGCTGTTTACACGAGAACGCAAACGGCTGTATCCGCTACTTTTCTCTTTCGTATAGCCCGTTCGTTCACACGAGGCCGTAACGGAAACGCGGAAACGGACCCGGCAAATGATAACGGGTCCCAAGGTGGATAGATCTGCAAACGGAACGCTCTGGGGGGCCAAACGGCTCAGTGTGTACGCCCTATACGATCATTTCCTGATAACAATGAAGCCATAGCCCCACCTCTGCTGCTCACTGCTGTAGCATGGTCAGTAGCTACTGCTACTGCTACTGACCATGCTACAGATGTTAGTGCAAAATCTACAGCTCCTCTACCACAACCATCAGCAACAAGTGGACATGGAGAATTACATGAACTACATGTTGCTAAATCCACCGCGAGGCATAAACAGAAGGGCAACCATGGCAACCATGCTCGGGGGTCTTCTTCGCTGCTTTTGGTGTATTTTGTGGCAGAAGTACAGCGTCACTTACAGGCCCGGCATATGTACTACAGCGTCTCCAGCGCTTTCGAGCGGTCTCGTGTGAACGGAAGACTTTTTTGATATCGTATTCGGTTTGTTTGCGTTTCGTATGCGTGTAAATGGGGTCTTAGAGGGACCATTAACAATGTAATATGTTCAAATATAAGGACGTTACAAAATCCTTATGAGTAATAATAGCCTTGTCAGCTCAGCTTAATGATCATAATTCCAGACCTGAATAAATCATGGCCACATTTGAACTCCCATATCCTTTTGAATGCAAGTCATGCATTTCATTTATAATTTTTTGAGTAAAAACAGCATTAGTGTTATGAATACTAGCCAAAAAGGAGACAGGTCAGTTATCTGAGGCTACATCATTGCATACATACCTCGCACTGACAATGTTTCCAGCATTCAGTTCAACCATTTCCTCAAAGCCAATAGCAAAGATATCTGGGGGGTTGGCTTTGCTGTCTGTAAAGAGAAGAAACACAACATGTTCAACATCCTGTCTGGCAAGGCAAGGCAAGGCAAGTTTATTTATATAGCACTTTTCAACACAAGGCAATTCAAAGTGCTTTACAAAAAATGAAAGACATTAAGAAAATGGCATTTAAAATCAGTATATAAATATATGGTAAAGAAAATGATGATCATATATAATTGTATGAAGATTTTGTGAGCAATATAGTGCTTTAATCAAAATAGAATCGTACCTATTGTTCACAAGCAAATGCAAATATACTGTATAAATAGAGATATGTCTCTTCAAGGAGTCAGTTACCTGAGACCACATAATAAACAAGATACTGTATAACATTTTAGGTATTTAGCAAACAGATAAGAGAGTGGTATCATTCTTCTAATCAAAATCCTTTCAAGAATGCAAATACCAGTATTATCCAAAATGTCAAGCCATTTCTTACACCTAATAAATAAGAGCAACCCTATCAAACATCATTTCCAGACATTCATCCCCAGTGAGTGTGTTTTATTAAACACAGACATACCCTGGAAATCAGGATGGCCTGCCTTCTTTGGAGCATCCAACAGCCAGTCGTTGAGCGTCTGGTTTCGGAAAGCAATGCTGCGAAACTGTTTACCCCCGTTAACATTCCAGGTGCCGACACACACGCGGATCTGCTTGGGCTTCGTGTATTTATGGTAGTTCTGACACATTCCCAGCAGTACTCTTGGAGAGGCTTTAGAGGGGAGGAGAGCAGGATTAGAGTGTACAATGTTTGAGTGTTTGGCATGCAGGAAGGGTGGCACACAGGGAAACAAAACAATAACAGGAAGAAAACAATCAATGGAAGAACATCAAAATTCAACAGAGGAACACTGAAGCAATGTTCTAAAACATGGGGGATGGGAACATCCAAATAATCAACGTTGGTAATGGTTCCCTTGTTTCAAAATCTTTACACTAAATAATGTGGAAATGTCCTTGCAAAATTCAGCATCCTCTTACTTTTAAACACCATTTCAAAAGCCTGGTTGTTTGCATCAGACCGAGGGTAACCGCTACCAACATTGGGTTTTACATAAAAGAACAATAATGAACACAAATGATAGGACGACTGTGATGAGATGAAAACATCCATCCACTGGGGGCAGTCTGCCGGTTACTATACCTGATTGCAAGATGGGCTCAGTGACTAAGATTGTGAGCAATGAGGAGAGAAGGGAGAGAAGGGCGGGTTAACCAGTACTTTAACGGATCATTCTAGCAGTCGGTCAGCTTTAATCTAACTGGGACAGATAACTGACACATGGAGATTACACTCGACGCAGTGCACACAAACCCTGCTATTAGTAAGCTTCTGGCTAACAGGGATACAACAGAGACAGGTCAAAACTCGTCAAAATAGGCAAACAATTCCTCCCTGACAGAGCAGAAAATACACATTAGAGAATATGGAAGCAGCATTAGTTATTTCAGGGTATATGCAGGAATCCTGAAGTCAAATGTAAAACCTTTAAAAACCTTTTTTAAGACCCTTTCCTACATTTTAAGACCTCATCGCCACTTGGAGTTTTAACCGGTTACCTTGGCGACACACTTTACCTCACATTGACTATATACAGTATTGATTGTCCTTCCTCCTTATCTTCCAACCATTTGGACGCAAACTTGCATTTCCCCATAACGATGTTGTTTAGCAACCGGCGTAAACGGGCCTTCGCGTGCTATCAAGCAGTGAGCGCGCGATGTCCTGTTCAGATGGCGTCAAACCCAACGGGATGCCATCAATAAACTACACAGAATCACACTACACACCTACGCAATGATTACATTCAGGCAGACTGTAGAATACAACCTCTTTGGACAATTTATATACTTATTGAAAACAAGCTACAAAATGTAATACCTTGGAAAATGCCGTTTAATACTTTTTAATAGTCTTAATTTTCGCTAAATTGACTTTTTAAGACCCCGCGGACACCCTGTATTTATATGTACATTTTAGTGATAAAAATACATCCTATGTTGTAAAAGAGTTACCATAAAGACTGGAAGTGGTGAGCAAGGCTCGAGCTTTGTCCGCCAGATCGCTGTTGAGTGTGGAGCCCAGCCTCAGGATGTCTATGGCCTCCTGCTTAGAGCTGTCGAAGAAGTTGTTCTGGATGGTCCTCGTCACAGAACGAGCGCCATCTTTTAGCTTTCCAACCTACGAACAGACACACACAAAAAACACCCAGATTATTAGCTCTACTCTTACTCGGTGTGAGAAATAGTCCGTAGTTCACACACCAACCACGGAAGAGAAGAAAAGCAGGAACACATCAGAGAGATCCGAGTAATATAGATTTATGAACTGACCAGGAAGGATCAAAACTTCACAGGAAGGTTTTTCTGATTGATGTGGTTTGATTTAATGCCACATGGTGATCAGTTTAATTGGTTTGTCCTTGTTCATCCAATAGAAACAGATAATGTAGGCAACAGGAAACGATGCTGCAGTAAGATCACTCAACACGTGAGGGCACCATATCAATTTCCTTTGTTTTCTTTTTAACTTGATTTCTGTGGATCAGTAGAGGTCTCCATGGAGATTTCAAAGTTGCCAGGTCAAGACAGTATACATAATCAAGTTTTTTAAAAATAACCCCACCTATCCCATCCTCCATCATCATATAACCCACAGACACTGAAATCAATAATGCACCAGAAATAGACCGACGGTGAAAATACAACATGGACTGGCTTGTTAACTTACCACAGAGGTAGAGAGGTCCAGAGGAGAGCAGAAAGAGACAGCACACAAGAGTTAAGAAACTGAAGCACACAGTTCTACACACAGAGGATCAACGCTGTCACTGCACGCACCGTAGCACACAACTAGACATTATTTAAAGTGCTATTTATGGTTTAAGATCAAAGTTAGAAGGTAACCCCCGTTGTTCGGTCAATTTGAAGAGAATTCCACTTTACTGCTCAGAGCCATTTCTTGTGATCTTCCCTCAAGCTACAACGTTAGCTACATTAGCAGACCATAACTAGACTATGTATTTAGTAAATAATTGTCATTCAGTGCTTTATTTCTCCAAGCAGTATCAACAACTGAAAGGACGTTGTTACTAGGGATGTAACGATACCAAAAACTCACTGTACGATAATATCGCGATAAAAAGTCCACAGTACGATATTTATCGCGATATTGAAAAATAAAGAAAAAGAATGTGAATTTTTTTTTTTTTTACTTGATTTTTTTTCCTCTTTATTAAATAATAAATCTGATTTGTACAGCATTTTAGTAGGATAGTAGTATTTTAAAGTGTCAACAATATAATAATCAGACCCTGCAATAGAATAAATCTGTGCATTGTCTCTCCACCACTTCAAAAACAATACAGTTTTTGCCAAGAAAGTGAGGCTTATTGACAGGGCGAGATATAAATATACTGTTGGTACTTGTCAATGTCTCTAGGTGTGTACATGTAGCCCTGTAAATACGATGTCCTTTTGTGTTATCTGTTGTTTTATGTTCATGTTGTAACCTACTTACTGCCATGTTGGACAGGTCTCCATTGAAAAAGAGATCGATGATCTCAATGGGACCATCTGGTTGAATAAAGATTTAAAAAAAAAATAAAATAAAAAAACTACGGTAGATTTTGTCAGTCTCACGACGGTATTGAGACATTTATTTACCGCGATATCGCGATATTTGATATATCGTTACATCCCTAGTTGTTACTGCTGGCTGAGGCTATAAATGACTGTGAACTTGTATATTTATGGGTATTAGGCGTGTCCATATTGTGTACCTTGGCCTTGCCATCCAGAGCACCGGTGCCCGCGTAGATCTTACTGACGGAGTCGCCGTTTGCCGACCACATGGTTCTAAAAACCTCCTGGAACCTGGCCACCAGCTGGGGTTTCTCTGTCAGCCCCATTTCCTCCAGCTGCTTTGGTAGCATCTGGGGAGGTGAGGAACAGGAAGTAATAACTATAAGCATGAACTCAGAAATATATGGATGTGACGGGAATGATATGCTCTTTTATAACAAAACAAAAGTCTCACCTCAAGGGCAAAGAAAGCCTGAACACTGTTGGTTCTGTCCAGACAGTCCAGGCAGTTTGTCCTTAGGGTCCCACCTTGAGTTCTACAAAGACATGTTCAAATGTTAAGAATCCAAAACTCCTTTATACTTCATTATACTTGTTTGTATTTATTTTCACCTTGCAATGCCCGTCTCTCCAGAGTAGTAGAAGAAGCCACACTCCTCTATGAACTTGCTGAGGTAGGGTTTCAGGACACTGTGCAGTTTGTCGGCCTTTCCCCCCTTCACATTTTGATGGTAGTCGAAGTTCACCATTTTTACCGCTGTTGCATGCTCGGATGCCTTCAGGTGACTCTGAGCGTGACAGAGAGAGGAGGAGGATTATCCCCTGGAATTCTAACTGAATGCGAAACTGTTGTGCGCGCAAGGCCTGTCCCAGCACGGACATGCATATTTTAGACGTTTCTTTTTCTCTAACACAAAAGACGGACATTCAAAGAACTATGACTCAAGTTTGCCATATAGAAACAATATGTGAGGCATTTTTTAAAGTGCTTCCCACAGCTTAATAAACATGATATGTTTTCGTATACAAAGTGAAAATTAAGTTTTGTTCTGCACACTAGAGGAAACAAAAATATTCCACTATGGCAAACCAGAACATTTCTTTAATAGTAATGAAAATATTTAGTTTTTTAAGACAAATTTAGTTTCCTCTGTGGATTAGATTAAGGTTGGACTAATTCTGTATTGTTTGAAGCATCAGAAAGTACACGTCAGTGTCAAAGGACGAAAGATAGCTTCCCTCACCTGAAAAGCTTTGCTGAGCATGTGTTCCCCTTCCTTACTCCCAAGCAGGTTGATGATCACCTGTTTGCCATACAACCTTCGCAGTGTGGTGAAGTGTCTGGACAAAACATAATACAATCACATAATAGGCATTGTTAAGGTAAAGACAACATCACAGACTAATAGTACACCTATTGCAGCATTTATCATAACACGTCAAAGTCTCCATGCTTGGTACCAATGGTATATAGATAGATAAAAACACAATAAATAGCGCATCTCAACACCTGCTGGGCTACTGTACAGGCATGATGCTGTTAAGACTATGACATGTTGTGTTTTCAAACTGGTTTGTATGATAAAGGAATGCAAATGACTTTTAATAAGATATGAAGACACATTAGAAATGGCAAGGATATAAGGATTCAAGCTTCACTTTTGGAGTCAACAGTGAGTTATTAATGTGGGAATACAATTACACGTATGAGTAGAATGAATCCAAGAGTGCACAAAACAGTTTATTAGGGGCGGAAATAGTTTTGCAAAGTAGTAGAGACTGGTGGAAGGAACAGTGTCCAAAAGAGGCATTTCAATAACCACAGGCCTCACCATCAAGTGTTAAGAATATTACAGACATGGATTAAACATCAGTAGCATCCAGCAGCAAGACCATCAGACAAACGCTACTAATACAGTGTGTTTCTAAAAATATGTTCTTGTTGGCCTTGTACTTTAATAGGCATTTTTAAGATAGACATATACTGTAAGGCAGCCACTGCAAACAAGAAACAACTAGATATAGCAACCGATGAGTCATGAGTATGGATCTGGACAGATGTTGAGAAAGACTGGCTGCATTGCCAACTATTTAGTGGGAGAAAAAAAACCGCATTTGCTGTAAGATACAACTGGTGCTCCATCTGACAAGCTTGTCTTAACACGTTCAGCACGGCCGCTCGGATAGGGAGGCTACAGAAAACAGATAAGGATGAAGCCAGGCACGGGACAATCAAGGAGTGCCACGGTGATTAGAGAGATCATCTTCTAGCTAGAGAGCCTGAGTTTAGCCCAGTGACTGACATCCCATCTGGCTTCATCAAACTAACCAATCTAAAGGGAGCTGCTATGTTGGTAACCCTGCATCTGCAATGTGTCTGTAGACAGGGAGAGCAACAACCATTTTACTGACCATCTGGTCTCCAAGATGAACTTCCAGTTAAGACAAGATGAGTAATCAAAGACTCATGTGGTAGCATAGCTCTTTGTCCAACATTCTAAGTCGAGCTTGGAGGCATAAGAAATACGCAAAGAAACTGTCTGCAATACATATTAAATGCAGAGGGCGACAGCTGATCAAGGGCTACCAATTTGTCCCTTCTGTTCTCTGCAATCAACCGGCCTCTGAGGACACACTTCAATGAACATCTACTCCTTTAGGAGTCTGAGGAGCCTTTCTCTGTTCTGCCTGGGCACTGCTGCAGGAGATGTAGTGTTATGGTGTCTCCTCTGCCCCTCAGAGGAATAGAAATCACACACAAACACACTACACAGAACATTTTAATTACCTTTCGAATGCGGGCGCATTTGCCTCAAATCCTCTTGACAGCTTGACACGATGAGAGCCGACCTGCAGGTCAGAGACAGCAAGACAAGAAAGACACAAGTCACAGTGTCCTTTTTTATTTAATACACATTTTAAAAAAGGGACGCTGCAGAAACACACACATGCTGCAGATAACCAGAAATCCTGGTGGTGAAAACCGAAGTTGGGATATATATTTTGAATACAACATTTGACCAACGTAGTGAAAAAGAAAAAAAAGAGTGTCGAACAACGACAGCAACACGGGGTCAGCAGAGGGAGATTGTTCTTTCAGACACTGAGCAGCAAAGAAACCCTGTTGCCTGTCACCTTATTGGATCTTTTTTGTTTTGCTTTTTCGCTCACTCATTTTAGAGAAACACCAAAGAGCCTTACAGAGAAGTAAAGGCAGACATGAACACACCATGACAGGTTGAGCATGACACAGAGGATTTTAAAAGGAAATGTACTGCACTGCAGGTCCCTACGTGTCCCCTACCCATCTCTGCCTTTGCATTACCATTCTCAATGTGTATCTTGCTTCTCTTCCTGTCTCTAATTGCTCGTCATCAACTCAATAAAATAAAATTGAATCACCCTCCAATTAGGGTTCTTCCTCTTCCGCTTCCTACTTGTCACTCAATTCAGGTCCCAAGCCAAATACATCCATTCTGCGTTCAAACCAGTCAATGATTGTCACTGCTGCGTGGACATTAAGGGCCAGCATTTCTGCATGTGTCCATTTTGGCTAGGCTTGTGTTTGCCAGTGTTAGACGTTTTGCTCCATGCTGCTGCCATTTTGTCACAACTTCCTTTCAATGCTGTTGTGCAAGCCTACTATGCATATTTAATAACTTCCTGAGATAACATCTGAAAGGACTCGGGTAACAGTTGTACACCTTAGAACAAAACCCATTCACATCCTACTCAAACTCTATAACATAACACCTGGAGTCTAACTGGTCCTCTTTAACTCACACTGATTGTATACTACTAAGATACATTTCAAAGTCACTTATGTCATGCCACCTACAAGAACATTAATCATGGAATATTCATCAGTTATTTGGACCTATAATTGGTTGAGACCTTTGAGTGCAGTTCTTATAATCTAGTACTTTTTAAGTATAAAACATATTTGCAAATACTGTTGATGCAACAGTTTTCACTGATGACTGATTCACCTAATGGTGCTTTCCCGAAAGCAACCATAAACAATGATTAACTGAGATGTTATCATCAACCAGAAGTCTAACTACTAATCAGCTAAGAGGGCGCAGCTCTACCACTTTACTGATTTGCAACTTTCTCTGCCGGGCTTTATGACACTTCACGATTAGTTCTAATGTAAACTAAAGGTTTTTTTGTTCAAAAAAAGAACGACTGATCTTCATACAAAACTACCCATCCGGCTCAGGGAAGGAATGACAGAATATGGGGAGTGGGGAGAAAGTAAGCCGACAAAGACACGATCTGTCGAGGAGACTATGAGCTGAAATGGTGCTTTACAAGCAGGACTGTTCTGTCTGAAAACAACCCCGAGCCCACAACCCTGTGTTTAAAGAAACCGTAGACCAGGGCTATTCAATTAGCGGCCCCCGGGTTCTGAACTTGCCATTTAGATCTATAAAGGCCTTGGGGCTATGTTGCTAATATGCACTCCACTAGGGCTGCTCAATTAATCGTATTTTAAATCGCAATCACGATTATGGCGTGCAACGATTACGAAAACAACGTAATCGAAATAAAACGATTATTTTTGTATTATTACTTTTCTTTTTTCTTTTTGGTTTTTCAGTTGAATTATACTTAAAGTTCAGGGAAATCAACTGTCTTCACATTTTCTCCAACAAATTGATGTTTACAAAGTAAATGGATAATCGTTTTTAATAACCCGTGATATCAATTATTGACCCAAATAATCGAGATTATGACTTTTGCCATAATCGAGCAGCCCTACACTCCACTAAGCTGTTGTAGTATTTACTGTATCTGAAGCTCATAATTATGATTGCTCATATTTCAAGCCATCTTTTTCCCGGCCCCTTGCTTTGGATCATTTTCATCAACCGGCCCCATTCCAAACTAATTGAATAGCCCTTGCTGAATAGAGATTTCACACTGACTTAGGGAAGTGGGTAAGGGATGTTTTCAGACCAGGCTTTCACCTGATCAAAGAAGTCTAGGAGCTGAGGAAAACAGAAAAGGGCCCTTTACCAACGAACCACTATATCTATCATAAACCTGCCCCACGTTAGATTTAAACCACCACTCTGTGCAATGTCAGGACAAGGGCAGGAGAATCCCACTGGTGTGGTTTAAGGTGGGTGATCTTAGTTCCTGCTGTAGTGTATGGGACCTGGATAAATGTATAACATGGGATTCCCTTGGCTTTCACCCCTGGCTGTTGGCATTGCACAGAGAAAGTCCTATCTGCAGTATGAAAGCGCCAGCACCAGCAAGAGCAAAAAAAAGAAGATATACCAGGTGGGGGTTCTCATCCATTCCATTACGATGCCGATTCTCATTCAGTTGCAACAAAACACCCTTTATGGACTTTTTCTGAACATAGCATGGACAAAATGTGTTAAAACTACCATAAAGATATCTCGTGTAATAACAACATGTGTTATTCTGTCACATTTGCTATATAACATTTTGTATTAATGAAAGTGTGAACAAACTCATGGAGGGTTCATTAGAGTTCAGTAGCAACACTTTGGCACTCACTGACACCGAGCCTTATCTACAACTGCAGCATACAAAATGGGCACAAGTTCAACATAAACACGAGCGCTGCTGCATGATTTTCATATGATGTCGCTTAATATATGAAAAGTTTTTTTTAGGACAGGTTTAGTTTCCATTACCTGAATTCCTGGCTGTTCCCAGAAAAGAGGAATGGACCCACGGATCTGTATGAAGGATGATACTTTGTCATCCAGGAAGATAACCTGTTCAAAAGAAGAGGATCATTTGGTTAAGTTCATTTGCAATGTGGCAAAGCACAGATGTCCATACAACTCTAATTGTTTTATGACTATAGACAATGTCAGCCTGTGTGTCTGTGGTCACTTTTTTTGACAAGACAAAAAAGGAAATGTGAAGGAGAAATCATTTAATGTAGAGTGGATGCATGTTTTTGGTGATAAGCTGATATAAGGAAGAAATCACTAATCACCAAAGCTTTCAAGTGGTTGGCAACAATAACCAGCACACCTAGTAATACAGTATATTCTAACATTAAAAAAAACTGTAAACCCAATACACAAACGAAGCTCTAAATGTTCAATTTCTATTCCGACTCTAACTGAAAGACTTTGAAGGATCTGTTTGGTGGTTTTCGGGGTAGCAAATATTGGTGAAATTTTATTATAATGTTAGTAGTTCCAGTTATTCTTTCCAACTGATAGCTTTGTGTTTGTGTTCTGAAACAGGAAGCATACAAAACGGTGAGTTAAAAAAAAGTGAGTTATTTCAAAAAATGCAGAGCTGAAAAGTAAGTTTGTTTATTAAAATATAGATGAGTCAACAAACATTATGCTGGCCCAGCAATTAAAGCTAAATACTGACTGAAATGAAGTTCGCTAAATAAGGAAGTTGAACTTCTGCAATGTCAAGAGCTTCAGACTGGAGCTTTACCATTAAATCAGTTTGCTGCGTTTTCATAATGGTTTTCCTCTTGTAGGTTAACCGTGCACCTATAATTATTATTGTTGAACAATTTCCTTCCCCAGTGACAACACAATGTGCTGGAGCAATAGAGTTTCGGTATGAAGCTGCACCAGGTTTTCTCCTTAACAGTCAGTTAATACAGTGTTTAAACAGACTGTATTAACAAAAGGTCATGTGACCATTCACAGGGTATATAGAAACGGATGCAGAAAGAATCAAAGGTCTGAGTCACCTGTTCTGTCTCCACAAAGTTGGCCACCTGTCCGTCGTCATTGGCTCCTCGGACGTTGAATCTGGTGCCGGCTCGCTCTGAGCTGAGGCGGGAGAAGATGCACGCCTTGGCCTGTTTGTGCCCTGCGTAGATGGTCCTGATCTCCACACCGCCACACATCAGCCTCAACAGCCAGTCGTCGCAGTTTACTCCGTAGTGTTTCAGGTGCAGGTGCAGAGATTGGTTCCTATGGATTCATGAAGATAACACAACAGTTAACACACAAACCAATTCAGTGTGAACAGTGAATCTTCCCACGTTAGTTGCATATCACACAGCCCCAATATCACACATTCAGAGGAAACAATTTCACCAGAAAGACTGCAGATTGCAGAAAGCATACTTAGTTCACTTCATACAGTATAATATTCCAGAGAGTGTTGGAGCCAAATACCTGACTACTACTCTCATTATAACCTTTGAATAGTAGAAATGTCATGCTCTTACCAAAAGAAGCGGTTATCTGTTGTGTCCTCTAGGATCCTGCGATGTGCACTTAGACTCAGGTCCATGCTAACTCCAGAGGCAGACCAGGCAAAGTAGAAGTGTCCTGAGTTCAGGACCTTTCGCACTTCAGCAATCCGGTCCTCATCCGCTGGATCATTCTTCAGCGATATAAAGTCTGTCTGTGTGACCCTGAAAACCTCAGAATCCTGCACCTTCCCCACAGAGCTGCATCCTGTCACAACCACCAGACTGTGGAGCATGGAGTCACCTGCACACGTAAGGAGTAAGAAAAAGAGACATAAGAGTGAAGCAAAAGCAAGAAGTAAGTAGATGGATATGATTCCGTGCATTCAGGAATAATACATATAGAGACTGGACAAGAAAGGTTTAAGTACACTTTGGTGTCAATCCTCGAACAAGGAAGTCACCAGCCAGTCAAATCTCAGCCATCTATAATCTTTTGTGAGGCTTTTTCCTTGTTGTGATAACAACAGCCTTCAAGGTCATGCAAAAGGCAGAAGAAAGCAGCTTAAAAGGAGGCAGCAACATGACTACAAACCAGAGGGGCGTTCAGTCACACAAGAACCTGGGGGTCACCAGAAATGTCTGCAGCAAGGATGCATGCGTAGAGAAGATGCGTCTGTAGCTTACCCAGGTTTAGGCGGAGGACGCCCAGGATGCCATAGGCATCAACAATCTTGGCGTATGTGTTTTTAATGGCATCCTTCTCTGCTGCAGCTAGAAGAAAAACAAAGGCAATACAATGTGAAGCAAGTATTGGTAGTGATCTCATTTTCATTTGTAAGTAAATGTAGCCTTTGACTTAATCATTGTACAATATCATGTCAATCACTTGGTAGTTAATGTCTCTAACAGCTGTGTTTCATCTCAAGAGTTTTGAGTATATACATTATCTCCCATTACACAGCATTCAAACAGGATGTCTTACAAAGAACAGCAACGGCCCCCGATTCGAACATGAGGCATTCTTCTTTGCCTCTAGTTTCCACTATAACACTGTAGGGGGGGGGGTCCAGTTTGTGGTAAATGCGATATCCTTTGCTGAAGGCCATTGTTGATCCAAGATGAAGACACTTATTTTATGACCTGGAAACCAAACAAAAGGATAAAACATATATCAGATCAGAGACATTACCAAGAAAACACAGCATCTGTCATTCAATAGCAACTGGAGCGTAAGATGGGCTATCGATTTTTGATGGAGAGGGTAGACTTATGATGTGACCATAGACCTTTTGCTTTTTGGGAAAAAATGGAATCATGATCATTTTGATAGCGTTTTCCTAAGCTAACGTTAAGCAAGTATTAAGGCGTTTCAACGTCGAAATACCAATACATCTCTTTGACTGCAGGTTATACAGGTGTTGTATTACTGAATGAAAGTATGCCCAACACACAACATACATCTAACGTATGATTAGGCAATGGCATTGCACATTGCCTGATTCAGAACTGCCATTACATAATCAGAAGCCTAACGTACAATCAAATATCGCCAAAGCCCAAACATATGACTAACTAATCGTTTTAAATGAATTTCGCTAGTAGCTGGAGATTATGATCAGCACTAACACTGTGAACGTTAGGCCGGTGGACTGAAACATCATCCATCCCGACACGGACAGTCACGACTTTACAAAGCAAATGCAGCAGGTTAAGCTAACGCTAACGTTTACCCTCCAGCTAGCTTTAACACTGACGCGCGAAACCAATTAAGAAAGCGAGATGGATAAACCGAGAGAGCTGTCTTTTACCTACCAACCGCTAGCTGGTAACGTTAGCTAAGTTAGCTACATTAATCACAGGGGTTGCTATGATTCGCTAGCTGACGATGTTAAAGATGGTACTACCTGTACGTTCGGGAGGATAGGCTGACATTTACTCACACACACATATGAGCGACTCCGTTATTTAAGTATGCCTGTGTATATATTTTAATTTCGGTTTTTTTATTTTACAATTCTGCGTTGGATTTAAATAACATAGGGAAAAGGCTGAGGATTTGGTCTTACCGTCTACCCCCGCCGGGTTGTTATTACGCTGTCACAACAGAATCCTTCCCGGTGTCTTGGCGAAAATGGTACATTCCGACGCAAAGGACGCCTCCCTCACGTTACCGTAATACCAAGTGAAACTGTACCGTAAAAAAGTCGAAGGGCGCATTTAAGTCAATTAAAATGTTTCCAAGTTGAATCAACTGAAAGTTCCTTAGGGTTATTTAAATACATGTTAGAAATGGTTAATATTGAATACAATGCCCGTTCAGGAAGTCGGAAAAGTTCCTGCCCGGTTTGGCTCACGACTGACAGGTTTACCGATCGAATGAACGCCGTCCCGAACGAGTACTGTCCAATCATATGTGGTGAGGGGCGGGACTTGGGCGTTTCATAACAACGCCGTACTCTTCTGTATAAAACAAGAGCTCTGACTGACCTCGTAAACAGAATGTTTTGCAAGTGTTAATTGATAGATTCAAATATAAACCAGGCGCCTATCCAAAAGGTGAGATTTAAACTGCTTCTTCTTGTCATCATGTTAAACGCAAATATATTAAAGGCTGTTAAAGCTGTTGTTGTCTTCTATTGTGTGTTGACCGAGCACTGCACATTTCGCTGTTTCACGGGAACAAACTGTGCTATACAGGGTTATCTTCCAATATTCTAGTAATGTAATGATTCAAACGTTCAGATAATGTTGTGTTGATACATGTAGAGAAAACGTTCGTATCGATAGTTATGAAAAGGCAAACATAGAATAACAAATATAACATGTAGGCTACTACTACACTACTTCAAGTTCCACAGTCTTATGACTTGAATACAAGGCATATCTTGCCTTGCTTTGCCTTGCATCAATTAGTTGTACTATTTTAAGAGGACTTAACTCATGTGTTTGCAAAGCACACTGTACTTTAATATAAAAATGACAACATAATAACAAATCTATATGTTATTAGCTGTTGTCATTTATACTTTAGAACTGTTTTAGAAATATGGTCATACGCTTCACATGATATCTGCTTAAACATGCATAGTCAACCAGTATGTGTTACCTTATTATCTGTGTTTATGTTTATCTCTAAATGTGTTCTCTTTCCAGGGAATATTGGTGCTCCTCAAAATGAAGGGTCTTTTCCTGGTGGAGCCTATTGTTGCACTGTACGCTTTCTCCAGTTTTCTCATCTATCCTCTTGTGCAACAATATGTTTACCGGAGGCTCTGGCAGGAGCTGACAAACACCACCTATCCCGTCTCTGCCAATGCCTCCAGATGTGCAGAAAACAGCAGCGCCGGCAGCAACCATTCCAGCTTTCATGATGTCAGTAACACACTAATAATTGGACGTTACACAGGTGCATGCAACTCAAGATAGAAATGACATTCTCAATTATAAATACAGTTTTTTCTTTCGTTCCATTTAAGAAACACTAAAAAAGAATCCACTTATATTAACATTCCCAGCATCCACCTATGTTACATTTTCAGTGTAACAAGTACTGGATGTTGCATTTATGTATACCTTTACCTGTGTTTTCCACCTCCTACATTGTAAGGCATGTGACGCTTACTCAAACATTGTTGTGTAATGGTTTCTGCATATTGATGAAAGAAATGTCTTGCTTACAAAAAAACAAGTCAGGCTTCATAAAGTTACCACAATTTATCTCTATCCATAGTTGCAATAGTCAATTCTTCCAAAAGCTGCCGTTCTTATCCCGTTCTGTGTTGGACCCTTACTGTCATGACACTGCATAGCTTTTCCTATACACCTTTCAGATCTTGCAACATAATTCAAGTAAAAACAACTGATTCAGCTACTGTGCCATAAAGTGATATTACATGGAAACCTGTGACTAAAGTGACAATCTTATTAAATCATCATAGTCCTTCCAGAGCACATGATCAGTCATCCATTTGCAGATACTGTAAAAGTACTCGAAAAAAGGATTAGTGATGGTGTATTTATAAAGTAAGAATTAAACATACCAGAGAAGTTAGAGCGAACACTGTTCTGGAAAAGCCTGTTTGTATTTTCTTGAAAAGCCCTTCCTGCATCTGTTGCACTGTAGATAGCTTTGTTCCTTTTGGTCCTTAATAAGAAAACCTCACATGATGCTGAAATCAGTCTGTGTTGGTTTCATGACATTTCATTGTCACTTACTGTCATCAAATTGAAATGCACACAGTTCAGACTCAGCCCATACATTTCGGACATAACCACGCTCTCTCTTTTCTGTGTTTTCAGGAGGTACAGAGGCAGGCATCTCTCTTCTCCCTCTACACAAATCTCTTCTCTGCAGTCCCCTCCTTGGTGGTCACCCTCATGCTTGTGGCCTACAGCGACCGGGGAGGACGCAAGATCACAATCATCACGCCTTTGATTGGCACGTTGCTCTACACCTTGTCCTTCCTGGCAGTATCCTACTTCGAGCTCAACATTTACTTCCTCATTGGCGCATCGATCCTCAGCTCTCTGTTTGGCGGCTTGGGCACTTTTCTGGGGGGCTGTTTCGCCTACATAGCGGACTTGTGTGAGGATGGTAGTCGCAAAACCCTGCGCATGGCTGGAGTGGACATGATGATTGGCCTGTTGTCGGGGGTGGCCTCGATATCAACAGGCTACTTTCTGAAAGCTGCAGGCTTTAATTGGCCATTCCTAACCTCTGCGTTGGTTCAGTGTTTTATCCTACTCTATGCCATTTTCATCCTTGAAGAGACTGTGACAAAGGCTCCCACTGATGCCATTCTCCTAGATGGGTCTCCTCAGCGCTCCACGGTGAAACAGCTGATCTACGGTATCTACCACATGTTTGCAGGGGCCAGCCGCAGGAGTAGAACTCTCTTGGTCCTCCTGATACTCATTTTCACCAGCTTCTCCTTCGCCTACGTGGGTGGTCTCTCCTTGATGACACTATATGAGCTGAATAAGCCACTGTGCTGGACAGAGATTATGATTGGCTACGGCTCAGCTCTGTCCATGTCTGTGTTCCTGACCAGTTTTTTGGGAGTGTCTGCGTTCACGTACTGTGGAGTGCCACAACTGGTCATCATCCTGATGGGGATCCTGTCTGTCGAATCAGGCATGGTCCTGTTGGCCTTTACCAAGACCACCTTCATGATGTATATAGGTGAGACGAAATTCTGTAGCAACTATTCTGCGGAAACCAATAATGTGTAATCGTTTTTAATGTGCTGTTTAGTTTGAAAAAACATCACCAAAGCCTTGACTGTCAGCTGTTTACAAGGTTTAAAACCTTCACCTTGTTTAGTTTTTGCATGTAAAAATGTGCATTGACATTACAGTCAACAGAATCTGCCTTTCACACCAGCTTTACAAATCTTTAACCACAGTGAAATATGAATTGACCTTAATTAGTGATGTTTGTATTTTAGCATTTGATGTGGTTACTGTAAAGTCTCTGCATTATGATTCAATTCAATTCAATTCAAAACCTTTATTTATCCAGGTAAAATCCCATTGAGATCAATGATCTCTTTTTCAAGGGAGACCTGCAGCAGTAGGTTCCACAAGAAGACATAAAAACATAAACAACAGAACAACAAAAGGACATCATACAGCAAAATGTACAGGGATTACAATTTACATATCTAACCACATGTACAGGTACCAACAGCATCTGATTTTGTAGCATCCAACCGAGCTTTAAAAACATGTAGTGGTACTAGCTTGGTAATTTTCCATTCTTTTTGCAGACTGTTCCATGTTAGTGGAGCTGCTCCTGATGTTTAACCGAGAGTATTTTTCTTATTTTTCTTTCACAGTGTGGGTGCCAATGTTTCTGTCTATCATGCCTTTCCCTGTTATTCGTTCCATGTTATCCAAAATCATCTCAAAGTCTGAGCAAGGTGAGTAGAATCAGGGCTTTTGCAAGAGCCACAGAAGCATGCCTGAGTGTTTGTTTGTAGAGTCATAGTCCATTGAAGAGTTGCTTGTCCAAGCAACTTCAAAATGCACTCCAAAACATAACACTCCGACTTTCTGTTCCTAAAGGCAAACAGAATTTTGGAGCTAAAGTGTGGTTTCAGAAATGTCTTGTTTTTTGTCACAGTATCACTTCTCTTCTCTCCGCGGTGTGTTTTTGCAGGAGCCCTGTTTGCCTGTCTTTCCTTCCTGGAGAGTTTAACTAACAATATATCGGGCGCAGTCTTCAACAGCATCTATGCTGCTACGGTGGCATGGTACCCTGGCTTCGTCTTCATGTTGGCTGCAGTGCTCTGTGCTATCCCTTTGTTTATTTTAGGGTAAGTATATATTGTCAAATTAAACAAAACCACATTAAATACCCTACTTTTGCTAGTTTTACTACAAAGAGCAAATGTTTCATGATTGAAGGAGCATACAACCATACTTCAAAATGGTTGTCAGAGAGCATTCTACCCAACATAATAACAGAGCAGTACACTTTATGCTGTGCATAGAGCATTAGAGCTGTACTCTGCGTGGATTGAGTTACATTACAAATGACCTATTTTGTGCTGAGTCACTCACTGCCTGTTTTGCTTGACTAACAAAAAGAGAAATGCCATCCCTGATTTAGGCATCCGCAAAGAAATTGGTTCCTCATTCTTGCAACATTCAACTTCCCTTATTGAACTGTTTCCCTCTTCACATAGTAATATAGATATCTGAGATTCATGCTGTCTTATCATATATAAATCAAGTTCTTAAAGATCTGTGGTACCCTGAGTTCTTACATTTGTTTTGTGACACTGAGTTGGCATAATAGTGCTGCTGCTGCTGAGTCAATTTAGGAGCGTGAAACATAAAACTCCTCGAGTGCTCTGTCTGTCACGTGCACTGTTTCTTCTGTTACATGCTCAGTAGTTATAGAATAACACAGCCACTGGTTCAGTAATCTCAGACTTACAGCCAAGGACAACATGGGCTTCACACCCTGACTTTGGCAGGTGAAAACAATTGTTGAAAGTGTCTCTAACTCAGGCAAGTGGATGCAGATTTACAGAGAAAAGCTACGTTGAGAAGAAAGTGTAGTTTTAATTGGTAGTAAGTTGATGAATCTCATGCTTTTCTGCCTCTAATCATGCTTTTTTTTCTGTGTTTCAGAGTGGTTGCAATAATAGGAGTGAATGTTGCCGAAGAGGTCACAAAGCCAGAGCCTGTCTACTCAGAGGAGGAGGAGGGTCTTTCTGAAGATCACAACGACAGGACTGCTATTCTTTCCTGAGCCATATCCGCCAAAACCTCATAAGCACTTTTTACTTTAGTCATCTCCTTCAGTGTTTTACCTCAAGGACTGTTGATCTCAGATGTAATGGACAATGCAGGTTACATATTATTTAGTTTTTATTGCTGTGGTTGATTGTGCTATTGAAGTTCAATATTATAGGAAAATACAGTAGGTATCAAACAGGTTCTACCGGAAAATTATATTTTTAAAATATGAAATATTGACATTTTGAATTGGATCAAAATTGTAGCATACATAGGATATAAAACATGGATATTAAGTGCCATGCATCTAAAAGCTCAAAATGGCCTGACTGTGACACTGCTAATGCTTTCAAAATGTGTGTGTTTTGATACAGTTTAGCAGTGTGATATGATTTGCAATTTAAAAGTTTCAGTTACGTGAAGTGATTCAGATCTGTAACACCTTTTGTCTTAAAGTCTCTTCTCCATTGGCTGTTATAGTGCAATGTTAGTAAATGCCCTTACAAAGAGCTCCACTGTCCCTGTTCCTTAAAGGTAATTAAATGCAAGACACTAATTACAATGTAATACAATATCACAGAAATCTAGATTAGTATATAATGTTATGTAAACCAATGTTTTAGTATACATGTGAATGTATAAACAATCTGAAGCAACCCCCAAAAGGAGGAAGGGGGGTTAATGGGGAACTGTTCTTTTTAAGAAATGAATGGTCTCTATTCAAAACTTGTTATGATTATTCACGAACAATCAAATTCCTCATAATAGGAAATTACAATATTTAAAAAAGGAATCATTGGGTTTACTTAGCCAGGATGAAGGATATAATTAAATATAACATGGAAAATGGTGCAGGTTTTATCAAATGTGACTGGAATATGTTATTTCTATGTGTCCACCCTGAACTCTGCCTTATTGAGGAAGCTATAACAGGATGGAAATGCAGGAATGGTTTAAGATAGACCAGCCAGCAGGAGGTGTTGTGGTTTTGAATCTCAATGAAAAACTGTGTATCATTGAAAATAAAGGGATGTAGTTTGAGTATTTGTATGATTTTGAGTTTATTAAAAAATGCATTTATGTAAAAGTATCTTTGTTTCAAAACAAGAAATGAAGTGTTTTTAAAATTGAGTATCCAATGACTTCCTCTAACACTTTTGGAGATGTATGTGATGTGTCGTCGTCGAGTACTTGCTAAATGTATTAGCAATGAAAAAAAAGAATCAATGAGGCATCCTGCCGTACAAATATGCAGACTTTCTTATCAAAAATAAATACTTTCTTATTTCTTATGTAATGTTTGGACTATAAACACTAATAATACAAATAAAATAAAACCTTTTTAGACAAGAATGAATAAAAAAACTGTCCATAATCAAAGACTAATTTCAAAGGCCGCCCCAAATATTCACTCAGAGAATATCAGGTCATTCTGATGCAGAGTTGCTCATATACGAGCTATCGCCCCTCTATGTTCATCCGACTATTGTCCATTCTGATGTACAGTTTCAAAATAAAAGATCTTTGAAGTCTCATATATGAGCTAACGTCTCTATATTTTTAGATAAGAATACATAAAAAACTGTCCATAATTAAAGACTCATTTCACTTCACCCCAAATATTCATTCTGATGTAGTTTCAAAGTAAAATATATTTTAAGTCTCATGAAAGGAAGTCTAAACACAAAGTTAGTCTCATTATCTACACTTAATTATAGTGAATATTCTAAGCAACTTTTTAATACAATTATGTTTTAGAGCCAGACACAATTGTTTTTAATATACAGCCCAACATGTTCTACCAGAATGGGGATCTGAACCCTCTTCTCAAAACAATCTGGTTATGCTCCATGCTTTAACCACTGAGCTATACAGCAGTTTAAACAGGCAGGATTGATTTGGAACGACTGGATCACATGACCTTTTTTCTTTTCGTCCCTTGGAGGTGAGGGGTGTCCCCCTTATTTAATGATAATAAATAAATTATTTGCATTGTATTTTATTATGTAATTATTTGTTTTTCGTCCCTCGGAGGTGGGGGTGTCCCCTTTATTTAATGATAATATTAATAATAAATTATTTGCATTGTATTTTATTATGTAATTATTTGTTCAGGTCCCTTGGAGGTGTTGCGGGTGTCTCCCTCAGGCTAGCCAGCCTACTCTGTACAGCAATATTATCAAATGTGAAGTGAGTGGAAATCTGTCTTGATTTGAATGTTGTGACTTGTTGATTTTTGTCTGAGTACACTATTTGTTCTCCTATCAGGTGTGCATTTTTTTTATAGCTGGCCATACCCTTGAGCCATACACCCAAGTTTATAATTTCTGTAACTTGTACTTTTCTGTTTTTAAAGGAACTTCAACAGATCATATATACAGAATTTACTTTGTACAAAACAGCAGACTCGGTCTCATGCACCATCAACATTTAAAGTGAAATCTAGTATAGTTAAAGACTCATAACCATGCATTCACTCTTCATCCGACTCTTCAAGCAAAGCTTTCTGGGAGCTCGTTTTCGAGGACGTATTTCGCATTCCAATCTCAATGTCTCGTCCCTTTTCTGAGAATCGCTTCACTGTGCTGTTGGGAAAAGAAAAATAAGACGTAACAAACATAGAAATACACATTTGCAGCATATTCACAGTTAACAATAGTGTTAATATATTAATGTCAACTGTTTTTACAAGCGGTTTCTTCAAAATATCCAAAATGGACTTGGAAGACCACAACCAAAATCCTCATTTTGACCACTATTGCTGCTGCAGATCCATTTTATATTGTATGTTTGCATCCCCTGTTCTACCAGCGTGTGCACAAGAAAGCACAATCGTGTACAAAGATGGTAATGTGATAAACAGGGCTGTGAACCCTGTAAAGCACAATTAAAAGGAAAACCTCATGTGAACAAATCAGGTTTAAAAGCAACTGCTAATCTTGAAGGCCTAAGCATGTTACACACACCTTTTACCCAGTCTTAATGATACAGGGTGAGAAGTTGAATGTTGACTGTAAATAAAACCATGTTGACTCACTGTAAGAACTTCACAGGGTTCAAAGATCAGAAATACATTTAAAAAGTGCTGTTTTCTGATCAAAGACAGAGTTAACAAAGAAATCTCTACTGAAGAAATGGAAAGAGACGATTCTTAAATATGTTGATATACAGTATCAATTCGCGTAAAAGCCCCAAAACAGGAGGTTTCCTTGGATTTCAACATGAATAAAATCTTACAGTTTTTTGTTTTATCAAATCACTGGCAATGGTCTTTATGTGAAAATTAAGCAGCCTTTGCTCCAGGCTAGTATCACTGAAAACGACTTTAAGAGACTGATTATAAAAAGGCAACAAGTAAAACCTCCATCTTTAGTTTTTGGCTGATTGTCTCTGCATTGACAGGCCGACAAACTCATTACTGCTGCATTTCCATAGTCGTTTAGTTTGCTTGCGTTGACTTACCCTTGAAAGTTTCACTTCTAAAACTTGTACAGGTAAAAGGATGATGTGATACTTACAACCAAACGAAAGAAGAGGTGCAAGCGACTAAAAGAAGGGCCACAGCTAAATGCCAGCAGAAGCACATTGTGATGAACATGATGTTGTCGTGCATCTTCAAGTCCCACACCGGCCCCCTCAATGGGTAAAGTACAAACCCAATCTGAAATGACAAATAGTTAGATAAAGTAGCCTATGATGCATAATAAAAACATCAGTTGAATTAATAGGCATTTACAAAAAAAAGACATTGTGTCAGAAAAGGAAACAGTGTGATAGAAGACAAATCTCTTACAATTAAAGTCTCCATAAATAGACCTGGAGAAAACTAATTTGGCTCTGAAAAGTGTACAGAAATGTTTCAAATCTTGTCTCGAATATGAAATACCACAATTTCTTCTATAAAAGTTTTAGTAAATGGGAATGCACAGATTCACCTTTTTCAGTCCTGATACCGATTCATCGGCCGACATCAGATTATCAATATGAAAGCAGAATGGAATTTATAAACTGTTACTATGTGAAAGAGACTGGGATCCTTCTGTTATGTGTAAGGTCCTCAGACTTGATTTAAACATTTCAAGCTTTGTAAAAAGAAAAGTAAAAAATATACATGTTATCTTTAAACCATTGCCCATGTTCTAGCTATTTGAGACTGTATCAAACTGTTTTCAGTGAATGAGATTTAAAGAAAACCTGCTTTAGTCTTCCTTGTTTCACTATTAAGTAGCCTACAATGTATTGAGTACTTTGTCACTGTGTGGTACCACTTGGTAGTGCCTCTGAAAGCCTAAGAAAGGGTAATGGGTATATTCACACTGTGGCCAACACATCACAGCATTATAAGTGTATCATGTCGCTAATCACCTGGTAGAACCATGAGCCCTGCAGGATGAACATGCATGCCCCGAACAGCTCCAAAACAATGTTGTCTTTTATGAACACCTCCACCATGAAGCAGGCCGATCCAATAAAGACAGCAACGAGCAGCAGGGAGTGGATGTGAGCGTCCAGAGGGGGACGCATGTGCACGTGGTAGTAGAACAGAAACCCTGGATGATATGGGAGAGTCAAATATTACTTAAATACAGTACAAGCAAGCGGGAAATTAGTAGGACAATGTCACACTATAACCTAGATTACCTTCAACAAAAAGAGCCAATGACAGAGAAAGGCGGTCAACACCAACCGGCACCAGTTTGGATGCAGTGCTGGCGACAATTGCTATTCCAGAGATCCCAAAGAACAGATACATTGTGCCATGCTGCCAGTTCATCAGCTTGACCCATGAGTGGTTCGCCGTGTCGTAGAGATGAGCATGTGGACCATCCACCACAAACTGTTCAACCATAATACCTGGGACAGGTCAAAGAGACGGGTCAAGAACACGTTTAGATTGTTTGAAGTGTACAGATGATTGACGGGAAAACTGACCTACAAATGCACCAAATATTAGACATCCTCCCTCCAAGTAGTGCATCCGTTTAGAGAAAGGGGGCATAATCTGTCTTCCTTTGGGCTGACTTGTCCTCCAGTAGTGTTGGAGAATGTATTTCACCGTTAGCCAGAAGCCAAGGAGCAGGAAAAAAGAGCCGGGAATGGCATGTCCTCCAAAGTTGGCCATTGTTAGGCCTGGAAACAAAAGAAAAATACATCTTAGTTATCAATTGGATATATTTGATGAAAACACAATTTATTATTTTAGCTAAAATCTCTTTTTTCTTTGTACAACCCCAATTTAGAGATTAAAGTCCAAACCTTTGGCATCATTTTATGGTGTTTATACAAGCATTACAGTGGAAAGAGGACGAGGAAGTGCAGCTGATTACATAAGATCACTGCATGGTAGATTGAAAGTACATTTCATTATATACTTGTATAACAGATCAATGAATACAGTGCAAACCATCACTGGTGAATTTCATGTGATATTAATACATTCTAAATCGGCAAAGGTACACTCAGTGTAGTCCAGTAGAATATGCCCTTTGATCCAGAGGAGAGCCGCTCATTTGTCTTGCAAAAAACATATTCAAATATAACAGTGTGTTTTTTAAATGAACGCAAAGCGTTTAAGTAACCTTATTTGAATCAAAATGGATCACACTCACTATCGCTGTAGTTGATTTAAACAATGTAAAAGCTGAGTGTGCATCTTGACCTGCCCTGTTCGACCAGATTCACATGACACATGTCTCCCTTCCTTTTACACTTTCTACATTCTTACAGATGTTTTCTGCACCCAATAAATTGTATGTAAGAGTGAAAAAAAAAAATATACAAATACATCAAATATTATATCTGTAATCTTCACTCTATTGTCTTCCACTCATTGATAACAGTCCCTAATTACTAAAAGTAAAAAACATATCCAACAGAATGAACAAACCTTATTTCCTGCCTTATTTCCTGCCCACAATTCCAGAAAAATGCTCTGCAAATCTTTGAATCGTGGCAGCTGCTTGATTAGAGTGAGATCACTCTAGTGTAAAGTGTGTGCACCTGTTGTCAGCACTCTAACCTGTGTTGACATCACATAGCCCCACCCCACATTTGCATTAGTTTCTGTCAGCAAGAGACATCCTCCAGGGAAACTGCTGTGACATTCAGACAGAAAAACAAAAGATAAAGATCATGTTGTATATTTAGTTATGAGCTTAGAGGCTTGTGTTCATGTCACCTTAGTTTAGATAAAATATGATGCAGCAAATAAACACAAAATCAAATATGTTAAGAACAAATTGTGTCATTTATTTCGTTAACAGTCTAAAACAGGTATGCCAGAACTAATCCATAGTTTAGTTAATAAATAAGCCCAGCTACAATCTGTGTGCAGATGGGGAAGCAGGGGTGTTGGCCTGCTAAAATGTACTTTGCACCCACTCATGACAAAAGTTTATTGCCGTCATTATCTTGTTAAAATGATCATTCATCAGATGACTCAACACAATTCTACTTTAATTACGAAACTGAAAAAAATCATTAAAGCTTAACTTGAATTGCCACATTTAAATAATGTACACTGCATTTTAGACATTTTTCCTGCACATGTGGAGCTTATAGTATAGCACAGAATATTTTCTTTTCTCGGAACGGGTTCTCAGCAGTTAATGGAGTCACCAGGGGGTCTTCTTTGGCATGAGCATCACAATATGCCATCAGATCAGCTGCTGCTTTGGATATCTGTACAGAAAGGTTGGGTTAGTGTGTTTGTGTTGAAAAAAGTAGAGGGGAAGAGGATACAAATACATTTTGAATTCAGTTATTCGATTTGAATTTAAACCACTGATTTAAACACTTAAAAGACACATTTATTGGAGAGTGGAGTTTAATCATTGGAATTTAATATTGGTAAAGTTATATCTGTCGAACAAGTTTTTTTAACAATTCAAAGCTATTTCTAATCTGTTATCATTGGCTGTGTGTACTTCTACAATGTGCGGACTCACCATCATCCTCTCTATGTTGACCTCCAGTTTCAGTTGTTCGACCGTCTTTCTAGCATCTGCAATCTTGGCCATGTTGTTGGACATCCTGTACCTTTCCCAATAAAGTTATCCAACCTGTTGCAAACCAAAAAATGTTGAGTTATCACACGAGAAATCACCAGTTTAAAAAAATATATATAACACTTCAAAGTGCTTTGACATATTTGTGACTACGTGATGAAGGTGTGCCATGGATAGAGTCTGTTTCAATTTGCTCGTTAATTCTGCTCCCTGGGTCTCAGCTGCAAGTGGCACAGGGAGGATCTCAAGGGAGGAGGGCATGGGGGGGGGGGGGGAGGCAGAACAGCTTCCCAAGGGGAGGGCATCCACTAGCTGAGAATGTAAATACACCTGACATTAACATGAACTTGTTGCTTTCAGGTTTAATGCACTGTAGATAAAAAAAAAAGTAGTTATTTGTGCTATTAATCTGCTTCTTATGCGTTGCTCAGGTGCTGCCATAGACTGATGAAAGATATCACTTTTGTTGCACCGATTACAAATAAAGAAATTAAAAGCATCCAGGACCAAACAATTACTCTCTGAGCGTTAAATGTACTTACAATTCGTTTACTAATACAATTCATACTTGTGAATTTTGTTTGTTAGAGCAGCACACATGCAGAGGTATGCAGACATATATGGTGTTTTTCCCATAACTCTGTACAAGAATAGACACTTTTCAAGATATTTTCAATTATTATAATACCAAACAAGGTAAACAACATCACTCACCGAAAGACAGAAAAAGAGTAAGCGCTGGGACAGAAATCCGCTGGTCCTCCGCAGAAACTAACAGTAACACATGGAGTGAGATTAATGGCAAAGATGGGGAGGAAGGCTTCAACAGCGTCCCTCCTTCACATTACTGTTGTTCTGCCTCCAGGATGGGCTCAGTGCAGCAGTTAAAGGCAACATGTGGCGTGACCTTCATCTCTAGAGTCTCTATCACTCGCTTACCTGAGATGACAGAGTAGCTTTTGTTGTGATATAGAACATTTAATGTAGTTTAAAAAACTGCCTTAACATGGATACGATTTAAATAGCTAATATTTATGATAAAAAAATGAAAAGAAAAACAACTTACTAATAATAAGGCATTAGACTTAATGGGAAAGCCCTTAAGGGAATTGGGTTGTTTTCATGAGTTTAATTGATTTTTAAATGTTTTAGTCAATTCTAAGGCAAACATCAAACCTTTAGTACTTTGGAATATGGCACAATTCAGTGTTACAATACATAGTGAAAGTCTAGAGATGTCATAAACATAAATATAAGTTTAGTCTGACCTCAGGGGGAGCAGTGCTGCCCCTTGGGACACACCTGCAATTTTCTCTGACAAGGTGAGCATCGTGCAGATTTATAGTAAAACAGTACTGACTCCAAATGTCACAGTTATTTTTGTGTTTGAAGATGGTCATATTAAACTTGACATAAACAGTCTTTAAAGGTGCAGTGTAAATGACGTGTCCAGCATTTTACTTTCAAACTTTCAAATTATCACCAGAATTAGAAGTGGTTACAATGTTGAATATACCTCAGAGTCCTGGTTAAGAAAACCCAACATTTTCGAGATAAATTATTCAGTTTATGTCAAAATGTGACTACTCTCAGACAGCAGAATTATTTGTCTCATGCCTTTCCTCTACGAGGCATTCATTTTTCCCTGTAGAGCTGACAGTTATTCCACACAGCAGCAGGGGGCAAAGAGGCAGTGCTATGGAGCTAAATGTCAAGTGCCTCATTAACATTTGTTTCCCTGTAGTAATTGGTCTCTCACAGTGGATGATAGCCTACTGGACCATATGAGAAGAAAGAGCTGTTGCTTGAACTTACCAACCTCTGACACCATTGCCAAGGGCCAAAAAGATTATTTGCACAGTGTGATGTTGCATAATCCAAGCAGGGGATGTACCGATTATGTGGTCCTGCTTTGTAAAAACGTAATACTGTTGGCTACGCAAGCCAACCAGCATGTCTCCTCATACATATATTGTTAATTTATGACAGACGCTTCATGATAAGATCAATGAAACCAAAGGGGAGAGAAGAGTGTCTGTATATATTCCATTACCACTTACTGTTTTGACCAACTCCTATTTTCAAGTAAACATTTAAAAAACATCTGTTTTTGGAAAGTTTATATTTTCTCTGAAGACTATATTTATCAGTACCCTCTTGTGTAAGCCATTTTGCAAAAACTCACCAGGTAAAGCTGTAATGTAGGATGTCAACATAGAGAAGAACAGGAGCCTACAGCAGGTCATAACAAGTCAGCAATGTGCGGGACTTGGCCAACTGAGACAACCACACGTTTTTGCAACATGTTTTGGTGCATTAAAATAGCCCAAAACATGTTTTTCTTTGAAGAGATCTGTGTCCCAGTGTCATAAAACTGTAAAGGTGGCAATTGCACATATTTCATATTGACACTACATTTACAGATAGCCCAATCTATTATTTTCAATATAGAGCCCTTGTTGCTGTTTATTTAGCTGCACCTTAGGTATAGGCTACTGGTAGCAAACCACTCTTTCTAGTCTGGTTCTTGCTGTATTGACAGCCTCGATTTATTTTTTAATATGTCCTGAAAAAGTCAGAAATAAAATCATTTCATTTCATTTTTAAAGACAAAAACTTAATTTCACCAGGACTCTGTAACCTTGTTTATTATTATTATTATTATTATTATTATTATTATTATTATTATTATTATTATTATTATTATTATTATTTTACTACAAATGTGTAGTGGATTTCACTGTATTTATTTATTCAGCCTTTAAGTCTTCCATATAGATTTGCAGAGTATGCAATTTGCTATGTCAATATATTACCTGCACAGCAATTAATTTGTAAACTAAACAATAATACACACACTGTTTATCACTTAAAGGGGACCTATCATGGAAAATGCACTTTTGTACATTTTTTATACATGAATATGTGTCCCCGGTGTTCCAGGGAAATCACCAAGTGTCAGAAAACACAACCCTCTCTATTTTCCTCCATACCCACATCTCTAAAAAAGGGGCTGCAACGGATCTGATACAGACTGATCCAGATTTGAACAGTGTCCTGACGTCAGGACGGTGGCGCTACGGCTATTGGTCAATTCTCCACCTATCAGGGGAATGAGAGATTGGGCCACGGCCGGCCATTGCTGCTCGAAAGCGCTGGAGACGCTGTAGTACATATGCCAGGCCTGTAAGTGGCACTGAAGTCTGCCACAAAAGCAGCGAAGAAGACTTCCCTTGCATGGTTGCCATGGTTGCCCTTCTGTTTATTCTCCGCTGTGGCTCTTTTTCTCCCTCCCCGAGGCAAGCGTTTGCGCCTCCTGCTTTAAAACAAATGAATAATGACTCTATAATCATATGTAAGGGATAATGTGCAGCGACACAGTCATTATGGGGAAAAGAACACAGGCTAAACAGGAGCACGACACGAAGCGGAGGGATCTAGATCGGCATGAAGGTGTTATGCCGATCTAGATAACAACTTCTAGACTGCTTCAATAGGGTTTTTGAGGAGCTTTTTGATTACAGATTTGAAAACATCGTTGCTTGGTTTAAAAGTAGCACAATTCATTATGTCAAACCTTGGAAAGTATCTAGATATCCCTGCCCTAATGCCAAAGTAACTTCCAACTCCCCTTTCCTGCAGGGGGGCGTGGTCAGTTGCAGCTCACAGAATCAGCCCCCTGCAAAAACAGGGCTGGAAAGAGCAAATAGAGCGAAATGAGGCATGGCTAAAATGCAGGATCTGTTTGGTATTTTGAAAAAAAAACTATATTTATATACTTTATATAGGTATGGCCCGACAATATATGTTTCAAATATAGCATGATAGGTCCACTTTAAGTGGCATACAATCCTCCCTACATTATAGATAAGGATATAAAGGGCTCTTGATATCATATTTGTAAAAGAGGCAGCTTGAAATAATAGTACAACAGAACTGATGTAGCTAGCTGCTGAGGTTCAGAGAAGCACCCACCCAGTGTTGAACCATCATGAGGTGGGCGTGTACCAGCAGTGCTAGCTAACATTACAATGATAAAATACAGTCTATGGATAAAACACATTTGTGACTACAGTAAGCTTCATGTTCTCTTCAGACTGTTTCTGATATAGCTTAGACTTATGCGTTAGGAGTATTTACATTAAAGCCTAGCATGTTAGCTTCATGGTTAATCTTTCAGTAACTAACAGCTCAGACACAGACAGCGGTGATTCAGCGTGCTGCTAGCTAGACAGAAAACCCTTCAAAGGCTCAACACCGATAACAGTCATTGATGTTAACGTCCATCGTTTGATGTATATCGTTGTCGGGTCTCGCCATTGTTTTATTTACTGCTGGGCTTCGATCTACCGAGATGTATGGGATGTCGGGATGACAGGAAGATGGCAAACGGGGTTGGAAGTGAGTAACGTTGGTAAATAGCAGCATGCCTAGCAGATGTCATGCTATCCGCTAGCGGTGAGTGTCGGTCTGTTGATGCTATCTCCACTGACTTCCTGTACTCCAGCCTCCGCTCTCTGCAGGGAAAGCTGCAAAGATGAATGTCTGCCATTACACTGTTGACAGCTTTGTTTACACTAATGGTCGGTCCTGTTAACACCAACAGTGTAAACGACATGCTTTTTGCGGGCTATTTCCATGCAGTTGTGTGTGTCAACTGCTGGGCATGTTGGTAACATGACAATGAAGCCAAGCTCAAAAGAACAATAATGGTGTTCATACCAGGCCTGAAAACACTGCAGACAATCAGTTGAATATGAACTATAACATGTTTTTTTTTATTTTTCTCTGCAGAACACAAGCTGCTAGTCATTGAACCATCCGAGCCATGGTCAGTGAGGGAGAAGCTGTGTTTGGCCACATCTGTCATGAAGAGTGGAGACCAGAACTGGTACTAATCTATTTTTGCCACGAAGATCTAAAAACTGGTGCCAATGATGATAATCCTTGCTGTGTGTTGTTAATGCACTATGACATTCATTTCTTGGAGTAGCCACATGATTCTGGAGTAAAGAAAATCAGAATAAAATACCATATTTTTACCTGTGGCTTTTAGACTTATGGCTTTTACAAAGTGTGCAGACATTTTGAAGGGTTGTGAGTAGACACGTTTGAGAACTAGTGGTCTATGATATAGCAACACAGGGGAAACCGTAGTTACACGGTGTAAAAAGTGTTTCGGAGACGGCCTTCAAGTAACGTAAAACACATGAAAGGCTGTATATGTATACCTTAAGGGTTCAGTAATCATTACATGTAATTTGTTAGACACTTTTATCCAAAGCGACTTACATACATTTAGTACTGTGGACAATCCCCACAGGAGCAATTTGGGGTGAAGTGTCTTGCCCAGGGACACAACGCTTTGTGCTGACTGCAGTGGGACTCGAACTTGCTATTCCCTGATACGAAGTCCAGCACACTATCCAGCCTCTCTTAATTTAAACATTCCTTATTTTAATGGACATTACCTTACAGATTAGATATTGTCAATACGAGAGGCTCTGTCGTTATCATTGTTGCCCCTTGTCCTTATGATTGTGGTTATTGTGCTTTATATGTCCATAGACAATGCATATAAAATGAATTTACTATAGCTAAGCATGTAGTTGTTTAGCTGTCTACCTGTAATAGATGGGCATATTGTCCACATTGTGATTTTTTTTACTGATACTGCAATAAACTGGGACAGAAATAATAAGTAGCCTTTTCTATAGGCTAGTGTTTGGTGTGCTTTTCATCTTGACTGTCTTACAAAATGTCTCCACCACAACAGGGTATCTGTCAGTCGAGCCATCAAACCATTTGCAGAACCCGGGCGCCCACCTGACTGGTTCTCTCAAAAGGTGTGACAAATTCGGAGCACAGTGACCAAATTGCAGTAAATGCAAATAATTTGCCACATTACATTTGGTCCTGTCTCTTGATGCTCCTTGGTCTCTTCACAGCACTGTGCCTCAAAGTACTCTGAGCTCCTGGAATCAACAGAGGCCCCAAAGTTAGTGCATAACTTACTTTTCCCTCTAGCATGCTTTTGTAAGCTAGGATTAATGACATAGCTTTATACTGTTTGACATTGACAAAAAATAATGTCTTTGACTAATACTGCATTTGTTACCTTCAGGCGTAAGCGTGGTGAGAGAGGTGAAGTGGTGGAGACAGTGGAGGACGTGATAGTACGCAGACTGACAGCTGACAGGATTGATGCACTTAAAAAGTTGATAAAGGAAACGCAGGAGAAGCACAGGTACAAAATCCTTAAAGAGCATAAACACATAAACACAAGAGAGTTGCTGCATCATAATTGGTGTCAATGAGATTGGTTAAAGTGGTGCTATTTTCACAGGAAGCTGAAGAGAGAGGCTGAACTGATTAAAGCAGGACGCCTAGATTCCAAACTACAAGAGTTATGGGAAGAAATTCTGCAGTAAGAAGCAACACACTTTCTTATTGTCCTGTATTCAGTGAAACAACACATCTGTTTTAAAATTACACTAACAAGCAAAATCAATGATCTTTTGTGCATCTGTCAGGAAGCAGAAACTGGAGGAAGAGGAAGCAGATTTGAAAAGAAAAAACACAAATGCTGCTTATCAAGGTATTTCATTCACTTTTAGGGGTACATAATGTGTTTGTTATTAACTTGGTAAACTCATAACATGCTAACGTTAGCATGTTAGTGGGACAAAATGCATTGTGCATGTAGTATGTAAGCATCATAACTCACAGTATATATCTCACAGTAGGCAGATGGGAATTTGGGAGCATTAATATTTTTTATCAAGTGAAACATTTGAGGTGCTAGAGAGTCTCCAAAGTCAGGATCCAAACACTTTTAAAAACAGATATCTGTACCAAATTGCATATCAGTCTGACCAATAGTCAAGTTCTGCACTAACAACTTTAGATCAGTTGGATAGTCTTGGCATATTTTTTATCCTGTGGGGGAAAAAAAGCATTTGAACATCAGTTTTTGTATTGACTGATGAGATCTGCCCCTCCCTCTTCCAGACAGACAGGTGGCAAAGAACACACCAAAGCGATTGCCCGGCGTCACCATGCACACGCCCTCAGGTTGCAGCTCCCCGAGCCAGGAGTTCTCCCCAGGTGACGCGTTTGAGTGCTCCACCCTAGATCCTGGATCAACAAAAAATGTAAGTCACTAAAGGTTAAAACATTTCAGGTCGTTCCTACATTTTAATAATCATAATCCTGCAGAATCAGAAACAGGTTTATTACCAGGTAGGTTGACACGTACGAGGAATTTGACTTGATGTCATGGTGTCATGGTGTCATGGTGCATACATGAAAGTAAAACAAAAATGTAAAACTCAGATAGAGAACTAGAAAAATATAAAAAATATATCAGTATTTACATAGAAATGGAATGGAATAAAAAGGAATATAATATATTCAAGCTGGGTTGCGCCTACCTACATGTTTAGATTTGCTGAATTATTTAATCTGGTTTTGTTATTGTAAAAGCCAGTAACCTTGGGCTATGGACATAATTAAAATACAACTATATTTCAGAAAGCTTCCTTCCATCAAAGACACATTATCAGAGTTGAACAATTAAAATCATTCCTCAATTGGTATGTAAATGTGACATCTAGTTTCCCTCTCTCTAGGCTTCAGGATCTTCCAGATTAATGACAATTGCTGAGACTTGTGGACCCGATAATGAGGACATCAGCCATGGGTCATTTCTGGACGACCCCACCCAAAAGAAGGCCCTGGTCCAGAAAACTACACCCCCACCATCTCCACTCCTGTCCGAGTTACTGAAGAAAGGCAGTATCTTGGCCACAAATTCCAGACTGGTATGTGGATGGGACTTACTAAACCAGTATTAAACCAACATTGCCAAACTTTGTAATTAATGGTCTTTTTTTTTTTTTTTTTTTTTTTTTTTTACGGCTCCCATCTTCATCTCATTTTTCAAAGGATTGTTTGCATTCAGCAAGTATTAATGAATACATTTTTGCCATTATGTGTTCTGGTTTTGGTTGCTGTGGTGTTTTTTTTGCCGATTGTATAAAGATTTTAGTCATTTTTGCATATGTTTTGCATTGTAATGGGTTGGATTTTATGACACCTTTTTAATCTGGGGAAATCTATTGTCCTTTTCTTTTACTTCCAAGTTTCATTGGTTGCATTTCTTACAACCGTCTTCATTTAACTGCTCTCCTTTTGAATGGCGTTCAGATGTTGTCTTGATGGAAATAAAATGTATTATTTGACAGATAAAACATCACTACTTTTTTTTGCATCTGATTTAATCATTGTTTGTGTGAAGTTCAATAGTAAAAGTACTTTTTTTTTGTTTTGTCAAGCCTCTTGTCGTATCAGAGATAGGGCATTTTTTTAAATGTCCATTTGTATGAAGCCTACTCTCTTATTTCCTCTCTTGAAATCCCGACATGTCAGAAGAAGTTTATATTTGACTAGATCTTTACCTTGAAACATTCCTTTTGTACCTTCCTTTTTATAGTCAAATTATAGAAATATCACAAAGGCATTTAGCTTTATATCTGTGTATAAATATATGATCTACTGTATATAAAATCTACTTTAACATACATTATTCTGTGTGAGTTTGTTTTTTAATTGCAGGCAGTAACATAAATAATAATACTTTATGTACAGGAAAACTAGCAAAATGTTTGACATGCATGTCTGCGTTTATATCCCAGATTGGGGATGGTGATGCTGGAAATCTGACGGGAACACACGACTTGCAGCAGGCTCCGGCTAGTCAACCTATCTTTCAAGCTACAGGTACAGAGGCTGTGTTTATTTGTGATTTTATTAACACTGATAAAGTGGAACTCCAGGGCAAAGTGAAACAAACATCTTACAAAGTGACTGAAATAAGTCAATTACAATCAAGACAATATTAAGTAGAACCAAAAACCCTTGTGTATTTACTTTTACTCCATGAATTTTTAACATACGTTAGCTTTATATGAACCCTTATGTTGTGTTCGGGTCTCCCGTGACCCGTTTCAAGTTAAAATTATATAATAACTACGCTCTAGTTTTTTTACCGGTACAAGGCTTCATGATATCCTCCACAACAGCTATATAAACACTACAAAACAGATTTTGACAATTTTAGCCAAGTCTGAAGGTCTCTAAAAAAAAAAAGTGTATAATTTGGTATATAATTTGACCCAGCAGCATTGTTGTGGGTCACTCGGGGTCAAATTTGGCCCAATCAAGATTCATCTTTGACTTTAGACACCCCTCCCCCTCCCCCTTCATCCACTGTAACAATAACTTTACGCAACATGCACCTGGTCTCCCCTCCCTCTGCCCCCCATGGGAACTCCACCTTTCTCAAAGAATATGTACACTAACACTTGAACCTGAACACACACATGCACGTGTGCAATATGTGGTGTAATGTGTTTTGGGGCCATACAATAAAATTACAACAGGATTGTACGGTTATGAATGCATTATAAGTTAGTTATGATGTAGTTAAAACATTATTGGATGATAGTAATTTTTTGTGTGTGTTTTGGAGTGAAATAAATCATGGGTCAAAATGAAACGCGAACACCATGAACGGTAACAGCTTTTGAACACAACACAAGGGTTAAGAAGTCCTTACATCCCGGGCTATACTGCCTACTTTAGGTGTTAAACATCCTTCTTTTTATTTACTTGGGCTTCCATGTTAACACACCACACATTAGCTTTTTTACTAGAAGTCTCTACTTACTTGTCTTTCATCCTTTCTTTCAGCTGGAAATGAGCAATGTTTGCTAAAGCTGCACCATTTACTTTTTTTTGTGACAGTTGATTAATGGGGACTGTCCACGACACTATAAACAAATAAACTAAACATACTGACATCATACCAGCAATTTTATTAATGTAGTTGCTCAAAAGCTTCTTTATTTTTTTCCGGCAATTAAAACACAAATGCAATTAAATGAAACATTCTATTAGTGGTGTACATTCTCAAACTCAATGTAAAAGGATAGGATTTGCATAGTATTGCCACTGCAGCTGCTATGTTTGTGTACACATCACATTGAGAGCCACACACAGGTACAGGTAGGCAGCGTAGCCCGGTCCAAGCTGTTTGCTCATACATTTTGCTCAAAGCCTCCGCTCCTTTCTCTGTGAATGCTTGCATGGCAGGTGCCCCGATGTTGTCTCGTCTTCTGGAGGCTGGTCCCGCCCAGTTCTCCACTCCGTTAGGTTTCATGGTCAGTGCAGACTCCATCGCTCCTCTTTCTGCTGCCTCTTCTGTGCCTGTTGACTCTCCTGCCTCAGCAAGTACAGGTCTGTCCACTCTGACCCCACCCACTCAACCTTTAACCCATCCACCAAACCTCCAGTCTTCCTTTATTTCACCTGTTTTTGTAGCTGCGACACTACACTCTTCCATAAGTGGGTCAAAAAGGACCCGTATTAGAATAATGTGTTTTTATGCCATTTTAGTCATTTTGGTTAAGAAAAATCACTTGTATAATATTTAGTATTATATTTTGGTTCACACTAGAAATATTTTATATTTAATTTTTCACTATTTATAAAAAAAAATTACATTTTGAAAGAAAACGTTTTGAACATATTGATGCAAAGATCTCCGCTATTCTGAGACCCTCACAGTATTCCAGTCCCTTTTCAAAACTCATCTCTTTTCCTCTTGTCTACTCATAGCCCACCCCCATCAATCCATGCCGGTTGATCAAGTTTGATAGTCCTATACCCCCCACCCCCGCGATTTTGAGTCCTTGAAAAGCCCTATAAAAATATAATGTATTATTATTATTATTATTATTATTGTTATTATACTGACAGGTATCAGATCTTGCTGTGTAAAATAATCTTCCTGAGAGGTGTCACTTGTGATGTAGTCCATGTGGTCTACAGTGAATGTATTCCTGACAGCCACAGGTGATACGAATCAAAAGGTTCCCATAGAAAATGCATGCGGGTCATTTTTGACCCACTTATGGAAGCTTGGGGTAGTAATACAAAAACAGTAATACAATTTCTTAAAATGTGAATGGCATGATATCCAAAACATGTTTTTTGAGGAATAGCTAGAATATGAAATGATAACAATTTTTAATTGCAAAGATACTTCAAGAAAACCACCTCACCGAGTCAAAAAAGACCCACTTATGCATCTAAGGGTTACAAAAGATTGAGTGTTATAGCTAAAGTAGACTGAAATATGAATGTATCTTGCGACGTTAAAACATTCAAACTTTTCAACATTTCAGAAATACTTTTTTATATACACACAGGAGGAATGTCAAAAAGTAAACCACTCTATATTTTGTGAATATCTCAAAATATGTAAATAAAGAGTTCAGATTAATTGTGGTTACAATTGAAATACAAGCAAATGATAAAGCTTGACTTAGGCGTGCTGTGATGAATGCTTTTATGAACTGCTACTCTTGCTACTTAAAAAGTGTATCTTGGCGAACAGAAAAGTTGAAACCAGTTGTTGTTTGCATGCAGAAGTTGGTGTGATGGCTCCGTCTTTGCTGCCTGGATGCCAGTCTGTCTCTGCAGAGGACAAAGTGTCAGAGCTCAGTGAGGAGGACGTGTCTGTGTCCTACATGGGGGATGAGCTTGACCTGAAGACGGTGGGGGACATAATTTCCATAATTGAGGACAAGGTGAAGAGTACCATATATTTTCAAAGCATTTCTAAAAACCCAAGATAAACATTCTTTTAAAGAGGCCTTATTATGCTGTTTTGTGTTCTCCCTTTCCTGTAGTGTTATATAGGTTTTGGTGCATGTAAAGGGTCTGCAAAGGCTAAAATCCCAAAGTTCCCTCCAGAGAGAGTTTCTTTCCCACACTCCCCCCCCCTTCCTGAAGGATCACTATGTAACACTCACGCTATTGGCTAGCACTCCAACACATTGTACATTATAGGCTAAGGGGCGGGACATCTCTAAATGGTTGACCAATCACAACAGAGCCGACCAGCTAACCAATCAGAGCAGACTGGGCTCTGGTTTCAGACAGAGGGAGAAAATCGGTGCTGCAGCACAGGCAGTATGAGAGAAATAAAGAGCTTTTTGAACATTAAAGCATGGAGACATGTCCCAGGAGAGGCTAAATACAAATATGGACCTGAAAATGAGCATAATACGTCCTCTTTAAAATGTGATAAATGGAATTTCGGTCATCTATTGACAGTTTACACGGAACCATGACTGCTGTGATTTACAAGGCAGGAAATAGCACCTGAAAAAGCCTAAATGATTCTTTACGATCTAGAGTCATATCTCTCCTTCTGCAGGCAGAGGAGGCTGCAGAGGCTTTGGATGCAGCTGCAGTCGAGGCTGCGCTGTCACTGTGTGAGGAGAACGGCCATGCTTTGTCTGGTAGCTGGGAAGCTGGGCCTCTCCAGCCCCATGAGTCCCAGCCGGCAGTGCCCACAGGGGTCCCACAGCCCTCGTCTCTTCACAGTAGCCTGGAGGGGAAGACAGAAGCGTTAGAAGCCCAGTGTGGGACTTCAGCTTCACTCTCCTCTCTGTGCAACAGTCAAGATAACTGTCTCCCAGCATTCCCCATGGGACGAAGGGGCCCTCCTCCCACCTCCTCCTCCTACACAGGGGCACCTCCACAGCCTGAGGCAATGAGACAGACTGGAGAGTTGGTGCACCAGAAAAGACATATTTCATTGGATGTTACTTTAAAATGTGAGAGTGAGAAGCACAGACCTGAAAAACCCAATGGAGGTATGCACACCCAAGCATAAATACTAGTATTCACTTGCATCATAACATACAGTTTGCATGCAACTATGCATTTGGCATAACCATTTCCTTCTTATTATTCATCTTTACTATCTCGGCAGACTCCGTATTAGAAGATAGACCTCTGAGAGAAAGGCATCGCAAGGTATAGCACCCAACGAGGACAGAGCGAAAACATGATGCTTGTAATTAAATGCAGAGTTCCAAGTATTCCTGCACTGCAAGCTCTGGTTTGAAATCCCTCTGCATCTTTCCCCGTCCTTTGCAGGAGATGAAAGCGGAGGATGGAATAAGTGTTCTGGGAGGAGAGAGTGCCTCAGAGACTAAACTGTACAATGAGCTTGATGAGCCAGAAGCAGGTGGAGGAGAAGAGAGCGATGGCGTGGAGGGAGGATCTTCCAGAGCCAGAACGGCGAGATGGAGCTGAACCTGCGGGCCAGCGAGAGGCTGAGGACGGATACAGCCAGCCCACGGCCTCCTCCTCTCTGCAGCTCCACACCACGGCAGACTCCATCCCCCAGCAGCCATGCCTCCTCGCTGTTGTGAGTGAAACACATGCAGGCACGACTAGCACCAACAAAACTGGCAACATGAATTTTCATCTTGTGTCATGCTGCAGATCAGGCTCCCTGCTTGTCAAACACTTTTCCCTCATAAAGTTACAACTCCATTCTCGCATACCATTGGTGTGCAGTCTTTCTCTGTGCTAGTGACGATCCTGGAGGCTCTGCAGGCGCACAAGATCTGGAAGAAAGCCATTATGCTGTTGTGGCGTGCAGCAGCCAATCACAGGTCTGAATATTAACGTCTACCCCTAGTGAGCTGTTGCTCGGCCTCTGATACATTGAATTTGTTATATCATTACCTGAACAGACGTTATTTATGTGAACCTGTTGCAGGTATGCAAATGTCTTCCTGCAGCCATAGTGTCAGATGAAATTGCACCTGGGTACCACAGTATAGTTGCAGAGGTAAGCTCAGGATGTGTTTCCCCGGTCATGTTAATGCATGTTTCCCCCTTTTTTTTTTTTTGTGGTTCCTTGTCATAACTTTTAACTACACACATCACAAAATACAAACTTTAAAGGTCTCCTATTATACTATTTTTAGGAAAATATTATAGGTTCAGACATATAAAAAACATGTCTATAAAGTGTTTGGCTCAAATACCAAAAGATCCCCTCTATTTCAGCCCTGTTAGGGAAGTGCTGATTCTGGTTCTGTAGCTTTAAAAAATAAAATAAAAGAGAGGAGAGGAGAGCTCATGCAGGAGAATTATACCCAGATACTTAGCTGAATGCTGCCGTGATTAAACACCATATTATGTTTCAAACCACATCAAGGATTATTTCTGAAACGGTATGGAGCTCAAATGCTTTTTATCTCGCGGGTTTACCACAAGGTACCTTTTTATATCCTGCTTTTTTACACATATACTCTCTCCAGTACAGCGTTAGCTCTGAGTGTTAGCGATGCTTGCTAATGTAAACAAAGACCATATTACGTCCAAAACACATCGCGCTTTGTTTTCTGATAGCGACGTTTCTGATAGGGCCGTGGGCGTAAGGCCAGACCACATTTCCGATATGACGTCATATCGGATGCAAATCTGGATCCGTTCCGTTGTACCTCCGTTTTTAGAGATGTGGGTACGGAGGAAAAGAGAGAGGGTTGTATTTTAGGACACTGTGTGAGTCTCCTGACACACCGGGGACACATTTATGTATAAAAGACATCAACAAGTGCATTTTGCATGATAGCAGACCTTAAAGACGCTAAGAACGCTAATAAGCTTGTTTTTGCTGGTGTACACTGTACTTCTGACATGTACCATACCCCCTCTTTGTTCTTCACTTCAGGCCCATGGACCTGGCCGCCATTAAAAAGAGCATCGAGACGGTGTTGATCCGCACCACCGCTGAGTTCCAGAGGGACATCATTGCTGATGTTTCAGAACTGCTGTCATGTACAACAGTCTGGACCAATGACGTGTACCACATGGCTCTGGAGATGCAGCGCGACGTCCTGGAGCAGATCCAGCAGTATTTGGCCACCCAGCTGATCTGGAGACGTCGGAGTCCTGGCATCAGCGCCAAGAGCCTGAGGGGCCGTGAGAGCACGCGCAAACAGGACTCCACTGACAAGGTGCTTCACTAGAATATTGACAAAAGCAGAGTACTGAAGAAGAGACAAGGGGTGAGACCACCAGGCTGACTTTAAGGTAGAAGACCCTAAAGTAGATCTGGCCTGATATTTTCCAAAGCATGACATTAGTTTGTTTTATATTTCCAGGTAGCCATTGGTTTTATATGCTACCAAAATCAAGTTACTTGAATAATCCAAATCGTGGGTAATCCATCACAGTGAAAAGTAAATACCAATAAAATAGAATAGAAATAGTGCAAGGAGAGTCTATATAAAGTAATTGGAATATGATATATTAGATAATCATCTTATGTCCTACAATTCTTAAACGGCTTTAATCTTCTATGGAGGATTATCTTTGATCTTATTTATAAAAAGACAATACGTTTTTCACTGTAGGTTCAAACCAATGGTTGACTGAAAAGCAATACATTTATTTTAAATCAGAACATGTATGCTCTGGAAAATGGTAGGAAATAATGCGATTCTGTTAAGAACATTACTAACAACTATTAACCAAGTGTACAGCAAGTTTTAACGTTAATATTCTACTTTCCTCCAGAAACCAGTTTTTTTCCCGTGTTTTTCACAATAGTATGAAAACCAACTGGTGGATTATTGGCCTGATGAATCAAATGATCATTTGGTCACCTTTTTATTTCATGGATTTTGCATGATAATGTGTGAGTGAAGTAATATTGATGTTACAGATTTGTACTACCACTTTATAACAAAACAAATGGACTTCTTTTTTTACACAATCTATAAATCACCCTAGTGAAGGCCCCCGTAGAGTGTGTATTGCTGAAAACATGGTAAAATAAATATTTTACGAGTAGTTCTAATATTTTGATGACAAATTACTCGATCCGAAGCAAACTTCAAGTGTTCGGGTTTTATAGCGAGCTGATAGAACTGAAACCAACAGTTGAAGGGAAGGTGCGAGGTTAAGTGTCCTGATGTGCTTTTGGACATGGTTGACAGTAACGGGGGGTTACGTATTGTAACCCCTAGTTATATAAGCACAGGCGGAGCCCTCTACCTGGGGGCCCTGTCTTTCCTATGCCGCTCGCTGAAGAGGGTGTAGGATGACGGTCGGGAGGCGTAGCCGCCTTATATACTGTGGGCCTGCGCGCACATTCAGCTAGGCTCGCCCCGATTGGCCGGCTACATTTATGCAGCTCAGTAGGTGAATGCACACATAGCACGATAGAGAGTAGTACCCATAGAGTCCAGTAGAGGGCGGAGCCTGTGTGATATATAACGTATGTCTATAGTACGCATTGTATGCAGTTAATGAGCTGAACATGATGGCATGTTCCTTACATAAATCTGAAGTGTAGTGTGATAGCAGTGCAGCTAGACATTTGTTTACACAAGTAGTTGCCTTCCATTTATTTCAACCTTTCCTTTCCTCCTGCCTTATATACTCTGTTGTTTCTTTCTTGGCCTTATTTTGCTTTCTCTTTCGACCTGTAGTGCACTTTTGTGTCGCAGCTCTGATATAAATAATTTTCCTCCTGCAAGGACACTGTCTCCCATGTCCTCTCCTGCCTTTCTTCTTCTTTCTCCTTTTTGTAAGTACCCATCCTAAAGCCTTTACCTTTTCTTTCTGGTCTTTTTTTCCCCCTGACACAGACAGTAAAGCTGCCTTGTATACCAAACCAAAGGAAAACTCATTCAAGATCAATTCAATGATTGCCTTTAACATCTTGAAAGGGAAATGTGTTCAGTACATTAAGCCTCGACAATATGGTGTATATGAAATATCACAATATCTTTTAAACTAATACATTAATATTAATTTTGTGATGATGTTGTAGGGTTGACTCTTGGAGTTTCATGAAATATTTACAAAAGAATCATTTTAAATTGTTGTCTGGATATAATGACTTAGTGGGTAAAGACAAATAATAATACAAAGCGTATTGAATCCTTTAAAAACGGGAAAATAAAACTATTTTTCCATATAATGATATCCAAAACTAAGGGGAAAAAAATCACAAAATCGTTATAATATTGATCTATTGCCCAGCCCTATGTGAAATGAGTATAATATATTGCATGTATACTCATAGGCTTTGTCTTCCTCTCTTGAACTGCAGGACGGAGGCACCAGAGGGCGCCGTTGTGCCATAGAAGCTGACCTCAAGATGAAGAAATGAAAACACCATATTAACGTTTTTATCCAACTGTGTTTCCGAGTTAAAGTGACAGCGACTGAATTTATTCTGTCAGTTACACGGATTCTCACCCAAGCATAAAATGCAGTTTCAACTTTATTTGCACTCTAAACTGTATGAGTAGACTGAATTTCGGAGGGGGGCCCATTTCCACTGAGTCAGACTGGATTACAAACTGTATAATCCCAGATTACAAGGGGCAAGAGAATAGGTCAAACCTTTCATACACCTACCTGGCAGATCACTTAGATTTAGCCTGCTCAGGTTGTATTAACAGACAAAATGTCACTCATAGCCTGCAACATTGGCTGAAATTAAGCCTTCATGAGGCCGAAGATGCGCTTCAGATTATTGTGGTTGATTTTGAGAGACATGTTGATACTAATATGTGAAACCAGAGGCCAAAGAGTCTGAGTTACCTAGAAGTCCCGAATAATCAGGGAGGTGTAGGGGGCACATCATCATTTTAAACATTTTAAACATTTAATTGCAGGAATTAAATCATTTGAGGATTTGTTATTTTAAGTGTTATTTAAAAAGAATGCACAGATCATTTGTGGCTGTATTTTTTGTGAAACGATACCAATTCATATTCAGTATTTTTGAGTATCAGATTAAACTGTTTCGTGGATTTTAAGATGTATAATCAATAAAAGCGTCGTAAAGCCCTCAACCCACTATGTTAAACTTGAATTTGCACACATGTTTCCCAAAGACTCAAACTACACCACAGCAGTCACCTTGAATCTAATCAAAAGTCTTCATGCAAGGGTGGTCAGCGACAATCAGTGACATTGGAATAGTGATTGGGATTTCCTATTATAATTTTTTTATTGCAATCATTTATAATGCCTTATTAATTTTTAATACAAAGTGCTTTGCCTCATTCAGGATATGATGATGTTCTTGTGGTGTCAGTAGGAGAAAGCATGCAGATATTCTCAGGGAAGCCAAGTGGCTCGAAACTGTTAAAATGAATGCAAGCACTACAAGATAAATACGTTAAAAAAGTGTTGTTTCCTCCTAAAATATCTGCAAATCTGATGTAACGTCACTTTTTTCCACAAAGCTCCCACTCTGGTGAAACACCAATAAGGAAGGGTTTTGCATCTCACGTTTAGTTAGTCATGTTTAGTGTTATGTAAAAGGGCCTGATTATTAAAACATATTCAGAGCTTTCATTGAAGCCGACTCATGTTCAGGATGGCACAGTGTTGCCGTTTGTCTCATTTAGTTTAAATGTTGAACGTGTATTCATGATTTCAATATGACCATAAACTAAGGTTTTTCCATTTCCTTTAAAGAGGCCTATGATACTTTTGGGGTTTTCCCTTTCCTGTAGTGTTGTATAGGTTTTTGTGCATGTGTATGGTCTGCAAAGGCTAAAAAGTTTCTCTCCCAACGTATTGACATCACTAGTAACACTCACGCTTCTATTGGCTAACTCTCCAACACATAGGCTAAGGGGTGGGACATTAATTACAACAGAGCCGGCCAGCTAACCAATCAGAGCAGACTGGGCTCTGGTTTCAGACGGAGGGTGAAAAGAGGTGCTTTAGCACAGGCAGTATGAGAAAAATGAAGACCTTTTTGAACATTAAAGCATATACACGTCACAATAGAGACAAATATGAACCTGATTAGCATAATAGGGTTCCATTAAACCCATGTGTATTTGGCCTTGGCCATGGTTAAGTTATATTAGTTGTACATGCATAGTAAGTAAAGGATGTTTGAGGGGAACTATTTGTAATGAATATACAGAAACGTTTTATTTTGGACTTGCTTAGCTGTAGGTGTGATTCCAGATGCAGTAGTTCATATGTTTGGTTCAGCTTTTTTGTAATATATTATAAATGTATGTGTATAAATCCCTCACTGCCTGATCACCTTGAAACAAATCACTCTGATTCTTATAAGATTATTTACAGTCTTGACTGATATCAAACAATAATGGGCTGAACCTGTCTCTGCGGTCCTGCCTTGGGTCTCGTCATGCTGCTTCCCTGATGGCTTCCACAGGATTGTAGCTGACATCCTCGTGGATTCATCTTCTTATTACAGACACATGCATTTCCTAACATTCGGTCTATACTGTAAAATGTATTATCTCTTCGATTTACACACGGCATCTATTGCACGTCTGTCCGTCCTGGGAGAGGGATCCCTCCTCTGTTGCTCTCCCTGAGGTTTCTCCCATTTTTCCCCTTAAACTGTGGGTTTTCTCTGGAAGTTTTTCCTTGTACGATGTGAGGGTCTAAGGACAGAGGGTCTAAGGACAGAGGGTGTCGTTTTTCTCATACTGATATTCTGAACAATCTGTGCTGTTGTATTTGCTGTAAAGTGTCTCTACTGTAGGCTAATTTTATTATATGTACAGCACTTTGGCTCGACCAAAAATCGTTTATAAATGTGCTATATAAATAAAACTTGATTTGATTTGAATAATCACTAAGTATCAAAATCCATCAATATGTTGTACACAGATATGTGTCACAAGCAGAGTAAATAAATACAAATGAACAAATCAGACAGGCTCAAAAGATATTCGATACATCGTTAATTGTCAGGTATATTTGTCCTAAAAACTGATTATTTAGTGTTCCTCAAGTGTTCTACCTAATAGACCCTGACCTCCGCGTGTCAGGGCAAGGCGTTTACATGTTTGTGAGTGTGGACCTGAATTTTGCTAACAAATATCATTAGTGTGTCAGCTGTCATTAAGATGTGTTCACAATCAAAAATAAATATGCAACTAATAAAAGACTCACAAGGGTTTCATGCAACAGCAACAATAGGGAACACAGGATCAAATATGAACTTAAAAGTGCTTGAAATAAACCTGAATATTTTGTAAAGTAACAGCTAAGGCAGTTTGGCCGGTGAACAGAAACAAGTGTTAATGTCTGTATAGGGTTTGAATCATATGTAGTTGGGATGGTAAAGAATTTAAGAAACAACTCGTAAAAGTTAGCATCCTACTCATGACAAGATCTGACAAATTCTGATTCCTAGCTGTGGAAGACAGCCGATTAATGTCCACAGATAATTAGTAGAATTTCAAAACATGATTTCAACAGTTAAGTAGATTAGATTTAAGATTACATTTTTTTTTTAAACAAAACGATTCTTCTTTACAAAACATCTGTATAAATTAAAAGGTGCAGAATTTATAAAATATTTATAAAATATGGGCCGGATGTTTGTCTGAGAACGGAAGTATTTAAGCTTGTGCACGATTTTAGGAAATGGAGGTATTGCATGACATTTAAGCCAAGTTTATCTACAGATATTGAGCTTCCTGTATCTAATCAAATCAAAATGTATTCTTCAAAACATGGCCCTCTTTTTTCATAACAGTCACCCTTTAACCTCACCTGAAATACTGAAACTTCCTGAATACCAGAAGCTTAATGACCAATGCAAGCAGAACTGCATGGAGCAGGAAGCTATTTATTTTGGCAAGGACATCTTTTTAAGATAACACAATCAGATAAATGTGCTAGCGATACATGTTTGACTCTACTGTGCCTATTGATTTAGTTCAAATCGCCTAGATAACCACATTATAGCTCCTTTTTAATCTGATTTGTCTGTAATAATAAATACTTTCCTTTACAGTAAAGAAGCTCTCAGATTTGTCCAAAGACTACAGTATTATTTAAGTTGTTGAACTTCCTATAGAAAACAGATTAGCCAAGATGCTCAAGTAACATTCACTCTATTAACTAATACATAAATACTTCTAACATTTCAGCCAGGACACAAAAACATTCAACAAAATAAATACAAGTAAACCTAAACAAATAAAACATGTACGTGTGAACATCTACTACTGCCTTCATAACCCCAAAAGGAGACTCCCATATGTGCGTCATGCCATTTCTATAAGAAAGTTTAAAGGCTCCGAGACATCATCACACTGCCACAGTGAGTTTGCACCTGATGCAACTCTTATTTTCTACCATCAAAGAGGAGAGAAGGCACATTGTTTCCAGTGGCATAATCTCCCACCGACTGCGCTGTACCTAAAAGAGGTTTCTTTACAAAGTGGCCAGATTAAAATCACACATTTGGATCAAATGTGTTATTGTAAAGTCTGCAAAGAAACACGTTCTCCTCTCAAACAGTCCTCAATTGGCTCTCTGATGCCCGACCAATCGATGGAGTTTGTCACAGTTGTCCAGCCTCATCGACTCCGCCTTCTGCTTTAACCGCTCGTCTCGGTACAGCTGCCCGAGGTTCGCCAGGTCGGATTCTGAGAAGGAGAACGGGATCGCAAAAGAAAGATGTATGACTAGCATTCAGAATAACTTTCTTTCTGGCAGAGGGTTAGATGAAAAGAGAAAGATCATTCTCTTGTCAGTATGTTACATATAATTCAATCAGCAGCCAGTAGCTTAGCATAAATAAATTAATCAAAACTCACCTTTTCCCTCAACTCCTAATCCACTAACCCCATGTCCTTATTCCACCTAGCTTTTTACTTTTGTTGTTATTTTTTTTCTTTACTTGCTTGTAAAGTGCTTTGAGAACCAGGAAAAGCGCTATATAAATCACATGTACTATTATTATTACTATTATTATTATTATTATAAAGTCTTGGAAAGGGCCTGGCTCTGTCCAGATATTAGAAAGTCACATCATATGAATCAAAGTGATGCAGCGCTAACAACAACCACTTCTTGTTAGTCAGTGTCATTTTCATTTCTTAACTATAACGTTTAAAGATATATAGTTAACACAGTACCATCTATATACAAATTAAATTATGCTTTTTTAATGTTCAGTGTTGCTTCCCTGCCGCGTTTGGGTAACCAAATCTACCTAAGACAGACATCTAACAACTGATTGGGCTAGCATTTATTGCTCGTTTTGGTTAAACTTAAGCTGTCATTCTCTTTAGTGTGTTGCCCAAAAGTTGGTATAAATGTGGTTATTAATGAGGAATGAAATATGCATTTTAAGTTAATGAAATGAAAGTCATGCACAGAGTGTACGTACAGGGGTTTTCCACTCAACGTTAGTGAAAACAAATAGTGTGGTTCAGTCTTTAACTTGTTTGTTTTAGAACAATAAATGAAGTATAATTCGCTTTTCTTGGGGGGGGGTCTATGTGCTGGACTATTTCTTAGGTAGGACCAGTTGCTGGGCAACCAGCGAGACTGCAGGAGCTTCTGGCTGCGGCTCTTAAAGCGAATAACCATATTTCCCAAGTGTTGCACACACTTCCTTTAACAGTGACCAACTTTAAGATATATGCAAGTGCTTACAATAGCAGGAGACAATATAAAAACACTTGATATTAAATCTACTTTAATCAAAGTGATGATGAGTAGCTTGCTTACTCTGCTGTTTCTCTTTCCAGCAGCTGTTCTGCAGGTGCTCGATATAGTCGTTCTCGATAGTTTTCTCTAGTTCATCCAGCGCCGCTCCTCTGTACTCTTTCTCAAAACTTTTGTCCACGTAGTACGGCACGCCCATGTGCTGCGTTTCCCTGGAGACCACCAGCCCGATGGCCCTGAAACCCAAACACAGGATTAAAATGTGTCCAGTGTGAACCGTGGAGTATCCCAGGGATCTGGTGAAGCGTCACTGTAGTAAGGTCAATGCTGTGGCACACTCACGGCTTATAGAAGAGACTGAAGGCCGGGTTAATGGCCATCATCTGAGTAAACACTGATATGAGGATTAGTACCAGCACAGGGAGGAGCTGCAGCAGCGCTGTGAAAGTGTTCTGTGGGAAGATAAAATCAGCAGATTACAAAGCATATAATACTGCATGTAGGCTGCACTGATTCACGCCAGCACAGAACGTATGTCTTTGAAGCACCATGCAAAAAAAAGGCACTTCCGTTATGAAGAAAATAAATGAAAGACATGAAATCAATCATTATAGGAATCTGTCACCAGCCTTGTTGAAATGGATCTCCCAAAAGTGCAATTTTTTCCCGTGCATGTTAATAATTAGGATATTCACAAGAAGAGCTTGCTGTAGTCTTTCTGTCTTGTGAGTCACTGACCTGACTCTGGTTCTCCTCCACCACCACCTCCTCGCGCCTCTCAAAAGCACGTCGACGACGAGGCTGATAGAACTGAGAGTAGGAGGCGCCCTGGTTGGTGTACATGTGGATATTTCCTGTAGAGAGACACGTGCAGTTTTACAGCATTTACATGTATCAAAAGACAGTGGATCACAGTCCTAAACTGTTGACAGAACCATTTGTCAGACCAAAAACTTGAATGTTAGCTTGATATATAAGTGATACTGCTCTGCATGAATGAGGTGTGAATGACTCGTAGTATTTGAGGGGTCGAAAAGACCTGATCAAGCGCTATATACTGTAAGTACAGTCCATTTACCATTACACACAACTTTTCAAACATAGGTAAGAACAATGAATCTGAATGTTATCAACATCGAAAATGTATTATTCAGATTGCAGGAGGATATTTGTGAAAGGTGAAATGTGTTTTAAAATATATATATATAGTAGTGCTGCATAGATTTCATGGCCAACAACTCTAATTCTACAGGTGTAAAGGGCCTTGTATGTTTATTTCAGGTTCATATTTGTATTTTGTGTCTCTACTGTGACATGTCTCCATGCTTTAATATTCAAAAAGCTCTTTATTTTTCTCATACTGCCTGTGCTGCAGTACCTCTTTTCACCCTCTGTCTGAAACCAGAGCCCAGTCTGCGCTCTGATTGGTTAGCTGGCCGGCTCCGTTTTAATTGTTCAACCTCTGTTGATGTCCCGCCCCTTAACCTATCACGTACAATGTGTCAGAGCACTAGCCAATAGAATACGAGTGTTACATAGTGACGTCACTGTGCTATAGAAGTAAACAAAGGAATCCAATAGAGGCGTTTCAGAGATAGTCACACGCACACAAATCTACAGGAAAGGTGAAAACCCCAAAATGCATATCAAGAGCACATTTTCATTGAAAATTAGGAAAATAATCATCCCCTCTAGTACTGTGCAGCATCAGTCAAAATAATCCTAAATTCGATATTTTTCCCTCCTTCTCACCTGTGGGAAATCTTCCCCCAAAGAAAATGTTGAAGAGTTCCTCGGGGGAAATGTCGGCCTCGAAGTCTCTGTTGAAGCTTCGGTAGTATCCATGGCGACTGTGGCTGGAGGGATGGGGTGCGCTGGAAGCAGCAGATTGATCTCCGTATTGATCGTACTGCTGCCTCTTCTCTGGATTGCTCAGCACTGCATATGCGTTGCCTATTGCTGTCGGAAAGAGAGGGAAACATTTGGTTTTAGCATTCACTCAGCCCACAGCAACATAGAAACAAAAAATACAACTGGGAGAAATCCCATAGTATAATGTCCCATAGTAGTAAACCAGAAGTATAATGTTGCCCTGATATTATTTAGCTACAGGTGGGAACCTCATTGACCTTCATGGATGCTGAATTATTAATTGGCAGTTCTGATTTGCAAAATGAAACCATATACAGCATGTAAAGACAATTACTACTGAGTTTATTACTTAAAAAATAAATATCTCAAATTGTGTTTCGTGAATAGAGGTTTCTCAATACTCAAATTTCCCCTCCTCGACTCCTCGGTCCTCCGGTAGTGACCCGGAAATGAATTTCAGTGCGCCATGTTGAAGGACATCTCATTTCTCTAAATGCACACCGAGGACCGAGCATCGAGCATCGAGGAGGCTCTCTGGAGGAGCTCTAACCGAGGAGACACTGATGCATCCTCCACGGCTCCTCCACGGATGCATTTCCGGGAACGGTGGCGGCGTGACGCACGGCCGGACTTATCTCAGCCAATGACAGCTCTGCATGCATCCCCTGGATATTATTTTAGTAACTGCTTTCATCGCAACGCAATGTTTACAGTGAGAACAGCTGTGAGGTCCGTGCAGAAAGCAGAGCAGTGTGTAACATATATATCACTCAGTATAACAGGCCTACATTACTTTCTGTATTTGTATGCTGTAGTTTAGTAGATATCTACAAACAAAGAGTCGATATTTTTCTAAGACCATTTAGTGCTTCACATAATAAAATACACAACGGCTGTAGCCTGATTATGCTTTAGGAGCTGTAGGTGTGTGTGGTACAGTGTGTAGGTGTGTGTTGTACAGTGCGTAGATGCGGCGGACAGACGGGTCTCAGTTGGTTTGGTGTCCTATGCTTACTTTTAATACTTGTACAACTTTTGGCCCGTAATTTCAATTCCCCATTTCAGCGACCAGAGAGAGGGGGGGGGGGATATATCCAGTCTCTGATTGTGTTACGTTATTATGAGAGTGCTCTCATACTTGTTTGATTCTGAAATTGTATATATTTATATAAATATATGTGTGTGTATATGTCCGCATCTGTAGCCTGTTATTGTCTCATTATACCGCACTGTGAATGAATTACAAGTAAGTATATAAGTCATCATGAACACATCTGTCCATCAGACAGAGGGCTGCTGTGCCTCCTGTCATCATTAATGGACGTCTCTTTAAAATGACCGCTCAGAGGAGAGGAGTTCTCATTTCTCTAACCGCCTGCTGCTTCCACTCCTCTCTCCTCGGTTCCCCTCCTCAGTCCTCCGCTCTCATCTCCTGTGGGCGGCACCAAGTCTTGAGGAGGGGAGTCGAGGATAGGAGTCGAGGAGGGGAAATTTGAGTATTGAGAAACCTCTAATGTGTGTTTAGATTTGACTGAGTTATGAGTAGGGCTTGGAGAAAATAGGATTTTATTGTGGATCGGGATAAAAAAAAACACTTTCTTTATCAGGATAATCATGAACATCCTCACAAGTGACTTGAAAAAAATATTGCTTGCTATCATAGTAGGGCTGCTCGATTATGGCAAAAATCATAAGCTCGATTATTTGGGTCAATAATTGATATCACGATTATTAAAAACGATTATCCATTTACTTTGAAAACATCCATTTATTGAAAAAAAAAAATTTGAACAGTATGTTTTTAACAGGTGATTACCCTGAACTTTAAGTATACTTCAACTGAAAAACCAATAAAGAAAATGTTTAAGATTTTTTTTTAAATAAATCCTTTTATTCCGATTATGTTGTTTTCATAATCGTTGCAAGCCAAAATCGTAATTGCGATTAAAATACGATTAATTGAGCAGCAAGAAGTGAAAAAAAGAGAGCCTTATTTATATATTTTTTTTAAAAATGTTGGCCATTGTCAGTATGTGCGTCTGTGTATTGCGTTTGTTCAAACGGTGTATGACTGATGATATGTGTATGTCTCTTAATGTCCACTATGTTTGTATATGTACATGTATGCTGAACTGCAGGACGGGGTCCAGAACAAATTTCCTTACGGGGACAATAAAGTATATCGTATAAAAAACAAGGAATAATGCCAAACTTATCGTGTAAGAAAGAACAGACGTATCTATGCCATATTTCTGCAGAGAGGGACCTGATGTTAAGGGTGTTGAACCTGTGTGTCTCATCTGTTTTTAATCTTTCCCCTCCCCATCCCCTAATCCCACACAGTTTTAAAACGGCAGCCCTGAATACATACAAACATCTTAACAAAGACTTTCTAAACTAAAACCAACCAGTAAGACTGTGTCACCCAGCCTCAAGCTGCTGCCCTGCCTGTAGTGTAATGTGTAAACAACTACAAGCGAGGGAGTCGTTTTTAAACTGACCTTGACCTCTAAATTAAAAACAATATATTTTGTGGGATAAATAAAGTCTCATTATGTCAAAGTACTGTCCAGCAACATGGTCAAAATACTTTTAAAAAAAAAAGCCCATACAAAGTCATAGTCACCAATCTCACAGAAAACAATCCCTGCTTTCTCATCTGTCAAAACTCATACCTTTGAAAGCATCTGTAGCTCCTGGAGCAAAGTTCTTGTCGGGGTGAAATTTGAGGGCCAGCTTCCTGTACGCCTTCTTCAAATCCTCCTCACAGGCATTTTTGGTAACACCGAGAATTTCATAAAAGTCCTTGCAATTCTTTATCCTGCAATAAAAAAAAAGTAAAGGTCACCTATTATGCAAAATCCACTTTTTCATGTGTTCATCATCAACATGAACAAATATTCTCTCACTTTTTGTCCTGATCCATTTATATAAAAACCTGATCAGATTTTGGCCACTTTATGATGTCATAATGATGTTTTGTCTTGTGTAACTATTAGCCAATCACCAACCTAGCCAATCACCAACCTAGCCAATCACCAACCTAGCCAACCACCCCCCCACCTTATCACCTGAATCTCCTCCTAGAGCACCATTGAGTTCTTTGTAACCAAATATCTCTCAGAGGGGCGTGGGGAGGGGCTCCTTATTTTCATCTAAAGTAACAGACAGAGAATCAGCACTTTTGAAACAGGGCTGAAACAGAAGGGATTATGGGATGCTGCAATGATCTGTTTGGTGTTTGGAGCCAAACACTTCAGAGACATGTTTGTATATATCTGAGGCCTATAATATATTGATGAAAAACAGTATAGGGGACCTTTAAAACATAGGTGCTTCATAGTATGTAACACAGCCAAAGTGATAGGAACAATTAATGTGGTCAGTCTGTCTAAAAAACGTTTTGAGCCACAGTTTACCTGAGAACGCCCTGGCGCTGGTCCTCGCTGTAGCTTTTCTTGTCATCAACACTCGCATGACTTGGTTCCTCGTCTCCAAGGTCCTCGTCCCTCCAGCCGGCTGGCGGGGGAACGTGGTTTGATTGTGGAGCAGCGGTGCCTCCATTCCTCACTATGGCGTCTATTAGCACTATAGAACAAAAACACAGTGTCTGAGGTCAGCTGACAGATCAGATGGGAATGGAGAAAGATGGCTGAGAAAGCTTAAAGCAGAAAATACAGGTTGCCAACCAAAATGTACAGTATACAGATGGATGGCAGTTTAAAAAGGAAAACCAACATTAAGTAACCGAGTTAGGCATTTGGCCACCACAAGACTCCAGAACAAAATACTCTTCGACTACTTCTGTTACTCTAATGAAACACTGTTCTTCATAGTGGAGGAGGGGGGTTGTCACATTGCTCCCAAAATCTCCCTTTAGTGATTACAATCTGGTGGTGGCCAACTTAATTATTCACATCATTTTCATATTCAAATCATCCCTGGTTCCTTCTGCTGTGTGTTTAGGCATGTGCGCATGTTTCCCCACTGATTTCCGGCTTTTGAAGAAATACAAATGGATCCATTTATACATATTTCCTTTATAATGTATCTCCTGATGTTTGTTTTAATTGAATTTGTCAATATCAAAAGCCTTTCCCTACTTGCACCACAAGTGGAAAACTTGTCCAATGGAACAAGTTGGCATTTAACTGCCTCATGCACATTGTGTACAAAGAGATCCAGGAATTCTACGAAAGCATTAATATGCTGGCTATGATGGCATTACTGAAAAGCTATTAGGCAAGATAAACAACAAGAGTCGCAGTGAGATTTTAACATTGCCCAACAGTGTGTTCACAGAGGGGGGAGGGAGCATTTCAGCAGGCAGCCTACAAGGACTATGTATTGAAGCAAGACAGCCTCTAAAAATAGTAGTTCAGTGCACCCATCTTGAATTATGTTAAATAATGTTTGTACAGTTAATCCTCGGGGTAAATGTGCACATTGAGCCATGTTGGCTAGTCAGTGTGCTATTGCAGAATGTGCGTCAGCTAATTTTACCTCTGGCCCGGGTGCTGGGGTAAATATTCTGGGCTTCATAGAGCAGCTGCAGAGCCCGATCTTTCCGTCCTGACCGTAAACAAAGCTTCGCCTTCTCTATCAGCCGGTCTGCTTCTTCTTTGTCCATTGCAACGTATTATTCTGCTGATCCAATCGCTGTCTCTCGAGGTCTGTCCCTGTGCACTGAGAGTCAATATCATATGGTAAAGCGACCCGCTGCAGCTAACGAGAGATAGCCGATTAGCTTTGGTGTCAGGCAACTGCGTATTGTAATGAGGTGCAGTCACTAAGAAGTCCTCCGCACTATCCGGTCTGCAGACGGCTGTTGTTCGGCTGCAAACAGGCCTGCAGCTGGGCCATTACTTTTAAAAGATAAAGGTAACAAATGCACTGTTTTGCTGTCTGTTTTTATTAAGCGGTGTTTAGCAGGCCACCCTGTTCAATTTAACTCTGGACCCACATAGCTGTGATGGACAAGAGGTGGAGGCAAGACGTCATATCCTGTGGCGTAAATTCTGAAATCTGTATAAATCCGCCCTTATATTGACTTTAAATATAATTTACTTGGTTATCAGTTAATAATGTGGTATAGCAGGACATATAGTGTTTATATACCGCGACTTCACGCTTCACCCATCTATTAACTAACGGTACTTGGTTTAATAAACCCAGAGAGTTGAGTAACATTAGCAGGTGTAGCTGATGCAGCATTCAAGGTCTTTCGTTTAAAGACGTAAACCCCATCATTGGTTGTGGTGCATGGAATATGATACACTACAACACAGACCTAAGATTATTATTATTGGTGTTTTATATGTATTTATTTATCCATTCAGTGGCTTATTGCCTGCCTTTGATTGTCATGGGACAATGCAATGACAACAGAGATGTAATGGATATTTTTAAACGTTTAATTAACTGCTACAATCAACCAACTAAACTGCATATTTAGCTAATGGATATCGCTGAATAACTGGTGATTGATATGAAAGGCAGACTAGGTTATTATATGACATTTAAGATACTGATGCACAAGTCAATTTAAAGTGTAAATATTCTTGCTTGGTTCACAATTTACATAATTTAAGATTCGTAGAAGTACAAATTGCATCAGTAAATTAGAAACCATTCAACACATTTTTGTTCATGCATATTTTATTCAAGAGTAAAAAAATGTGATTTCGTCCCATAGGGCATGCTTACAATGTGTGTATCATTTAGGAAGTCAAATGCCAAAACATATTTCCATAGGTAATAAAAAAATGTTGCAAGATAAAATCCATTATATTTGTTTGTTGAAATATGCATGTAGACCATACAAGAACCAGAAACAGAGGAAGGAAAATAACCATAAGCTAAATTGTAACAATAATAATATCAGCAGTAAATATAACCAGAGTACAATGTCTCCTGTTTAACGTAAGTGCGACACACGATTTTCTTTGAGTCCGATTCATTTACATTTGAAAACCATGCTATCATGCTTAGGCAGCCTGAAAGTTGCTTTTCACTGAGATTATATTCATTCACACTATTGAACATTTTCTGTACATCAGTACAACCAAAAAAAATAAAAATAAACACAAGGATTCAAACCTTAGAAGGGCATCTCTGCATACAATAAATCAATATAAAAATTAAAAGCAGTGGTAATAAATAACAGAATGAAAAAAATGAAACAATCCAAAGGAAGCCTATTTATAAAATGTATAAAACAAGACAAATCAAACTACAAATGTAAATAAAAAATAATTCAAGTTCACTATTTGAAACACAACTATCACAATTATAATCTCACATAACAATTAGGAACTTAATTGCATGCATTGATGCGTTCCGTACCATAGATGCTGTGTTTAAAATCACTTTTTGTCCATCCTTAATTCACATACCTTTATCATTAAATAGAAAGATGACATAGAAATTAGAAAATATATTAATGGATGAAAGGAAATTGTAGAAATTCATGTTGCACACTTTTTTGGGCTTCACAACTTTCGCCATTCTTTTATTTTGAAAGAACCAGAATGTTTCCTGTTTTAATTGTTTCTTTTCTCTTCCTTGATCAGTTATTTGGACATGGGAAAAGCTATTTTTATTTCAATCTCAAGTGTAGGTGTACCCATTCCCCCCCCCGTGCTGCACAGTTAAATTAGATTAGATAAGAAAAAGATAATTGAGAAATAAATGATATAACACATTTCGATGTGGGTGGATTGTTAACCAAAAGCCCTGTCTCTACTGCTAAATAGTCATGAAGGATGTACTTCTGACAACTTTAAATTCATCTAAGTTACATTTTAGTGAACAAAAAACTACATTTTGGTCAGGATACATTCTACAAATCCTTAAGATGCATTTTTCCAGATGGATCTAATTAGCTTATTCCAAATAACATGGGTTGTTATATGATCTTTAAACAAAGCATGAATGCATTCACAAATTTGTAGAATGTCCTTCTCACTCTGATATAGTACTTTATAGCTCTTAAGCATGAAATCTCATTGAATTGGCAGCACAGCAGAAAGTGCAATAACTCAAAGGGCGCTAACGTATACTTGATTCGGATGCACGTAATCTTTTACGTTCTCTTAGCAACAAGCAGGTGAGACATAATCAGGTAGTGTGTGACAGCAAGGTTTGCCCTAAAGTTCAAAATTAATTATTCCCCTTTCCTCTCTGTGGTCCAGAAACAGGTGTTAAAGCCACTTCGTTGTCATAGCAATGCAGAGATGAGAGAAAGGCTCCTTCAGTGGAGGATGCTCGAGTGTATACTTTCCAGAAGGTGTGTGAGGTATAGCTTGATCAAATGCCATGCTTCTCTCAGGAGAACTACTTTAATGGAGCGGAAGAAAACTATTTAAGGATGGTCTTGATAAAAATAAACCCTTTGAGATTCCCCCTATGGACGTAGATGAAATTGTATCCTTAAATGGGATAGTGTGCTCCTTTTTGGGGGCATTTCCAGAGCTTGGTGGAACTACTTTTTCCAAATGCTCCTTTCATCCCCTCCCTTTTCCCTCGTCCCCTCCAAGTGACTTCTTGCTAGGAGATGACTGATAATGAGGGAGGTGAGGAAAGGAGCAGTGCTGGATTTGATTGAAGTGTACACAAGGAGCAGTGGCTTTGTGAGTCTTCTTCCCCCTGCAGGATGACGGCGTCGTACTACAAGGTAAATCAATAAGTTTAGTTTCACTGGTAAGTTTGCACTGCAGGTTTTTAAAGAGGTTCACATTGATATTCTTTCTTTTATCTTTCCTTCTCACAAAGTGGTGTTAATACTAGCAAAACATGAATTTGTGAGTGATTCATAATAAACACTTTATGATACAGTAACATGATTTGTGTGGCATGGATACTGCAATTATGTCTTCTGCCAGGCTCTGTAATGAAGGAGCAGACGTTTGTCAGCACTCAGAACAACACAACCCTCAACAAGTCAGTCTTTAATTGAACTGAGAAAGGGAACAACAGGCAGAAACAACTTTCAACCGATCCGTTTTCAACCCAGCTGCAGCCTTGTGGCCTCCCTTACCCCTGCCCTCCGCTGAACCCCCCCTCCCCCAACTGTGCGATGACATACTGTCATAAAGGAAATGACCTTTTTCGCCCGTTTAAGTTTTGCTGCAGATTTTCATGTTCTGTCTGTAGGCCTGGTTTATTTCTATGTTCTGAGGCCTGAATTCCCCTTTTGGCAATGTCTTGCTGCACAGCGAACAGCAGCATTGTTCTGAGGCTCAGACAGCACATCACTGGATGTCGCTGTTGTCATCCGTGCCGTTTGCCTCTGACATATTCATCTTTCCCATGGAGTGACCCACGTGGTTCACCCCGTCCTTGCGAGGCGGCATGCGCTCGTTGATGCGGTCCAAGCCCTTGGCCTCCGCAAAGCTGGCGATCTTGTGCTGGGGGGAGAACCCACGGATAGCTAAAAATAAAAAAAAGGACACGTAAATGGATCAGAATCACCTTGTAATGTCTCAGAGCATTTCTATAATCTCTTGTCTTGTTAAACTGTAGATTTTCCCCAAGATATATCAAAGGCTTTTGGGATTTAACAGGCAATATAACCAAACAAAGACATAAAGTCAGTGAATCAATCGCAATTAAGAACAAAGAAGAATATTTCAATAATCATTTAGTGACTTTCTTTGTTTCTCTTTACCCAGTGTAGCAGTTTATGATATTCAGTTATCTTTGCAACTAACATTATTGATAAAGCAACCCACGGATAACAACAACATATATATGGATCAGAATCACCTTGTAATGTCTTGGAGCATTTTTTTTAAATCACGTCTTGTTAAACTGTATATTATCCCCGAGATATATCAAATGCTGTTGGGATTTAACAGGCAGTGAATCAATCGCAATTAAGAACAAAGAAGCATATTTCAATAGTGATTTTCTTTGTTTGTTTTTGTACCCAGTGTAGCATACTACCAGTTAATGATGTTCAGTTATCTCTGCAACTAACATTATTGATATAGCAAAGTAGAAGCGGCTGCATTTTTATTACTTTCCTCCGTTTGGGAAAAGCCTGAGAAAAAGTCTCCAAAACACATAAAAACAAAAATACACACAGTTTTACCTACCTTTGTGAAGAATACAATTCTCAACAGACAGTGTTTAAAAAAAGTCAACCCCCCTGCTAGTTCATACAAAAATGTGCATGTAAAAAGATAAAAATAAAGTGTGTTAGTACTGCAAATAGCTCTCTCGTACCGAAGCTTTTCAGTAGTGAGCAATGATTACCTCAGACATATCACGAGGAGCTGAGGCTTCAGGATGCATATTTCATGTTGATGCTGTTCTCTTTCTTGTTCTCGTGCATGCAACACTTTGTTTAGAACCAGATGGAGGCCATTTAGAAGCCAAACCAAAAAACAATGAAGTCTTGTATCATGCAAGCTCGTAAGCAGCACTTGACCTTGCAGTGTTTTCAATTTGTCGTGAAGTTGTCCTGTGAAATGTGGCTTGACGGAGTTATTGTTAATGTGTGGGATGTTGTGTGGGATGCTGTGTGCATGAGGTGTTTCTGGAGGAAGCCCTGACAGTATGTGGGTGGGAGATGGACCGCAGGTTTACCTTCTCCGTCCTCATCAGTCGTCTCCTCGATTGCTTCAA